TTTTTCGGGGAGGCTTAGATTATGCCCATAGGGCTGCTTAAAAGGGGGGGGGGGGGTTGGGAAAAAGGGTTTTCCCGGTGGAATGAAAATTACAATAGTTACAGTCGGCCCTTTGAAGGAGGGGGGGGGGGGAAGGGAAACCAAGTCATATGAGTTTACCATTTGAAAAGAAGGACGACGACTGCAGGTGAGAGTTGGGGGGGGACTCGTGGGAGGAGTAAAAAAGCCAACAAGAAAATCTAGCCAAACCAACTCCACTTCCAGACAGGAAAATGGAAGGATGGGGGTGGAGCGGTGAGACATTGTCTTTGTTGTTGGCAGCACGGTGCCATTGGGGCACGTTTTGTCAGGATTGGATGGCGCGAGGCGCATTGCAAAATCTCGACCGGATGGATGGTTTCAGCAAGGAAGGCGCGGCATGGTGAGCAAGCCGATGAAGCCGACGGGACTTTGTATTCCTGTATGTTTGGTAGAGTTAGTGAGTAGGTAAGTAGGCAAGTAGGTAAGTAGGTAAGCCAGATCTAGGTATGTCCAAGGTGAGCCAAAAAGCGTTTGCATGCAGATGCTGCCGCTCCATTGCCTTGTTGGGGCAGGCGGACTCGGCGGAGCTGTTCGTGGCGCAAACACACTTTTCGGTTTGCTCGTTCGACGGGATTAAGCGAAAAGAGGTGGTATGCAAATATAGGCAAGGACGCGTGTTTGGACAGGTGAATTGAGTTTCGGGATCTGACTTGTTGGTCACACGGATCCGATCAGCGACGTGGTCGAGTGTGTCCGACGGAATGCGGGTGCAGGGCCGGATACAATAGAAAGGATGGCGTCGGAATAAAAAAAATAAAAACAATCGAGTCATAGAAGGAGGGAAGAAATGGTCAGGGTTCGGGTTCTGGGCCTCACAGGATGTGGGACTTTCCAGCTTGCTTTGACACGAGGCGAGACCAAGTGGGAAGGAAAACTGGAGCATGGTTACTAGAATAGGTTGGTTGCGCAGTCACTGACTGTGTAGGTACATACTGTTACTAGTGGTTACACTGTACTCCAAAGAAGCATGCAGTCAGGCCACGGGCAGCCAGGACAAGATGGTGTTTGGTCGAGTGCGGCTAAAAAGAATTTTCCAGACACAACTCGACAACGGCGTCTTGGCAGATCGATCGCACAGAGGACGCTGACGGTGCTATTATTCCCATGGTACAGTAGATGCATACTTCCCAGGCTGTTGCAGGCCTGCAGCAGCCATGACTGAAGGGTGACGAGAGGTTTGCACAACCTGCTCGAATGCCTACCGGCTACCTTGGCGATGAGGAGAAGTCTCGAGTCTGCAGGTCAGGTGGTTGCACGGAGATGTCCAGCTGGAGTGCCCGAGATGGGCTTGGTGAACCAGCGGCAAGGCTTGGAAGTTTGCGGGGAGCGAGAGAGAATAGGTACGGGTAGGTAAGTAGATGATACACAGGTATACGTACGGCACTAGACGTGTTGGATGATACACAGGTATACGTACGGTACCAGACGTGTTGGCGTGGTGGGTTTGGCTGTGCATGGAGTATTCTCGGTACATGGTACCTGCTCTGCTGAGTCTGCTCTCTCCCACATGGGACGCTGTAGAGAGGATGGGGTGTGGGTGGTATGATGGTGTAGTAGGATGGTATGATGGTACGATTGCCCATGGCCACTGTCTCATGGTGGTGGATTCGTAGCATCATCGTACCTACACAACACAGCAAGACAGCGAAGAAGACAGCGAACAGTAGAGTAGCGACTGGCATGGTGGACTGCAACAAAGTGCAAGGACTGCAAGGTACACGGCCAACCGTACTGGTCCAACCGTCCTGCGTACTGTACTTGCTGCACGCACACTGGTACGCGCACCGGGGTTTGTTGTAGTCGGCCCACGGCGATCACGAGAGAGCAGCGGCTGTCTGTGCTCGCCTGCCCTGCCCTGCCCTGCCCTGCCCTGCCCTGCCCTGCCCTGCCCTGCCCTGCCCTACCCTGCCTGCCCAGCTAGGTACACCGTATGTACTGTACAGTAACTGTCGTGGTTAGGGCAGGTGCCCGTGGCTGTCCAGTGGCTGCCCTTTCCGCCTTTCCTCTGCCTTCCTTCCTTGTGGCTTCCCCCCTTCCCCCCCCCCCCGCTCCCCTCCTGGTGGTGGCTTCCCCCTTCTTCCCTTGTGCCTCGTGCCTTCCCTCGTGTGTGCCCTCCTGACGTCCCAGAAATTGCTCGCAGGACGCGCGCAAGGGAAGGAGGGTGTGGGGCCCACCTTGCTTTTGCCGTCTTTGGCCTAGCCTCGACAGTGAAAAGCTTGGATCCCGCCTTTCATTCTCTGATGGCATCATGCAAACGCCCATGGCCACCCACCCAGTCATCGTGTTTCTCTCATGTAACAAATCCACGTCCAGCAGGCTCTTTCATTCTACTACAAACAAAGTACAAATAAATGTCTTGCCCGTCCACCCTGCCTCCCGCCCCCCCTTCCATTTCCACTTCAGCCTGACCTTTCCATCCAACTTGCTTGTCCTTTTGGATCATGTTCCTGCCGCAAACACTCACCCATCACCTCCACTCGCACAGAATCAACTCGTGAACAACCGCCGCTTTCATCGATTGCTCCTCCCCTCGCCTGCGCCTGCACCTGCATAGCATAGCATAGACCATACTAGAACCATAGCCTTTCTTTCCCCTGACTCGCAGACCAGGCCGCCATTGGACAGCTTCCTTATCCCGCACCTCATTATCGATTCACAGCCGTCCAATCTCAGCCCTCACTACACCTTCTTCTCTCTCTCTCTCTCTCTCTCTCTCTGTCTCAACCCGCCAAGTCCTCTCAGCCCTGTACCCCAGCTTCTAGTCTACTTTACTAGCATGCCGGGTCGTCTGCTGAGCACCCTCGTCCGGGCGGCGCCTTCTCCATTGCCTAGATCCGACGCGGTCAAATCACACACCACCCCGCTCTTCCCCCCGGTCTATTCCTTCGAGCCCCCGCTCAAGGAAAAGGAAAAAGAAAAAGAGAAGCGAAAATCCCAGGACTCGCTGGTCATGGATATCTTCAGCCGCCACAAGCACGACAAGCACCATGACGACCACAAGAAGAGCCCCAAGGTGGAAGCCCAGGGTGTGGCCTCGATGAACATGAGCGTCGAATCCCCGCCTATTGTCTTCTTCAACAGCCCGCAATCCTCGACTGGCGCCATCTTTTCCGGTCAGCTGGTCATCAACATCCATGAGCCCCATGTGACTGTCGAAAAATTCGAAATGCGCCTCCTGGCCATTGTGAGCACCAAGAAGCCAGTTGCGCCACACTGCCAGGATTGCACCTCGCAAACTACCGAGATCCACAAATGGGAGTTCCTCTCCCATCCTACCTCTCTGCGTCACGGCCCACACAATTTCCCCTTCAGCCACCTGCTGCCGGGCCATTTGCCCGCTACCACGCACGGAAGCCTAGCCTCGCTCGACTACTACCTGTCGGCCGTAGCGACCACTTCGTCGGGCAAAATCACCTACAAGCGTAACATCCAAGTCAAACGTGCCATTTTCCCGGGAAACGAAAAGCTTTCCGTCCGCATCTTCCCACCCACCAATCTGACGGCAACGGTCAAGTTGCCGCCCGTCATCCATCCCATCGGTGACTTTCCCATTGAGATGCGTCTAGCCGGCATCGTCCAGAACAAGGCCGACTCGCAAACCCGATGGAGGCTGCGAAAGCTCAACTGGCGCATCGAAGAGACGCAAAAATTCATTGCCCCTGCCTGCACCAAGCACATTTCAAAGGTGGGCGGCCAAGGCAAGGGCATTCTGCACGAGGATATTCGCGCCATTGCCAATGAAGAGGTCAAGACTGGCTGGAAGACCGACTTTGACAAGGGCGAGATTGATGTCGAATTCAACGCTGCCTGCAACGTCGCTTTGAAGCCGCTCTGCGATGTAGACAGCCCAAGCGGTATGAGCGTCAAGCACAATCTCGTCATTGAAATGGTCGTTGCTGAGGAGTGGGCTCCTCTGAAGAAACTCAGTCAGGCAACACCCACTGGCGCCGCCCGCGTCCTCCGCACCCAATTCCACCTCGTTCTCACCGAGCGCTCTGGCATGGGCATCGCATGGGACGAGGAGCAGCCGCCCGTCTACGAAGACGTTCCCGCTAGCCCACCTACCTACGTCGACGATTGTGAATTTCCAATTTCCAATGCCAGTTCGCGCTCTGCCAGCTTTAGCTTGTGAAGCTTCACTTTTGTCCGTTTGGTGCCTTGCCTCTTTTCCATCACGTTATTACTACAGCGACCTCGATGGAAGCTTCTTTACGAATTTCCTTAGCCTACCGACGAAGATTGGTTTCAGTTTGAGAAGAGGTCTTGTGTAATTGTGCAGGAGATACCCCCGTTTTGTTTGGATCGGTTTGTGCATAGTTGGGACTATGCATCGTCACCACTCTAGTTTAAAGTATGGCGTTGGAGGCTCTTTGCATTTTTTCATGTATACTGAGTTGAGCCCGTTTTGTGCGCTCCTCTTGTTTTCCTGTCTTGGCAGGGCATAGTGTTTGGTCACGGAAAAGTCTTTGTTGTTGTTGTAATTTGCAGATGTAAGAGTAATTTGAATAATTTACATGATCACTTGACAAGATGCAAGTCACCATTGCTGTAAAAGGCGTAGAGATGTGTGTTTTGTTTTTGGGGGTTATCATGGTGCTTTGATTCCCTACTACTACTACTACTACTACCACTACTACCACTACTACATGAGCGACTTCGAGTGCAGTACAATATACGTCATGATACATGTCAGCCTGTAATGCCGCCTTTACAACGAATCATGTAGCTCTCTTGGTCGCGTGGGCATTGCATCTCAGACGACGGGGTTCCGTGTTGTGATGGAGAGTGGCAGGGTGAAGGATGGATGGATGAATGGCGAGTAAATCTCCAAACAACTTGTGCAGATTGTGTTGCTTTTCTGGGAGTTTTTTTTTTTTTTTTTTTTTTTTGTTTTGTTTTGTTTTGTTTGTTGGGGAAAATAATGGGGTTGGGGTACATTGATTGGCTTGGGGGGTTGTTTTCATGATTGCTGTGTATAAGTGTCGAGGGCTGGGGGGTTTTTTTTTTAAATGGTGTCAATGGTGTGGTGGGAAATGGGTATCCATCATTCTCGGCACAAGAATGGATGTTGATTTCTTGTATCCTACGTCAAACCATGCCATTCTCACTCCAGCTTACTCCAGCTTACTCCAGCTTACTCCAGCTTACTCCAGCTCATTCCAGCTTCTCCCACCCCTACTGCTGCGCTCGATACACCATCCCCGGATCCCTAACATACACCTCCGCACTCGCCGGCCCCGCCAACCTCCCCCTCGCCTCCTCCCGCCCCCTAACCTCCCTCTCATTCTGCACCGCAACACAGCAGCAACAACAACATCCACGCGCCACATCGCCCGCCAGACTACCCCGCAGCTTATACGCATGGCGGATCCGGGTGCGTTGGAGAGTGGGAAAGACGCACCAGAGGCCACAGGCGAGGGTCATGAGGAGACAGTGTGGGTTGATGGCGCGGTGGTCGAGCAGGTCGGTTGGGTCCTGGGCGGCGGCTTTGCGGGCGAGACGGTGGGTGGTGCGGCTGTGGAGGAGGCAGGGGCAGAAGAGGCCGGTGAGGCAGGTGGAGGGGTTTGGGCTGCACGCGCAGAGGTGCGAGGACCAGGGTTGGGGGGAGGCGGTGGTCATGTTTGGGTGGGTGATTTGGCCGGGTTGGTGGAGGGCTGGGTCGAGGCCGTTGGGGCCGTGGGGGGCGTTGGGGGAGAAGATGGCGTGGGGGGTTGGGGTTTGGAAGCCGTGGGGGGAGTAGGGGGTGGTTGGGTGGTTGGTTCGTCTTGGGGAGTCTGCGGATATGGGCGTCATGGGGTGTTTGTGGGGGAGGGGGGAGTGCGGCTGCGTGGTAGAGGGTGAGGTGGGTTGTTGGGCGGAACGAGGCAGTGGGCGCGTGGTGAGATTGGTGTTGATGGGGGAGAGGTTGCTCATTTGTCGTGTGTGTCTGCTTTGCTGGGTGTTGATTTGGACATTCGGTGTAGGTTGCGACATCACCATTTGCGGACTTGCCTGCTGATGATGATATTGTTGTATATTGGGGTCATGACGTGCGGACAACGAGACTGGTGGCTTCTCATCCTGCAAGTAAGACGGTGGTACGTAAGCCATCTGAGGCACAGGCGGGGCTGACGAGTTGGGGTCGACAATGGACTGTGTTCGCGGATCAATTGGTGTGAATAACGAGGCTGCTACCGATATTCGGTGTTGCGGAAGAGGCGGCTGGTTTGGTGTGGATGTGTACACAAAGGCACGATGCTCGGCCGGAGTCTGCGCATAGGAAAAGTGTCGCGATGATGCTTGTGTGCTATCGGTCGTGGGCTGTGGTCGTTGGATACTTTGTTGGGACACTTGCTGCTCATGTTCATCATGTGTAGACGCCTCTTCCTGCAGTGGAGCCTGCCATGAGAAGCGATTGTGTTGTTGTCGTTGTTGTTGTTGTGAATTTACGTGGGGTTGTAGTTGTCCAGATTGGTTGTATTGGCTGTAGTCCATGATCTGCGATATTTGCTCGAGTTTGAGTTCGAAATCGGGTTCGAAGTGGTTCTAGCGGTCGTCGCTATCCAGCGTGGTGAGGGTATGCTTTCTCTTCTTCTTCCTCTTCTTTTTCAAGTCAACAGGAAATGCGGATGCTATGCGATTGAAGGATGCGAAATACGAGTAATGTACAGGAGTTAGCAGAAGGTAGATGGGGTATGCGGCACTTTCACTTTGGGGGCTAAGCGGTCTGATATTGGGTCCTTGGAGGTACGCATGATATCAGATTAACCCCCAGCACAGGGTGGAGAAAGATTGTGAACAGAGGATCGGCCTTGCGTCGGGACTGCCATTCACTCCGGTTGGCTCTAAGCCAGGATCTAGGTCGTTGACGGCCATGTTCGTAAGAGGAGATTCGCAGAGCTCCCGCCGTAGGATGCCTCTCTTTTTTAAGACGTGCAGTTGAGGCGCAGGCGTGGCCAATTGGTGTTGGTGTTGAGGTGTGACAGCGAGTCGTCGGCGCTTACGGGGTGGCCCATGTGACCAATCAGCGGCCGCCATGAGCGTTGCTTTTAATCTGATACTTTGCGTAGTATGCCTCTCTCTCTCTCTCTCTCTTAGAATAAGTTTGCTGTCTCGATCGATTCGTGTAGGTAGAAGCCTTCTGTTGCATTCGCAAAGCCACATTCAGCATCTCACCTTTGCCGTTTGTCTTGGCATGTTCCACATCTCATCAGAAGGCTGCACAGACAGATTAAAGTGCTGCCATGCTACGTCGTATCTCGGGCTAGGCAGTAGATCAGAGGGAACATAGAAATCATGGTAGCAAATAAGATAATACGTGAGTCCCAGTCCAGTATACAATTAGCGGCGGCAGACGACGTCACCGCTGGATTACTATAGCAACGGAGATGGTGTACAGTACATGTATAGTACAGGAAGATTGCTCTAAGCGTCTTTGTCAATATGGGACTTGCCACGCTCCTCCTTGTTCTCAGCCTGTTCACGGTCAGCACTTGCACAGTATCTTGTGCTTCTACATGACTCACGCCAGGACGATCTGTGGAGACGGTTCCCTGGAGCTTGGCACTCTCAGCGACACCCTCGCCCTTCTTGCTCTTCTCGGGCTGCTTTGCGATTTGCGATGTATGGTGGGTATCGTCATTGGACAGTCCCCTTTGCTTGCCCGAAGTTTCATTCTGGCTCTTGGTCTCGGCCTTGCGAGGATCGGCCTGGCGAGGTTAGCAGAGAAGAGCCGTGGCAGATGAGGGCAATTACAATGTCGGACTTGTCCGGTGACTGGTTGTCCTTTTCCTCGCTGTTCCCTGCGGCGCCCTTGATGTCCTCGTTGGATTCGTCCGTCTTCTCGTCCTTGGAGTTGTCCTTGGTCTCAGTCTTGGCATCGTCCTTGGAGTCGTCCTCTGCATCCGTCTTGGACTCTTCCTCGGTCGACTCATCCTCGGCAGGCGCTTCCTCTTCATGGTGTTTTTCAGCATGATCGTCGCCGTGGTCTTCGTGGTGGCCACCGCTGGTGTCCTGGTTCACGACAATGTACAGACCGACGGCCGTACCGACAACAGCACCTATAGCCCTGAAGACTGCCTGTTAGGAGAGACTGGAGAGAGTGTGGGGGTCGAAGCAGGACTTACCAGGGCATATCGCTGGTCTTAGCATGGGCGCCGCCTTCGTGGGCGCTCGCATACGTCCTGCGCTGGACGGCTCGTTGCCATGGCTGGAGCTCCGCAGTACGTAGGTAACGCGGCGTCTGGCGGGCAGCGCGGGCGAGGGTCGAGGCGCGCAGGGTGGTGGTGCGGAGAAAAGACATGGTGAAGGAGCAGCAAGGCCAATTGGCTGGGAGGGAGCAAGGGCGAGGGCGATGGGATGGGCAGGCGTCCGGCGTCGTGGGAGTTTTGATGCGCGCGGGAGAGAGAGCTTGGGGCAGTCGGGAAGGTCACGTCATTCCTAAAATCACATATCACGTGATGAGTCATGAGTTTCCCAAGGTCACCCGTCTGCCTACCTGTCTCATGTACTGTGCACCTCCGGTCCCAGGGCCAGCTATTCTAGGACGACGATTTGATTACACGACGGTATAGGTTGATGGATGCATCAAAGCGCATTTCCGTTTCGGCAGCCACCTACACACACACACACACACATACACAGATACATGAAATGTGGTGACTCTTCTCGACCCTCTGCAAATCATTGCCCTCTCCAATTTCATCCGCGACACATACTTGGCGTTTGTACACTCGAAACTACGAACACTCCTTCATTCTCTCCAGTCACCCATTCACTCGCTCACTCAGTGTCCATCCAGCATTGTCGAGGGCTGCCCACTGCCGTTGACTCGACGTAGATAGGAACCCACCAGGCAGACGGTAGACACAGTGTGGCGGTAGTAGGCAGGTCCCACCCCCACCATTGCTGCCCCGCCTACCTAAACATTGCTCTACTACTACCCATTGTATTGTACCAGCAAAACAATATATCCCCACGCCATCGGCATTGGCACCACCACAACTACCAGTCTCCCACCAACCGCCGCCATCGGCCACCACCACCATCCCCCCTCAACTATGGCGCCCTCGTCGGTCCCCCCCAATCCGACGGCCGTCAATGTTGCCCATCTCCTACCCAGACTCAGTGACGACGACCCCGACTTTCGCTTCATGGCCCTGAGCGACCTGCACGACATCCTCGTCGTTGCCCACCCTGGCCTCCTCGCACACGATGAAGTCGTGGCCGCCCGCACTGTCGACGGCCTGCTCACCACACTCGTCGATAGCAATGGCGAGGTGCAGAATCAGGCGGTCAAGTGCCTGGGACCCTTTGTCAACAAGTGTCCCGAGCGCATTCTGCCGCCCATGATCGATAAGCTGTCCAACCTGCCGACAGGTAATACAGTCGACCAGGCCATCCCCGCCCTAGCCCTCCGTGAAGTTGTCGTCTCCCTACCGCGTCCCGTCGCCGGCCTGAGCCGCAACAAAGCCGTCACCGACGCGTACAGCGCCATAAGCCGCGTCTTAATCCCGCGCCTCATCGGCCACCATGTCATTGCGCCTGTCCAGCAGGGCCTGCCCAAGCCGCCCCCGGGCATGTTGGAGACGGACCTGGCCAAAGGAACCGATAGTAATGCTATTGACGTTCTCACCGAGGTTGCTCGCTGCTTTGGCCCCATGCTGCAGGAGGTGGAGATCGAGGCCCTGCAGAGCATCACCTTCGACATACTCGAAAATGACCGCGCGAGCTCCATGATGAAGAAGAAGTCGGTCACCGCCATCTCCACCCTGGCTGGCTACTTCTCAGACGCCCTCTTGAGCAACTTCCTCTCGCGCCTCATCGAACTCCTACGAGACCCCCACCTCACACGCTCCAAGCGCAAGCTCTACATCACCATCCTCGGTTCCATGGCGCGCTCTATCCCCCGCAAATTTGGGCCCTACCTTAAGACGCTCGCGCCATTTGTCATCAGTGCGCTGACTGCACAGGAACAGGACGAGGACATGGACGCCTCGGACGACGAGGGCGAGCGAGATCCTGAGATTGACGAGGTCCTGGAAGCCGCACTCATTGCACTCGATAGCTTTCTCGCCTCCTGCCCACAAGACATGCGCTTATACACGGACGAAACCATTGATGCAGCTACACGCTATATCAAGTACGATCCCAACCTCGCCCAAGACGATGACGACGACGACGCACATGACGAAGACGATACGGGCAGTGACGACGAAGTAGCCCTCGAGGGTGATGACTTTGAGGAAGAGGTTGGTTATGACGATGACGAAGACGCGAGCTGGAAGGTCCGCAGGTGCGCTACCAAGGTCCTGTACACCTTGATCTCCACGCGGAGTAACGGCGATCTGCTCGACGACGGCACACTTTACAACCGCGTCGCCCCAGTCCTTGTCACGCGATTCAAGGAGCGTGAAGATAACGTGCGACTAGAAGTGCTAGCTACCCTGTCAAACCTGGTTAAGAAATCTGGTGACGGTCCCTCGCCCATCAAGTTCGCCGATGAGCTCCCGCAAGGCGGACTCATGATGCCTCCGCCAAGCAAAAAGCGTCGGCGTGGTGGTAGTGACGCCAGCATGTTCGACCTTCAGGCTAGTTCCTCGCTGTCCATGGGATATGCTTCACCCGCCCCGGCCGGTACACCGCCAGCTGGCCCTCGAGCGAGTCTTGCAAAGCTCAGTCCCGAGATCGTAAAGGGTGTGGCACAGCTTCTGAAGCAGCCATCCTGCCCACCTACTACCAAACAGGCGTCCATTGTCCTAATCAAAGACATTGTCATCACCCAGCGGGGAGGCCTCGAGGGCTTCCTTAGCCAATTGATTGGCCCTGTCGTTGACGCAGCCAAAACGACGAGTGGATCGACGAGTAGTGCCTCTGCTACGGCAAACAGTTTGCGGGTCCAGGCTCTACAGCTGACAGGTGCCATTGCCGACACACACTCTTCCAAAACCATACAACCTTATATTGCTCCCATTGTTGAAACTCTACTTCTCGGCGTCAAGGACAGGTACAGCAAGCTTTCGATCGAAGCCCTTGCTGCAACGGAGCAAGTTGTCAAGGCTTTGACGCCTCCTCGGTCTGCCGCGGCTGGTAATGATACCCGGCAATACCTGGAGCAACTTTACGAAGTACTAGTCGACCGGATAGCCGCAAATGATGCCGATGTAGAGGTCCGAAGGAGCGCCATTCATGTCCTTGGCCTGCTCCTGGGACGCACCTCGGGAACTGAGAGCCTTCTTGCGGCTGAAAAGCGTTCGGCTGGCCTTGAGCTTCTGGGCGACCGCCTGAAGAATGAATTAACGCGCCTTGCGTCTGTTCGTGCGATCGATTCTATTGCTGCTCATACAAAGACTGCGAGCGAGGTGTCAACCAATTGGGTTCGAAGCGTAGCTCTGGAGCTCGGCGCACAGCTTCGAAAGGCTAGTCGGGCACTTCGCGGTGCCAGTCTTAGTGCTCTGCGGACGCTGTCATTGAACTCGCACTCTCGAAGTCAGCTTGATGGGCAGACCAAGACGCAGATTGTCGAAATGTTGCTACCATTGCTCAACTCAGTAGACCTTCATCTCCTTGGACCCGCCCTGGTCATCCTTGCTACATTCGTCAAGGACGATGCGCAAGCCATCATGACGCCCGCTTTAAATGCTGCCCTTTGCCAAGTCGTGCAAGGCTCCATCAGTGGCTCTTCGTTGGACGCCCTGCTTAAGCTTGTGCGCACAATTGGAGAACAGCGTTCCGGTCAGGCACTTATGCAGTCCCTGCTTCGAGACGTCGGTGTTGCGGGACACGCAGATGTCGTGGGCAAGGTCATTGGAAATCTCTTGGTCTATGGCGGTGACAGTGTCGGCGTAAAACTCGAACAATTCGTCGCAGAGCTCCAAACTGCGACCGACGATAAGCGTAGGTGTCTGGCCCTAGTTGTGCTTGGTGAGTCGGCGATGCGATTGGGACAACAGTCAACAGTCGATCCCGAGCTTTTCATCAAGTACTTCACTGTACAGTCTGAACAGGTACCTCTCGCAGCTGCAGTTGCCCTCGGTCGTGCTGGTGCTGGAAATGTTAGCAAGTACCTTCCCGTCATCTTGTCTACTATGGGTGATGCCAAAGCTCCACAGTACCTACTTCTACACGCTATTAAGGAGATCCTTCAACAAGAGGATACAGAAACCGAGATCATGCCCTTTGCTTCGACGCTCTGGAACAACCTTGTCGTTGCTTCACAACTAGAGGACAACAAGGCCATCGGTGCAGAGTGCATCGGACGCCTGACCATCATTGATCCAAAGACATACCTTCCTCAGCTCCAGGTAAGACATGGTGCCTGTATGATTGCAGACTCCTATTAACATAGCGTAGGCCTTCTTGAACAATGGCAAGGGTGGTGTCCGCGGCATGGTCATCTCTGCGCTCCGTTACACCTTCACAGAAACAGACGAAGCCTATGACGAATATCTCAGCCCAATCGTGGTTCCCATGCTCATCCAGATGCTCGGCGAGCCTGATTTGGAGAACCGCCGCTTAGCCCTTATGACCTTCAACTCCGCCATGCACAACAAACCTGACATTATCCTTCCAGCCCTGGACCAATTATTGCCGTTGACCATGAAAGAGACTGTCATCAAGCCAGAATTGATTCGCGAGGTGCAAATGGGACCTTTCAAGCACAAGGTTGATGATGGACTAGAGATTCGAAAGAGTGCATATGAGACTCTTTACGCTTTGCTAGAGAAGGCGTTTGCTAGGCTTTCACCGATTGAGGTCTCGGATTTCTTTGACCGCGTCGTGGCGGGTATCGCCGATGAACATGACATCCGCGTACTATGCAATCTTATGCTGACAAAGCTAATGGCGATTGCACCCGACCAACTGCATTCTCGACTTGATGCCATCGCCACAAATTTCCGTGCCGTGTTGTCGGTCAAGGCCAAGGAGAATGCCGTCAAACAAGAGATTGAAAAGATTGCAGAAGGCGCCAAGGGTGTACTGAAAGTATCGGTTCAGCTCAACAAGCAAATGGGTACAGAAGGCAACGGTAACCAAGATGACGCAAATTCGCGTCAGTGGTCGGCCTACTGGGATTGGGTGTCGAAGGAACACTCGGCCGGCCTCAAAGCTGTCATAGATGAGCTGAAAGATCGTGATCGTTAGTTGCGATTCAATAGGTAAAGCGACTTGAACGACGGAATGAATGACGATGATATTGCATTTTCATGGGATGCAAAGCATAGCGGATACATAGCATGAGATTGGGCTATTGGATTTTATAGTTCCTTGAATGAACAAGTGAAACACCATGAAGCTCTGTAGATAGACATCCAGTTCTCTGTAGAAGGGCACCCAGGGCGATCCTGTAGAGGTCATCTATCGCGCATCTGCATTAATAGAGAATTCGATTGACTTTGATCAATGCTGATTTTGTGCCCGCGAATGAGTAAAAGCATCCTGCTACCCACCGTACAGTGACGTTTCGGCTAGAGCTTCCCAACACGTGAGACAGACCACACAGTCCTCGTAGCCCTCCAACACGGTACTCGGTCAACACAATTGCTGCGCATTTACCCCAATTCATAATTGACTTTTTCTGGTCATAGAAGGATCCTCATATTCTACAGACGACAGACTTTCTACAATCTTGAAGCACCTAAAACCCACTCTTTCCGCTCGCTAGCAGGATATTCTGCACTTTGCAGCACCTACTGTACCTACCTCCACCTGCCAGCATGGGCAGGACAGAAACCTCCAAAGGCCTTGCGCCACCTGCCATTCGCAAGGATATTCGAGCCAAGCAAGCCCGCCACATTATCAACAAAGTTATACCGGCACTGTTAGCCTCTAGTGCCCGGGCACGGAAAGGTGTCGGGAGTAGCGAGTTGATTGTGAATCCCAAGTCTATGGCTCGCGACTGTGAAGGCCAGAGTAGGGATGAGGCTAGAGAATCTGGAGATTCCATGTATGTCAAGCGGAAAGGCCGGGGCCGGCGGAAGGTGGAGAAGGGGGATGTGGAAGAGCAGGGAGACGAGGGAAGGACAGGGAGAAGGAGGAGTCGGATGGAGGGTCTTGGAGAAGAGAGCAAAGAACCTCATGCAGAGCCTTTGGCAAAAATGACCTCCCGACGTACCATTCGTGTTCTCGCAACCGACTCCCTGACGGCCGCACACATGCTCACCTTTCCTCCCCATCAACCCAAGCCCCGCAAAAATCAACCAAACACATGTATCCTAAACATGGCCTCGCCCCTCCGTCCCGGCGGCGGCGTCCTCACTGGCGCAACCTCGCAGGAAGAGTTTCTCTGCGCCCGAACCACCCTTCTCCCCTCCCTGCTCGACTCCTACTACCGACTGCCAGAGTACGGCGGCGTCTACACGCCCGACGTACTTGTCTTCCGCAACCATTTGCCGCTTGGGGACAGCAAGGGCGAGTTGCCGGCGGCGGAGCGGTGGTGGGTCGATGTGGTGAGTGCGGGCATGTTGCGCTTTCCTGAACTGGAAGGGGGCGAGGAGGATGAGGCGAGGTGGTTGAGTCGGGCGGACAGGGAGAGTGCGGAAGGGAGGATGAGGGCGGTGTTGAGGATTTGTGCGAGAAACGGGGTCAAGAAGGTGGTTTTGGGGGCGTGGGGGTGTGGTGCGTTTGGGTGTCCAGTCGGGGATATTGCAGAGGGGTGGAGGAAGGTGCTGGAGGGGTGCGCGGTGAGCCATGGTGGAAAGGGCAGGGGGAAATCCGGGGGAGAGATGGAGACTTTTTTGGAAATCGAAGAAGTGGTGTTTGCGATTGGGAATCGTCCCATGGCGCAGGCGTTTGCCCAGGCATATGGTGGGGTCGAGGTGGAAGAGGTTGGTGGTGTGCAAGGGGAAGACGAGGAAGAGGTTGATGAAGTTGCGGAGGAGTTGAGGACGAAGATTCGGGAGATGGAGGAGCATTTGGGCAAGGTTTGCAATCCGGATCTGAAGAAGAGAATGGGGTTTATTCTGGACGGGCTGAAGGGCCAGTTGAGACAGCGAGAGGGGAGTCAGAAGACGGAAAGCGAGAGTGCTAATGACGATGACGATTATGATGATAGTAGTAGCGAGGCATGAGCCTGAGATGCCTATTACATGCCAATCACGAGGTTGAGTCAGGAGGCGGTAGAGAAGAGCTTATTGTTCCTGAACAGTCGAGTGAATACTACCTAGGCAACCAAACTTTTGAGTCATACAACTCTTGACCCTCTTCTCTCCTCCGGCACTGCAAAAGGCCCATTCTCAACAGCTCTTCATGATCATAAGAAACCTTCAACTGCACTGCCACCCGTCATGGGCGTATTTTTCTCAATTCCTTTCGCTCTGGTCGGCGGCGTGATTTCCCAATTCATTCCCCCCCCAAAAAAAACCCCCCCCAACACCTTAAACACGACAACCATACGCCACAAAACGCCATCCGCATCATATGCTCGAGTCCCAGCAAGGAAACATCCCAGCGCACAAATCTAAAATGCAAAACCCATCAACTCCCCACCCCCCCAGTCTAAACTTCGTTCCTCTCCCACAACCCCATCCCTCCATGCCCCCGCTCACTCACTGCGAAGCTCCTACCCATCATCAGTACCGTACAAGAAAGCATGCAACTCGTCAAACCCCACCATGCCTGCTAATGCAACTCACCGCTTCTCATCGTGCTCGCAGACACATTGGACTGGTGTGTCGACGCCTCGGTTCCTCTGCCTTGTGGTACCGTCATGGAGAAGGTTGTGAATCTTGAACTTAGCGCGGAGGGTGGGGATGCTTTTCTTGCGGCTGTGGTGGTTGTGGATAGGGAGGATGGGGTTGAGGTGGTGGCTTTGAGGAAGACGCGGGCGGGTGGGAATTGGCTGACTGGGGGCATTTTGAGGGTTGTGGAGGGAGGGTTGGGTGGTTGGTGGATTGATTGTAGGTTGGTGGATTGATTGTAGGTTGGTGGATTGATTGTAGGTTGGTGGATTGATTGTAGGTTGGTTGGTAGGTTGGTTGGTAGGTTGGTTGGTAGGTAGGTAGACAGTTAACCTTAAGTACGAATACGACAAATAGAACCAAACCAACGCATAATCAACGTAGTTGCACAAATCAAACGCAGTTGTATATCTCGCACACAGACAAGACAAAAACGAAACCCCAGCTCAGATCCGTACAAGAAAGTCCGTCTTTGGAAAATCTTTATTTAGCAGTAAGATCCATCTACCACAATCCACCCAGGGGGCCCAGGCCACTCCTATATACCCCCCGTTGCGGTTGCGGCACTGCGTTTGACTCACGGGATCCGCAGCCGAGGCGTGCGGAGTCACAGACTTTGATGCGATGATGCACCGGGCCCATACGGTACGGTATATTCAAACGCAGCAAACCCCCCCCCCCTCATCATCACCATACCGGTACATGTCGCGCACCACCAATCACCCTATGCTCTCGTGAAAAGTCACATGCGTGGGTGCACGCGCCCCACCGAGGTCTCGTTGCGGCGGATTAGGGGACGTTGGCTTGCCGGGGAATTATCGTGGAGCTGACTGCGACGGTAGTTGACCGGTAGGTAAGGGTGGATGACTCCTGTCCTCTTTCGTTTCGCCAGATTGTTTTTCCGCAAGTGTTGTACAGTATCTACGGTGGAAGTGTGCGGAACGCGTGGATGGCGAGGGTAGTACACAGGTAGAGTGATGGTTGATTGGAGATGGCGGCTAATACGTTTGATGTAGACAGGATACGCGCGCAAGGTACGTTACCGGTACCTGGGCAGGTCGCTAGCCAACACACGGGTTGAAAACATGTGCGCATCCAAGTTTTGCCTGCAGAGCGCAATATCAGCGCAGTGCGGAACTGTCCTTTGACTTGGAAAACAGTGCAAAAGATTTCCGCAGTCGCAGCAATGTTCACAGAAAGACTGTTGCGTGCAGGTTATGCATTGGGAGCTGTCGATCTCCCCATCTGCCAAAACCTGTAACCACGTGACCACATGACTCACAGACGATGAACAGCATCAACCTTGTTGCGATCAATGGAGGCTTCGAATTTATGAAATTCAAATTGTATGTAGAGCTTTCATCTGGGCAGTTTTGATTTCTGTTTCATAGCTGCTTGTCGATTAGAATGATTATAGGGACCTCACCAACTATGAATCATCGCAGGCCGGGATGCATCCAGACTAAATTACACCACATCCTTCATACAACGTTGTGACAACCAAGGGTATTTTGTTTAGAACTTTGATACTTTGAGAATGCATGTAGATAGACAGTTCTGGCCATCTTGCGACAAGTCTACTGCATGAATTGAAGTCGTCGCAACTGCAACGATAAAACACCGCGTGCATGAAGTAGAAAAATGAATGGCAATGCCACCTCTCCACCAATGCAATGCCTCAATTTCCTAGAGCTCACAGTGGCACAAGGTATCCCCAATTTCCCTCTCTAGGCATTTGTGCTTTATGGGAATGCAACTGACAATCGACCAACCCATTCGTCACGCATGCTATCCTTTCCAAAGAGCGCCGTGACTACCTTTGGCGGGCTAGAGGTTATCCGCGTGGTACCTATGGGACATTCCTTACAACAGTGTCAAGTTTTCCAGGCAAGAGTGAATGTGTGAGTGCATAGCAAGGCCAACAATATTGTTCTCCACTCCCAGAATTTACCGGCGTCTCGAACCTGATTCCTCAAAGTGAGACCTTGGATGTGACCAGTACCGCTATATTCATGAGAGCTTTGTTCTCGCCCAAACTGGTGTCAATGGCATGTCTCAAAATTCAATTGCCAACCTCCCATGGCCGCTGTGCTATACCACACGCTTGCACATGTCAGATTCACGTCTCAACGAAAGATGCCGCGGGAGATGTGCCAGCGCAGTCATGGGGAGACAAGTCTTGTGGCCACCACATGGTGTCTGGACCGCATTGTTCGGTGTGCAAGAGCCTGGCTGTCAGTTTTCGTAAATAGTAGCGGTATATACAGACGGACAGGATCCCTGTATTGTCATTCCGTGAGCAAGTCTCATCGAGGAGATGCGGCAGTAGTCGATGCAGGAGCAAGAATACTCATGAGTGGTTGGATGGGATGAAGAGAATGGGAAACGACCGAAGAAACATCAGGAAGACTGCTGTGAAATGCCAGAGTCTACTCTAACTCGCTGACTGTTTCCACGCTGCAGCCATTCAAACTTCCGTTTCTGGCAGCTCTCTACAAACCATTGATCACCGTACATTCTTGGCCTTGTTCGAGAAGTGTCTGGAAACCCTCGCAGTCGGCGGCATCTCAGCGCCATCTCAGCGCCACCGTCTTTTATTGGGCTGTCATTTGTGATAGGGCGAAGCTGCAGTCGTAACCTTGAGTTCGGCGATGGCCTTGAAACGGAGTTTTTTGCTGTCTTAGCCACGGACACAGAGGTTCTCTCCAGCATGTCTTTCCCCCTCAGCGTGACGAAGGTGTGTGTTGTGTTGGAGTTTGTGGGTGGAAAAGCCAGGCGACCGCAACGCCACGCACGGACCCTCGCTTAGCCCACACCCGCCGAGGATGGCCCGTTCAATATTCTCGGAAAGGGCAGCAACTTCAACAATCGTGAACGACAAGCGCCCCCCAACTGCACGACCGACAACTCGCCTTTCCGCACAACTTCACCGTCAGTACAACTTCCCAGGTAGCACGCGTGGCGCCCTCTCTCGTAGACGAGTCGAAATGCTGACTTGTCTTGTCCTGTAGCTCCAGCGTCACCGCAACACCTCCACAACCACACATCATGTCTCACGAGTCGGTTTGGTATTCGCGTCCTAGGACCTACGGCAAGGGCGCCCGCGAGTGGTACGTTGGATATATATATATATATAGGCTGCCGGAGAGAGATCGTTGCTGCGTACTGTGATGGGCAGTGAGCATATGCGCAGCCAGCGACATTGGACATGAATGGCTCCATCAGGAAAAGGTTGCTAACATGGTACTCTCAGCCGCGTCTGCACCCACCCTGCTGGTCTGATCCGCAAGTACGGCCTTAACATCTGCCGTCAGTGCTTCCGCGAGAAGTCCGCCGACATTGGTTTCGTCAAGGTAGGATGCCTTTCCTGTCCCCGCCGACGACAGGACGAGTCTCGGTGGAAACAAGCGGCACACACCAGCCAGCTTGCTCATGACCCCAAAGACTAACACTTGGACAGCACCGATAGATTTCCCAAACATGGCAACAATGTACGGGCCGGAGTAGACAAGGGCGCAAACGGTGTGACGCGATGACTACCCGAATAGACGACGATCACGACTTCTACCCCACGGGAAACCAAGTGTCGGACATGGAGGAGTGAAGGAGCGGGTAGTCTGGGTGTCTGCATAAAGCACGATTCTACATGGCTTTTCTTCTTTCGGGTTTCAAACTACTTGCTCATGCTCCGAGGGGGAACGGTGTGCCGGCTTTTGATAAAGCAGAAAAAAAGTCAAATACCAGTTCATCTACAACAACATGCCAGCTTTGCCCCATGTGTCTCTAATTCACACTTGGGGGAATCTCATGCTCATCGAAACAGTACTTTGCCACCACCCTCTCAAGTCCACCCGAACCACAGAGACGCACGGAGACGAGAAGCCTCACTACACAGCCAGGACGACCAAGACGTGACGTGCACACTCCAACCGGCCACAGTTCTGATCCAACCCGGACAGAGAAACGAAGTAAAAAAAGCAGCCACATCTGTCCAAACAACCCAAGATCATCCAGCCTTTCTCATCATTAACCACCCCCCCCCCCACAGAAAGTACATCTCGCGCCCAAAACTCCAACGCTGCCTGCCCGGGGCCTGAGCCGTCCTTTTGCCCCCTCTCCGATTGCACATGACAAAACTCGTTTAGCTCGCGTTGTGACCTGTCCTCTCAAGTAGGCGCATCATCCTGCTTGTGAAAAGAAAAGAAAAGAAAAGAAGAGAAAAGGGCAAAGGTGGGGAAAAGAGGGAAGAGGGCGAGGATATACAGATTTCCACCTCCCGAGCCCAGATTGCGCAATGGCAATTCCTAGTAGCCTCACGTCCACAAAGACTATTGACACTCTTGAAGAACCGCATATGATACGCCTACCGGCACGACACCCCAACCCCCAACAACCTCCCCTCTACTCAGCACTCGGCATACTCTCCACCTCCTCGCCCAAAGCACGCCAATTGTCCGCCTGCAGCTCCGCATACTTGACCCGTTCCTGGGCCCAATCCTGATGCAAGCGTGTGACGTGATACTGACTCTTTTGGAAGAACAAGAGTTCGTCGCGTATGCACTCGATGATGAAGACGCTGCGCGCATGTTGTGCGACTATGGATTCCTTGTCCTGGTGGGTGGGTGGTTTGTTAGTACAGAGGTACGCCAACTGGAGGGGGGATGGGGGAGTTTGTGGCTCGAGGGAAAAGTGGTAGGAATTGGAAAAGAAAAAAAAAAAAGTGAAAAACGAACCTTGAAGATTGCATCTTCAACTTTTTCCTTCTCGCCAGGCTTGACCTGCTCGGCCGGTTTATTCCTAATGGCCTGGAGTTTTGCCTCGTTGTTCGCAATCCGCTTCTCGAGATAGGGGATATTGTCTTTTGCATACTTGTCCCGCCGGTCAAACATGTCGCGTACACTGACCAGAGTGTCGCGCTGTCGTTTCAGATCCTCGAGCACCCCTTCTTCCCAGCCCCTTGCCTCATCTTCGAGCAGCTGTTTGGACTGGTCGAGGTGGCGGGCTGTAGCATGGAGGCCTTCGTTGAGCAGGGCCACATCGCCCGTGTCCACAGCATACGTTTCCTGAGATGCTTCGGCGAGGCTGCAGAGCGCTGTGGAGAAGCGAAGGTATTCGGCTGCCATGCCTTCGTTGCGTCGTGTAAGGCGCTCCATCATATTACAAAGTATGATATATGTCTCTGCGCTTCGGCGCACCCCGGATCGGACGGTATCGAAGAGATCGGGCAGGGTCTTGGGAAGCGAGTCCTCGAGGTCCGGGGGAAGAGTTTTGCCGGTGAATTCTTCTTGGACGGAGAGATTGGCTTGTTTGCGCCAAACGGCGAGTTCCTAGATCCGTTGTTCGAAGGGCATCCTGATGGAGGGTCAAGGAAGACTTACAGTGGGCACTGTGAGGAACATGACAACAAGTTGTTCCTGATTCAAGACTGGATGGCGCACAAGGGCGTTTGTGAACCTTTGTAGACCTTTCCGCCTCTTCTCGAGAAAACTCGCGTCCGCGGCTATTGGGGTACCATTGACTATTTCAGAACTCTCAACACACATGAATGGTCTTTTCGCAGTAGGCTTACTTACTGGCAACGCGCTTCGGGGGGAGGAGCGGTAGCTGTCGAAAGGGATAGCGCTTGTGGAGGCAGTCCAATAGCCAGACAAAGTCACTATACCGACGCACCACCTTTGCCGTCCGCCGTGAGCTGGCGACTTCGTAGTTGCGATGCTGGAACATGAACATGCCCTCTTTCTCCGACAGTGCGGTAATGGTGATGACTTCGTCTGAGCTACTACTAGCGGGGTTAATCCGACCTATGGATCTGTGCAGCTCAGGATTGGGATTGGGTCCACCCTCGTTTGCCGCTGGTGCACCAAATCCACCATGCCCAAGGTCAGGCGCTGCAAAGGGAGCAGCTCCTCCCCCATTGTAGCCTCCCCAGCCCCCTTCACTGCCTAACGAGCTGGGCTGGACGGGCGCTTGCATCGACGAGTTGGGAGAGGACTGGGTGGTGAACTGACTGGTGGTTCTTGCAGGGGCAGTTGCGCTCGCGCCATTGCTCTGAGATGGTAGACTGGTATAGCTCGCATGACTATGGTCTCGGTGTAGATCGGGGCTGCCCCAGGGGTCCGCCTCTGGGACGCCGAAAGACTGTTTGCGCATGGGAGCAGCATGCGACCGGGCAGGTGTAGGCTGCTCAGTGGACTGCGGCTGCGGCGTAGGAGGCGTGGATGGAGCCGCGTCTTGGGTCATGGGCGACGCTTCAGGGGCCAGCGTATCTGGCTTCGAGGGCGTGGGCAACGTTACGGTAGGCACGGGGAGATCTAGAATGACGTCAATGCTGCTCTGCTCCTATGGCATACCCACAAGGCGACCAGCTCACTTCTTTTCCTCTCGTCGACGCTGTCCAGGGTGATGTCTTCGCCCTCTTGCGCCAGCCCAATCAGTGCAAACACGACATTGAACTCGTTCCTTCCCAGACTCGCGCTTTCCTGTCGCGATGTGAAGACAATCTCCAGGATCCTCGACTGGTCGCCACTCGACACCCCGCTCGAGGCCACCAGCGCCTTCACACTGCTTACACTGACACCGTTGCCCACGCCATTGCCGGCGTCTAGCAGTGCGTCGTAGGCATCAATGTACGAGTCGGGCACGTCCGAGGTGGGTAGCAGCGACCTCACCAGCGCAGCACGGCCAGCTTTCTTGGGCGTGGGCAATGCCCATGGCGAGTCGCCCCCAGCGTCCACATCGTCTGCGAACAGGCTACTGCCCGCCCTGCCCGTGGCCTTGGGCTCGTCGTCGAAGAGTGACGTCGATTGCTTCGCGCGCGCTGGCACATCGTCCTCGCCGAAGAGAGACATGGAGGCGAGTCACGTGAAATGGTAGGTGGATGCCCAAGTCGCATGTATGCGCGAAGAAAAGGAATAGAATTTTCAAGTCTGCACCCTGCACGTGTCAACCAAGAGCAGCGGCAGTGTACACGATAGGCAGGCTCCAGATGAAAGGCGAGGATGGCTTCAGAGTGGTGATAACATGAAGCTTGGACATGCGGCACTGCCCAGGGCCCGAGCGGGCGGGAAAGCAGGGCCCTCCAACCGAGAAGCACGCGTTGGGCCCAAGCTCTTTTGCCCGCATCTTTATTCACGTCATGGTACATAGGTACACACTACTGGCTGAAGTGGGAGGTACAATTCGAGACGCTTAGGGGGAATTTCCAAGACACATTTTTTGAACTGTTTATTGGCATAGATTTGATGGCATTTCTCTCCTCTCCCTCTCCCTCTCCCTCTCCCCCTCTCTCTCTCTCTGTGGTGTACATGTGGTGTACTCCAAAACACAGTTCCAATCGCAATGCCTGCCGTCTTCCAACAGGCTGTTGCGCAACTCCACTCCTTGAATGAAATAAAAGGGCCAGACCCTAGTAGCCGGCGGGTATCCAAAAGAGTCCAATGCTTCGTAAAAAAACACATCTCGCTCCTTTTCCCAATTCCAACCATGCGCCGACTCATGCAATGTGCGGTACAATGAAACCACTCCACGGCATCCAATGCCACTTATGCGCCAAATGTGGGTATATACGATGAACCAAAGGAAAACGAACCGGTAGAAGTTGGCTACCGGTCGTGGTGGGAATGTGACTGTTGTCGTGGTAGGCTAAAGTCCATTATGGCTGTGGACTCCTGCACGGGTGATAGGGGGCTTCCAGCTGCTGCTGTGCCTGGTCGTCGCACCTCTGCACCGATCCCGTCGCAGACGGAACCATGTTGCAAAGACTCGTCGTCTCTCTGGCGAGCACACGACGACTCAGCTGCGAATCGAATATGTGAACTGCGGTTTTGACTGGGTGAAGATGGGGGGTGAACAACCTCGCTGGAATTGGTGTCCACTCCCGTATTTAAGCGAGATGGATTTGACTCTCCCTCAATCATGGTGGGTGAGTAGTCTGAATGAGCGTGTGGTTGATATAATATATCAGGAGACCAAGTCTGGCCTCGTGGCTGAGCTGGTATGATCGTCACTGGTAAGCTGGTCTCGAGATGGGGACCGGATTTCTTCTTGGACCGGAAGCGCTCTCCCGACTGTGCAGCGAACGTGCCTAATCGATCTGACAAAGCAAGCCCATTGTAGTTCCGTGGGGGAATGTGGACGGCTACATCTTCCACTTCTAGCGGCTCAATGACCCTGCCGCGCTGCAGTTCTTGAGGTGGTGTACGCCCTTTGCGCCGAAACGTGTTCCCCACGCCTTGCCATTGCCATTTACGTCTGCTGGTAACGGGTTCTGATGGTGCTGCATCGCCTTGCTCGGGATCCTCCCTATTGGCTGGCTGGCGTGGCGATCTTGGAGCTTCGTCTGCAGCCGCGGGTCGCTCTTCCATGGTTGCTACCCCCCGATCGGCCATGGGTGGGAGTGGCTGATGAGGCGGGGTTTCACTGATTGGGTGGTAGCGAACGGTATAGACGGTGGAATCCGCGCTGGTCGTGTCTGTCCGACTGACGGGGGATGAAATGACGGGAACAGGAGGTGGGGTTTGCACACGCTGGTACGTGCGTGAGCTACGATCCCCATGGGTCGCAGTATCTGAGCGTCGAAGAACTGGTGCTGGTGCTGGTATGCGTATGGTCCTCCTTTTGCGTGCCTCGGCACGTGGTGATTCAGTCATTTTGCGGCCCCATGAATGAGCCAGATGGTGGAAGCGACTGGCCTGCGCACCGAAACCACCTTTTCCTTGGGGGCCGTTCGTGTTTCCTTTTTCGGAAAGTTGACTCTGCCGTTTGGCAGGCCAACTTGGGTCTGATGACGACGAGGGCGTCGTATCGAGCATGTCGTCTCCGTCGTAAATTTCTCTTCCTAGAATCCCATCTTTTCTCTCCTCTCTTTCCAGTGCCTCGATTCGCTCCACCCATTCCCACACAATCACACTGGCAGCGGCGGCGCCGACCCAGCGGAAGTAGTCTCCCCATCCAGCAATGGTGTAGTTGGCAATGTCGGTAATAAAGAAGATGACGGGGGTAAGGATAGCAATGGTGGATAGCATGGCGACGACGCTCATGTTCCACATCATGGGGTGGTAGAAGGCGTATCTTCGCTTCGTGATGGCGTAGTACATGACCCAGGCAGCGTAGAGCATACTCAACGAGAGTTGGAACAGATAACTGAGGGCGGGAATGGCCGTGTCGAAGTGAGCCGGGCGACGGGCGCTCTCATAGGGGCCGAAGCTGTTGAGAGAGCTGAAGACGATGTCGAGGAGGATGAGGGCAAAGCCGACCCACTTGATGATGACCTTTTCCTTGTGGCGGGGAAACAGGCGGATCAGGGTCTGGACCTGGGCCAGCCACAGGAAGATGTCGGAGATGACGCGCGAGACCTTGATTTCCATGCCGGCGACGACCATGTCGCGGAGTTCCTTGGCGTCGATGAAGCCATCCTCGTACTGGCGCTGGGCGATTTTGAACGTGTCCGCGGTGGCGAGGGTCAGCGAGATGGCGACGGTCAGGGCAGCCGCCTTTTGCAGCCACGGCCGACTGCCCACACCGATGATGGAGCCGCTGCCGGTCGCGCCGCTGATAATGCCGCGTCGTCCCATGAGGCCTGAGCGGCCCGACGCGTTGCCAACGAAGAAGGTGCGCGGGGTGATGATGAGCATGATGACGAGCATCCAGGCGATGACGGTGGCGGCGCCCGTGGCATAGGCCTGGGGGGTGATGGAGGCGTGGAAGGGGTCGCGGATGTCGGCGATACTCGTGAGGCCGCCCGTACCGTCGCCGCCTTGTTGGACTTGGTTGGAGAGGCATTGGGGACGGAAGACGGCGTCGGAGTCGAGGGTGATGGTGTTGCCAGGGCTGAGTTCGATGACGCCCAGGGCAGGCAGTTTGTACGAAGGGCAGTGCTAATGGCCGGGTGTGTCAGTCGCGTTGTGGGAGAAGGGCAGAGGGGTTTCGCGGGCGCGGGCGCGGTCATGGACGTGGACGTGAACGGGATGAACTTACATATGGCCGGCTGGAGTCGCGACTCTCCAGGGACTCGCTGTCGGACGGCTGGAACGCCCACATGCTGGGGCGACTAGACGTGTGCAGCAGCAGCAGTGGGAGTCGGCTCGAGGTGGCCCATCCGGGGGGTTTCAGACGTGTGGCATGGCCGGTCCGGTGAGGGTGGAGGGTAAAGGGTGAGGGCAACCGGCTTTGAGGGTGAGGAGGAGCGAGCGAGAGGGGGTTCGAGGTGTGGTGTTTGCAGCGTGAGGGCAGTCGGGTGTGGGGTGTGTGTGTGTGTGTGTGTGTGTGTGTGTGTGTGTGTGTGTGTGTGTGTGTCGTCCAAGGGCGTTGTGTTCGAGGCCAGACGGGGTGGTGTGGGTGGGTTAAGCGTCGAGGGACGGCAGAGAAGACTGGAGCCAAGTCCAAAGCTTGTGCGCTGGGCGGAGAGAAAGGGTGGGTGAGCCAGAGGTTCCCAGACTGAAAAGAAGGCGGCGGCGTTGGGAGGGCAGGCACGACCAGGGTCAAGTTGCCAGGGTCAAGTTGCCAGGGCTGGCTTGCCGACACCAGAAGCCCCTCAGCCCGGCAGGCAGGGCAACCAGACTTTTGATGGCATGGAAGCACTGCACACTGCACACTACTGTACGCACACTACACACTACCCACTTCCCACTACGAATACAACAGTACACAGTACACAGTATACACAGTACTCCACACTACCAAAGGCAGTGAAGCTAACCAGCACCAGCCCATCCAGCGAACGGCTGTCAGCACCCGCACACCCGGCTGACAACTTGTCCGATTGGCGGTATTGTGCCGTCCCTACTACTCTAAACACAGTACTGTCTGTGTACGTACTAGTAGGTACATGCTCCAGTACTCCATGGCCACTTCCCCCCCCCCCCCTGGTCGGCCCTTCCCTTCTTCCATCAAAGCGCGCCTCCTGCAATGGGCCTGTCCTGTCATCGCCTATTATCCCAATCCATGCTAGCCTGTGTACTATACATGTACAGCATGTACTGTACTCTAGAGTACACTCACGCACTCCAACCCCGGAGTCCTTCTCTAAGCAGCCTAGCGTGCCCCTCGAAGCTGTCGCCGTCGCAGAACTCGCAGCCCGCAGCCTACCGAAGTTGGATCGAAGCCCCCCCCCCTCCCATCTTTCCACCTTTCCCTCTTTGGCTCTTTGGCTCTTTGCTTCTGCCTCTGCCCTGCACTTGCTCTCTACTGCCATATGAACCTTGACACACACAGTAGACATGACAGCTGTCTGACCATGTCTTCTCTTTGTCTCTATTCTTGGAATGAATGCCTTGTCAACATAAAGTTTAATTCTACTTTTACTTGTGCTTTTTCACCATGATGGCCCCCATCCATCTAAACATCCCGCGCCCCCCCCCCATCTCGATCTCGATCTCATTAGCTGATTTTCGGAACCTCACGGTTAACCGCCCCCCACACGGCCACGTTAGCATGAGTAGTTTATCTAGCTAGGAGTATTGTACCTACAATCTCTCGGTATGTATGTATGCATGTGCCTACAACAATCTACCCGCTCTTCTTGCCGCCCAGCCTCTCCCCCAACTGCACACTGCATCCAAGTCCCCCCTCGCTTGTCCCCTGTGGGCCCAATACTACCTGCTTTGCCTGGGCCTGATTCACAATCCACACAACAAACGCCTCTTTCCCTTCTTTTTTCCCCATCTGACCAAGCTTCGCTTCAGACGGCAATCTGGGCAGCCTCGTCTTGTGCCAAAGCTTGACGGCTACCCGCCATTGATACCTACCTTCCATCTACCCAGACTTTGCTCTGCATGGCCAACCTAGCCAGTCACATGGAAGCCAACCAAACCCCATCACCGGCCAATCAGCTCGGCTTCCCAACTCTTGCACTGCCCAGCATCTTGATCCTAGCTTGTCATCCCCAGTATTCGGTATGTCTACCTACGATTACGGTACCATACCAAGACAGCCCACCCATACCTTATCCAAATAGGCTCCATTGCCAGTACTCTAGGTACAGTAGGTAGCTACCGCAATCTTGGACACCGGTTCCCCGGCACGGCGATCAAATAAAGGTTCCCTCTCAATTTGCACGTGTTGGCCTGGGTACCTGTTCCTGCGGTGCAAATTCTTGGAGAATAGCTCCTATAGGTAGTTTACGGTAAACCTCTTGAAGGCTCTTGATCCACCATGGGTACTACACAGGCAACAAGATCATGTATGCCGATGGCTTACAGAATCGCGGCCCAGTTAGCTTCAAAGACCAAGCTTGTCTTCATGTCTCGCTGCAATCACCTACCCAAAGAAGGTGGTTGTTGTACGCTCCTCTGAGAAAAGACATCTGACTAGACGCAGATGCAGAGGTGACAATCTGGAGTACATCATCGAACATCAACGCTGCGAGCATTCGTGGAAACATGCTTCTGCTTGAGCATTGCCTACCTGGTTTACCTTTCAAGTGCTGTGCTTGCTTGAACACGTAGGTACCCGTACCCAGTGGGCACGTGCGAGAGAACCTTACCGTTACCCTAAAAGCTCAGACACCAACGCGTCTCCCCGCCCCAAGCACCAAGCACATCGACTGCCATTGTCGCGCCACTCGACATCTCCACCTCAACTCCACCTTGCCCAATCCTCCAACGCGCGCACCCAATATGAGCGCCGCGAATTCGCCCTCGCAGGCTGTCCAGGTCGCCCCCTCCACGCGACGTAAATCCGGACGCGTGTCCAAGAAACCAGAGAAATTCACGCCTGGGACAAGTCCAACGGGAAGCGCGAAGCGGAAGCGCGGCGAAGGCGGCGAGGACCAAGACAGTGGGCTTGATGCCGACGCGCCGTCGTCTGAAGAAGAAGAAGAGTCGGAGAGCAGCGAGGGTGAGCCAGACGAGGAAGAGTTGAGGGAGCGCCAGCGCAAGAAGAAGGGTAGGCCAGCTGTCCGAAAGCCGGCGCCGAAGAAGGCAAAGACCAATGGTACGAGTGTCAGTCTCGCGATCCGTCCCGCATCCAATGCGGCGAAGAAAATGAGCAAGCGGCCGCGCAAAGCACCTGTGCGCAAGAGCATGCTTCCGGAGCAGACTGAAGGACTCTACGGTAGGGCCTGTCCGGTACTGGCAGCTTTGCATGGATGACTGACGCGCACTAGCCGACGTGTTTGCGAGCGGAGACCGACTAGAAGATGTCACAGCACGATGGGTTGCGCGATTTGGCGAGCACGAAGCCAAAGCTGTGGCTGAGATTATCAATCTGGTGCTGCAGGCCGCGGGCTGTGACCTGCGGATCAATGAAGAAGACATAGCAGACCCAGATAACGCGCCGAATCGCGTGGCCGAAATACAGGAAGAGTTTCAGCAGGTGCGTGGCAAGGCCTCATCTGCTGTCCCCCTCTACCACCAGCACGCTAACAGCAAGCAGTATGAAATCACCGATTACCCGCTGATTGCAAAACCCAAGGACGGTGGCGGCCATGCTTTCAAACACGCGCTGCAAGGCTTCTTCCAAGCCCTCGTCCGGACGGTGGCCGAATCGGGGCTCATGTACGACAATACAGAGCTCATTGAGAACATATCCGTATGGCTCGGTGCCATGTCTTCCACGGGAAATCGTCCCATCCGACACACAAGTACAGTCGCAGCACTAGCCATCACAACCGCATTAGCAGAAGTGGCTGCCGATATTGTCGAGAATACAGCCAAGCGGATACGCCAGAGCGAGGCAGAGTCGAAAAAGTCGCGTGTCAATAAGGCACGAGTTTCGGCAGCTGATCAGGAGATTGCTCAGTACAATCAGAGACTGCAGGTGGTCGAGAGTGCGCTAGACGACTGGTTCAGCGTCGTCTACGTACATCGCTATCGCGATGTCGACCCACGGATTCGAATCGACAGTGTCATTGCCTTGGCGGACTGGATCATCACTTACCCCGACAAGTTCTTTGACGGCACTAAACTTCGTTATCTGGGCTGGGTGCTGTCAGATGCCAATCCCCCTACGCGCATTGAAGTACTGCACCAGCTGGCACGACTCTTCAAGGACGAGAACAAACTGGCAGGCCTGAAGACCTTTACAGAACGGTTCAGGCCGCGCATTGTCGAGATGGCCACGCACGATGCAGAGAACAACGTTCGTGCCGCTGCAGTGGAGCTTCTCGACATCTTACGTGAAGCTGGCTTCTTGGAGCCTGATGACATCGACTCTGTTGGTAAACTCATCTTTGACTCGGACGCCAAGGTCCGCAAGTCTGTGGTCGGCTTCTTCGCAGAAAATGTCAACGCGGCCTACGACGCGCTCGTGGAAGATATGGGAGGCGAGGAAGTTCTCAATGAAGCCCTAGCACCACCTGACGAGGATGACGAAGAATATCACAACCCACGGCTAGAGTGGCTGAAGCTCAAGTGTCTTGTAGACCAGCTGCTCTCATACGACGAAGACGAGGCCGAACTGCCATCTCAGATCCAGCGCATCTCTGCAAGTGGTGCAGAGCTTGGGCTGATAACTGCCGGTGTTGAGTCGAGACGCTCTCTCGCGGCACAGGCTCTGTATGATGCCATTCCAGAGATAAGATCGTGGGAGGTGATCGCGGGCTATCTTCTATATGATCACTCACAAACTACACAGAATGGCACAAGCGATGATGCTGAGGCCATGCTTCGTCAAAATTGCCAGCTAGAGGAGAGGCATGAGACGGTCCTGCTCGATGTGCTCAATGCCTCCGTTCATCTACGTCTCCATCGACTGGCAGAGGCGCAAAAAGACAAGAAGAAGACCAAGGCCCAGCGCGATAGTGATAAAGAGGACCAATCAGACATGGCTCGACGGCTTTCACTACTGATACCCCAGCTTCTGAAGAAGTTTGGCGCCCTTCCTGAGGCGGCTGCGTTGTGTCTCCGTCTGGAGCGCCAACTCAATCTCGAAGTTTTTCAAGAATTACGACAAAACGCCGCGCTGACAGCACTGCTTGATGACATCAACAAACAGTTCCTTACCCACCATAATGAACAAGTTTTGATAGAAGCTATTGAATCAATCAGGTATGCCCAAGACAACGATGAGCTCAAGGAAACGGTCAGCATCAAAATACAATCGCTCTGGGACGACCTGATCAACACGTTTGACGTGCTGCGGCGTGACCGCGATCTCACCACTCGCGGCAGCCTCGACCAAAACATTCTCGTCGGCGTCTCAAACGTCGTTCTTAAGATGGCACAATTAGCCAAAACTTCTGATGCCTCTGTCCTCGACCACGTCACCGCGCCTGCGAAAACAAAGGGCAAGGGCAAGAAGGCAGCCTTGGACTCCCCAGCCATCGAAGCCGTACTCCAAATCCTAGACCGCGGAATCCCAACCGAAGATCTCGATGACGAAATCGAGGAAGCGGAGGACGTTCTCGTGCGCCATGCCATGTCCCTCATGCTCATCTACTTCCTCTGGAAATCGCGCGAATGCGCTACCCACATCGAAGACGGAACATCCATGTCTGACGACGCACTTGGTCTGCTCGTCGAGCGCCGTGACATGTGCATAGCTAGCCTCATGGCCATTATGGAATCCCGTAAAGGCGTCGACGAGGTACGCCTTGACGCCGCAAATCTCCTGCTGGATATTCACAGCATGTTTCACATTATACGCGTCAAAGCGAAGGAGAGCAGCAGCGCGAAAGCTATCAAGACGCCTAAGAAGGCACAGGGTCGACGCGATAATGCAAAGGACAGCGGTAATGATGACTGGGAAGCTTTATGCAGAGACATTGACGGAGATACTGTGAAATTACTCTTTGCCATTCTAAACGCGCAGGAAAACGCGCTTGCAAAACTCACACACAAGCGTCTCGAAGAACCAGACGTCAATGACGACCCCATTGACCCCGATGACGAGGAGCCAGAAAACGATGAAGGCGAGCCCACGGAAAACGGTGTGACTGATAAGCAGGTGCGCGCCCTGCTCACGGAAAACAGCCTCTGTGCCTTTGGCGGCCGTATCGTGCATGCCGTGCTCGTCGGCGCGTTTGGAGCTGCCGGTGAGGCAGTGCGCAAGAGGCTGGAGAGGAACAAGGGAAAATTGACGCATACGTGGAGGGAGGTTGTCAATCATGTCGAGGATGCCAAGGTCAAGAGGGCAGCGAAGAAGCCAGCGGCGCCTGCGAAGGCGGCGACTAAGCTGCCGAAGAGCAAGGAGATTGTAGAGGTTAGTGATGGCGAAGACGAGGATGAGGAGGACGACGAGATCGACAATGAGGATGAAGATGAGCGGGATGGTGGGATCGAGGGCGCTGAGATGGAGGATGAAGAGATGGGTGATGCTGATGCAGAGACGAGGGACGAAGGCGGCGCCAATGGAGATGTGGCTGCAGATGACGAGAGTGTTATTGGCGACTGAGCTGCACGAGAAGTCTACAAGATAGGAAGAGGAGTTTTACTCTGAGATTTGTTTTATGCCCGTTCGCTTTCTGCTGCATTATCTAATGGTTTTCATTTAGCGCGTCATGGTTTCCCACGCTGAGGTTTTCTTTTCTTTTCTTTTCTTTTCTTTCTTCTGCTTTCTCGTCTGGCGCTTCGGCATTTTGACGATCAGGTGGGGGCCTCGATGTCGATGAGGAGAGAGAGAGAGAGAGAGAGAGAGATGTGTGTGTGGATGGATGTATGATAGGTCTCTGCTGCATGCGCTCTGCACTTGCTTTAATCCTATTACGCCTTTTTCCGATTTGATTTAATGTGCGTATATCAAGATGGTTCATTCGTAACACGTGGGTATCATATCATGGACTTTTCCAAATCGGTACGACGGACACGACAAGCGGCTGTCTCTATTTCCCGCCACCAGCGGTGTGTCCCCTCCCACCCTATAACAGCTCGTCGTCTCCAACCGACATCACCGTGCTCTTCTCCACAGCGACATCAACCTGTTGCCCATCACCTTTGACCTCGCCATCCTGCACCACTGCATCCACACCCGCACCCACATCCACCTCATCCATATCCTCATCCACCCAACCGCCCGCATCCTCCAACCCCACATCCACCTCCTTCCTCCCCTTCTTCCTCCCCACCTTGACCCCATCATCATTAACATCCTCCCACCCCTTCGCCCGCTCCTTGACCTTCCGCTCCCTACCCAAACTCTTATTCCGCTTCACCTCCAGCTTATCCATATTCTCCGCCGCCCGCTCGAGCCCTTTTTGCTGCCGCAGCCGTTGCGCCCGCGTCAGATTGCCTTTTTTTTGCTTCTTGATTATGCCTGCGTCTTTGGCGGCCAGCGCGTGCGGGTTCAGGGATGAGGGGCGTGAGGGCGAGGCGGAGTCGCGTGTTGGCTGTGTAGGCGGTTTTGCGGATTTGTCGAGGTTGAGGGAGGGGGAGGCGGCGCGGCGGGCGGCGCGCGAGTGCACTGTTACTTCTGGAGGGGGGTGTTAGATGGAGGTTAGGGAGTATATATATATATATATATATATATATATTTACGGGGGTAAGGGCGTTTGAGGTGGGACGTACGGCGCTTCTTGACTTTTGCGGTTTTGGCCATTTGGGCGGTTTGGGGGGTACCTATGGAGTAGATGTGGTTTCGCGAATTCTTGATTATTTTTCCATGGACGTTGTGGGAAGTTTTTGGTGCTAGAAGGATGGATCTAAACTCTCAAGGATTTGTCGAGTCAATCTTGTTTACTTGCTTGGGTTCAGTTCGTGTCGGATGTTGGTTCGCAATAAAATGTTGCCCACGACGTACCTAGAACACAAAATGAATTTCACTAAGACCCACATCAATGCGCTAAGCCCTCTTGAGCGGATTCCGGCAGCGTCCCCGACAATGGCCCTGAGCTTCTCCACAAGCCAACAAACTGTCCCTTTGATAATCAAACGCCGCCACCGTCCATCCACCGCCATCCACCTGTCCAGCGTCCCTTTTGACTCTAACCCACGTCTTCCTCCACGCTGTTCTGCTTCTGCTTCACCCATCCATGTCGCAGGCACACTGTACCGCTTCGTGCTTGCTTTGCGAGACTTTGTCCATGCGTGGGTTTAAAGGCTGAGTGGGACGTCGCCCGGAAGCCCTTCTTCACTGTTCACATTCACATTCACACTCACACGCACATTCATACTTTATAACCTCGCCAAATCTGCCTGCGACCGCGCACAGACCAATATACAAGTACCAATCACTCACAATAACAATAGCGTCCCAAGCCTAGAAGGTGAGAGCTATGGGCTACGCCGCCTATCCAGAGTTCGACGACTATCAACAACGGCCCAACCCAGCCGCACCACGCCTACAATCGCTTGCCTCGACAGTAGTTGGAGCCGTCGTCATAGTATACACTCTCTTCAAGACCGTCGAGTTCCTCGGCTATCCGGTTGGCCGTTGGCTTTATCGACTGGCGCGCATGGCTGCCCAAATCCTGCGCCACGCAGGCGCATCCTCCCCACACGGATCCGAATCTGACACGAGCGACGATACGGCATCAAGCAGTGGAGGAATGTTGGGGAGCCTCTTTAGTCTGAGTCCTACGGGTCTACTGCAGAAAGGGGTACGGGGCGTAGCGGGGGCCTTGTCAAGAGGCTCGACCGAAACTCCTCCCGGCTTGGGCAACATGAGCAATTCCTGCTACCAGAACAGCGTCATCCAAGGGCTCGCGTCGCTCCCGTCGCTGCGCGAATACCTTTCGAAGATACAATCCGAACATGCCTCCCTTACCAAGGAGTCCATGAACGGCGCGCTTTACGACCTGCTCCGCCAGCTGACCGATCCCAAAAACGTGGGCCAGAGCTTCTGGGTTGGAGGAAAACTCAAGTCGATGAGCGTATACCAGCAACAGGATGCGCAGGAGTATTACAGCAAGATCCTGGACACAATGGATGAAGAGGTGAAGAAGGCGTCAAGTAGTAAGAGGCGAACCTCTGTCTCCTGGGTTGAAGCGGCAAAGAGTCTGAGTGACTCACCAGACAGTGCAGCCGATTCAGAAACGAATTGCGAAAATAGGAAAAAGGAAAAGACCAAGTCCATCCCGTTGACGGAGCAACCAAAGACCGTACCCAATCCACTGGACGGGCTCCTCGCCCAGCGCGTTGGATGCACATCTTGTGGCTACTCGGAGGGTCTTTCGCTGATACCGTTCAATTGCATCACTGTATCATTGGGTCAAGACCACGCCTATGATATCAGGTACTGTCTCGACGAGTACACTTCCTTGGAATACATTCGAGGAGTTGAATGCGCAAAGTGTACACTTCTTAAACTGAAGAGTACATTGACACCTTTAGTCGCTAAGAGCCCCGATTCGCCATATGCAGCCAGGCTGAACGCCGTACAAGAGGTGCTCGACGAGGAAGACTTTGAGGATAAAACCCTGATAAAGACGCTCAACATTCCAAAGAAGAACTGGGTGAAGAGCACAAAGTCAAAGCAAATAGTAATTGCGCGGGCGCCAAAATCCCTCGTCTTACATGTCAACCGAAGCAGTTTCAATGAGATGACGGGCAACTCGTACAAGAACACGGCCGGTGTTTCGTATCCCAAAATCCTGGATCTGGGGCACTGGTGCTTGGGTAATACACCAAGCGGGTCTCAGCATCCCGATATGTCCCTCGAGGAGTGGCCGCGGGATCCCAAGGAGTCCATGTTGGCTGTGGCAGACGACGAGCCTACGACGAGTTCGCCGTTCCAGTACCGGTTACGTGCAGTGGTGACGCACTATGGCAGTCATGGAAATGGACACTATGTTTGCTATCGACCGCATCCTAAGCCGATGAGTCAAAGAAAGGAGACTGTTGAGGGCGCTGAAGACGAAGGAGATGAGGCACAAGACAATGAAGAAGAGCAGTGGTGGCGGTTTAGTGACGATAGCGTATATGCGATTTCGGAGTTGGACGCGCACCAGGGTAATGTCTTTATGCTGTTCTACGAGCGTATCGATGATCCCATTCCAGCGCCACCACGCACCGACCTCGGTCTACCGCAGATGCTGGCGGTTCCCGCGGATGCCCCTCTGCCTCCGGCCGACGTTGCAACCGATCCTCACCTTGTTGATATTGATGAAGCAGCGAATATCTCACTTCCTGAGGAGGATGACCTCCTCGACCTCATTCCCCCGCAACCGCAACCAGTACAACCTGGCGAAATTGAGTCTTGTGTGCCTCCCACCGTCGAAATCCCTACATCACCAATAGCCCAGACCCCACCAAGCACAAACGACCTCAACTCCAACACAGACTCACAACCATCGTCAACTCCACCCGCATCTCCATCACCAACTCCCACCACTAGCACTTCAGATCCGAGCACAAACACATCCTTCACCACCCTCCCCTCAGACGCCGAATCAGAAGCAGACACCGACCTGCCCACCGCCCCTACTCCGAAAACCACACCCATCCCCCAGGTGAGCCCGCACCTCATGCGCACAGCAGGTGCGCGCCGCGGCCAGGGTGGCAGAAAGAGCCTCCCCCTTGTTTCGGCGACGTAGTTTGCGCGAGGCACGAGGCAGGCCCAGATGCTCAGGCGTCGGTGGAGGCAGGGCTGGAGACGGTGGAGGGAGTGGACTCGGCGTTGGTACTGAGGCGAGATGGGGGTATTTCGACAGAGCCAGGCTGGGTATCAGCGTGAAAGTTTTTGATGTTGAAATGAAATGGCGTTTTGGATGGACGGATGGGGGGCGGGGGAGATATACCTGCTGCCCGAACAGGGTCAGGGCGGCGTTTTTTGTTTTCTTTGGGAGAGGGGGGATTATTGTTGATTTATTGTTTGTTTGCGGGTTGAATGTAAGCGGGCATGGGAGGGGTACCAAGGGTTGTGTATTCGCCTCATGCCTCATCGTACTGGGCGTTTTTCTGGCAGACTTTTGCTTGCTGTTTACTTCCTGCTTCCCCGGGCTAATGTAATAAGGGTTTTCATTGAGCTGTATTGTGAAGATGCACCCGCGCTCGTCTTGAAGCGATGACGCGTTTTGAAAACACGTGGCCAAAGAACGGAATTCTCATCTTCGGTTTAGATTACTGGGATTGAGGGTTTGACACGCATGGGAATGGGAATGGGAATGGGATCGGGATCGGATGGGGTAGCCACCCTTTTTCTCCCCGCTACTTTGCCAAAACTAAAGAACCAGCTGGCTATTTCTTGTCCTTGACGTTTGTGGCTCATTGCGGTTGCGAGGAATCCAGCGTGATTTCCCGCCCGGTTACTGCGCGGTCCTGCATAAGCACATCCTGGCCTGCACTTGCAACATGTCCAGCATCCAGCACGTGCTCGCTATTCCCCCCATCAAGCACAGCACTCAGACTACCTTCCCTCTCGCTCCGTCCCTCCCCACTACCACCGTCTTCATCTATCCAGCCCATACCCGCCCAGCCCTCCCCCGCCGTTCCAAGCACCTGATCGGCATCCAGCTCGACGCCCTCGAACCAGCGTTCCCTCCTCTTAGTCTCTCTAATCCCGCCCTCCATCGCCGTGCGCGCTGCCCTCGTGCTGCGGCCTCTTTTTTGGGCTCCGCCTAGGCAGAGCAGGCCGTTTACGCGCGCCCGCTTTGTCTCGAGATGGCGTTCGTGTGCGACGATGCTGCGGACATAGGGCGCGAGGTCGAGGGTGACGATGCTGAATGTGCGGTCGAATGAGGAGGGTGTGAGATTGTAGGAGCTGCGTTCCGTGAGTGGTGCGTCGGGTGGTGCGGCGAGGGGGTCGAGGGCGGAGGCGAAGACGGAGCGGGTCAAGATGTGGGGATGTGGGGAGATGTTTTTGCTTGCGAGGATTGAATCTGTGTAGGCTGTTTCCGTGGCGGTGGCGTTGGTGTTGGAAGGGGAAGGGGGGGATGGTGAGAATTCTGGGTATGCGCGGGAAAGGAGGAGGCGGGATTGGATGTATAGGCCTGTGTCGAGGGAGGAGAAGTCGGTGCGGGGATCGACTTGGAGAAGGGGCGCGGAGAGGGTGTAGCTTAGGCGTGTCTTGTCGGGGATGGGGGGGAGGGTTGGGTCCGTGGGTTCGAGGTGGTGGTGGGGATAGGTTGGCAGGCCGATGCGAGAGTATACGTCTGCTGCGCTGAGGGAGTCGACAAAGTCGTCGAGGCGTCCGAGCATAGCCAAGTTTGAGGGCGGGATGGGGGTTTGATTAGTGCAGTGTTGGCTGGAGCTATCCACAGGCAAAGTCCATTCGTTTGGACTGATGCCCCAATCTCTCCAGACTTCCTTCAAGAGCTCTTCCTCTTTGTCGAACGCAGTGTGTGCTTGTGCCTCAAAAATGTTATGGGATAACCATCCCATTCCAGGTTGATACGTACCCTCACTAGCCACCCTCAAAGTGTCACCGTGCTCATCGCAGTCTTTCCCGGGTGGCCAGCGTTGGTACATCCACTCCAGTCCACCTTTTCTATCACCAACAGACATCTGGCACCAAAAGTCCAGTTCATTGATGCTCGCGCGGAGGTCATGGTTCCTCGATTTGTATAGATCCTCCACGGCCTTGCGTTCCAGGATATGACCCTCCTTACCAGCAAGCACTAGCAGGTAGTCAATTGCAAGGTCGATTGGAGGTGGTTGGAGACGAAGCATAGCCGCTAGTGGTAGATCATAGGCCGGGATTTGTGTTTCGTCGTTGCAGCTGATGACGATAGGCCTTTTTGAACTGAGCGCGAGCTTTGTGACCTGAGCCCAGAACTGCTGGTCCTCCTCAAAAAGAATGTCTGCCTCCTCAAAGAAGATGAGAGACTGTTTCTGGGATGTGCGGGCTTCTGCAATCAGGGGCAACACGGCTTGCGCGGCAGGCGCCATTTTCTTCTTCGCATCTTGCGTTTTCGGAATGGAGCTCCTGGGTCTGGAAACATGCTTTGGTTTCCCTGCGGGCTTTGCCTGGAAGAAGGAAGTCACTGTGCCTTGACGCCCACTGGCAATGTCGTCTTGCAGAACGGAATCAAACTGCTCAGTATCTGTATTTTCGGCTGTACCAAGGTCCTCTTTGATCGATGATACGGCCCGTTTGTGATTAACGAGATGATTTGCCGTCATGTCGCCCACTTTGTCCTGAATATCTTTACCTGCCCGGCGCATGCCAGAATTGATCTCGAACACCTCAAACCCCAACTCTTTGGCAACAGCATGCACCATAGCGCTCTTTCCACAGCCGTGAGGCCCGCTGACAAGGACAACATTTTTGTCTCTGGTCCACCGTGATACTCGTAAAGATCTCATGTGAGACATGACTGCCGCATGGGGAAGCTCGATCATTTCTTCAGGTTCTACCTCATTATCGGAGACAATGAAATCGTCCGCAGCCTTTTTCCGCTTCTTACGTGGTGGCTGCTTAGCATCAGATAACACAGAGGTCTTGAGCGCGCCGCCAACCGCCATGACCGTCAGGCTTTCTAGCCAATTCTTCAGAGTCCTCGCCTGTTCGAAGTTGTACAAAATGTTCTCAGTGGATTGGGGGCTGTACTTCTGGTTCCATGTCTGACTTTCACACTTTCCCTCATCAAAAGGCGTTAGAGATTTGTGGATGTCGAAGTACAACTTAGCCACTGCAGGGCTGCACCCCGGCTGTAATTCTTGTGTGGCATGGTCTCCTAGGCAAGTCATAACTTGCGCACGTACTCTGCGCGATATATCCGTGCTCGTGGTGAGTAGTCGTGTGGGTAATCGAACGTCTTGAGGTGGCTCAAAGGTAGAGGAGTGCTGTCTCGATGTGTCCTGCAGACTATTGCAAAGGTTTCGCGCCAATCGTGAGACTAGCTCTTCATCTTGTGATAGTTGAACAACAGCATTCTTCATCTTGCGAGGCCTTAGCCCCAATTGCACCGTCTCAATTTGACATCGCATTGGACGGGGACTGGTCGAATTGCGGACGTGAGCTGTTTCTCTTGTTGGCCAAGAGGCTTCGTATAGTCCAGACTGTTTATTTCCACGCGCCCTCTTTCCGTTTATCCCAAAAGCTGGTAAGTCCTCCGGTGATTGATCACGACGAGTCTCAGCACGCAACTTACCCGGTGTGCATGCGCTCTTTCGCGGGGCAGGAGGTAGTTGCTGAACAGCAGATTTGGCAGGCGGATCATCTTTCTTGCCTGTGAAGAAGGGATGAGGAGGTTTGGAGGGACCTGTAGGCTTGGTGGTGGCTACTTTGATCTTGGGAGCACGTCTCCCAGGCCGTCTCGGTCCGTTTAGTATTTCTTCAATTTTTTTACCAAGAGCTGTTCTGCTATTGAGGTCTGACATGGAACCATACTTGATCACAGTCACTGTAGGGGAGATTTTGACTTTGGTTCGTGGTCGGCCACGTCTCTTCTTGGGCGACTCTAGCACAGGCTTGGGTGGACTAGATACCAGTTTCCCACTCTGAGTGACCTTGATCTGCTTTTTGGGGGGTGTTTGACGCATTTCAGGTGTCGCATTCTCTGCCAGGTTGGCAACTAGCTCAGCGTCTGAAGCTACTGCACGGTCGTCGAGTCTTGACAGCGATACAGGCTTTTGAACATCCATGTGGGTTTCCCCGCTCTCGGCTTCGTATACAAGCGAAACTTCTCTCGATTCGTTCGTTTGATTCTCAGCTTCCACTTGCAATTGGTGATGCCAGTCTAAATGTCGGTGCAGTGGTTGCGATGAGGATTGCGGTTGTATCGACAGGGGTGGCGACGCCGTCTTCTGCCTCTTTCTGCGCTCATGGTTGGGATCTGCCTCTAGCGAAATTTCTGTTACGATATCACCATTAGTCGCCGCCTGGTCACTGGCACTCTGGGCCTTTGGGCGCGCAAATCTCTCGAGAGAAGTCTGTCCCTTGGTAGCGAATTCACTAGACATGCTACCCTTCGGCGTGCCAGACTTTTTTGTTCGCGTCTTTCGTCCCTTGACCGACTGAGGAATCGTCTCATCATGTTCTGGGCCATTGTGTGCTTCGTCGAGAATGTTCGTTGCGTTGGTGGATTGCGGGTCTTCGGGTGTAGATTCTTCTGTATCCTGGTCAGTCAACCGTATACAATAATCGTAGCTCAGACATACTGGACACCTTGGAGAAGAAAGGATGCAAGCCCTTCGCCTCTAGATGCATTGCAGTTGATACTGCAGCAAGGGCCATTTAAAGTACAGTCCAGTACAACAGAGCACAGCACCGCACAGCCCAGCCAAGCACCAGAATCTACCAGAGCATGTCGAGTGCACACAATGCGAGGCGTAGAGTCTAGATAAGTCGTGAATAGAATCTTATGATAGAGTCTAGCGGGTGAAGGACGGTGTCGAGGGCACTGAAGGCAGATGACAGCTTCACTCTCCAGTCTCCAAACGCGACTAAGAGAGACCAGACGTCAAAGACGCGCCGACGCGCCGGGCACGAGCCACACACTCCCGCCCTGCCCGCTTTTCCCCATTTCCTCTGCGCGCCACAGTGCCTGGCCACACCGCCAAGAGTTCTGCCTTTCTGCCTCACCGCTCGCGTTTTCTGCCCAAGCTTCCAACTTTTTTCTTTCCAAGCAGTTGCAAGTCCAATCTCGTCACGCGCCTCAACCGACGGCTCACGCAGACCTCCAGCCCTCTCTCCCACGCCCAGGTCTGGCAAACACCATCATGTCGTCTGATCAGCCAATTGGCGCGCCCTTTACCCTGGCCACGTTGTCCAAAGCCGTTGCCTCCTCCTATGGGCGTGTGCATGCTGCCGGTGTCTGCAGCATCAGCGGCATCAAGAAGAGGAAGCGCACTGAAATCGCCGTCGGCCTCAATGGCGAGGGTGTATCCATCTACAGCGTAAGTTTGGTTGCTCCATCTGTAAGAGAAAAAAAATTCACAATGCCCAAAAGTTGCAAAATCCACAGCTTGTCACATCGTATGCCCTCCCACCCAGCGCCACCTTCAACGCCGCCCCATACTCGATCTACCGCAAGGGTACTTCACGGACACCCACATGTCGCTTCACCTATGCTTCTTTAACTGGCTCAATTTCAGCGGAAAAACCTCAGTTGGTTTGCTTCCACGAAGAGACGTTGGGAGAAAACACCGAGACCACGAAGACCTTCTGCACTCCGTCAACTACCGCCCAAGTTCTTTCACTTGAGTCGCTACCCGTTCCAGCCAGCGGCGCCACTAGCGCCAGGACACACGACCTACTTGTGACCTATGACGATGGTGACGTGCTTTGTCTCTCAGCGGATCTGCAAACCAAGAGATGGTCTGTCAACCTCAAGTCGCTTCTGTCATCCGGTGCCTCCAATGTTCAGCTAGAGCATGTATCCTTGGCGAGTGCTAGGGCAGTTACTCGTGGTCTTCTGCAGAGTCGTGAAGACATTGCAGCCATCTTAGACCCGACACCAGATGCTGCATCAGATCTGCTAGACCTTACCCAGGTCATATGTCTAGTGGGACGCTTTGATAAGAACCGCAGGATAGTTGCACTTCTGCAAGTTTACCCCCGCTCCCAAGACCTTCCCACAAGCCGTTTATCGCCGGTGAAGCACCTAATTACATGGAACCTACCCGGGACTTCCTCCACTCCAGCATATACGACAGAGGTACCTCAATCTGCGTTCCACGCCTCTAGCGGTATACTACACACACTCATTGGCGGCACGCTTCTCACATACGATTTGTCTGGTACTATTCCAAAGCTCACTTCAGAATTGAGCATGCCTGGAGTGAGCTTGGACGCATTTCTGCGTATCTCGCAAGATGTAATTTTCACGACTACCCAGAACACGTGCCGAGTATTCGATTCCAAGTACAAATCTTTGCAGGCATTGTTGTCAGTGGACCATGTCTCGGCTACAGCAGACCCCACGAGTCCTTCGAGAAAACGCAAACACGCAATACAAGAAGAAGCTGCCCAGACCATCTCGCCATGCCATCTCATTGCCTTCTATGCCGACCTGGGTTTGGTAGTAGCTACGCGCGGAGGTGAGATTTTCGGTATGCAATACGGGAGCACACTCACACGAAAGCGTGTGAAAACAGAAGGCACCCTTCTCATTGATGCTATCGGGAAAGGATTAGCTTGCAAACCCAAGTTTAGCATGGGGGTAGATGCGCAGGCCTGGCGGAGCAAGAAGATCAAGCTAGGTAAGCACGCCAGCAAAGGGAAGATTGCCAAATTTGAGGAAGCTTTTGCTGCGAGCCTGGGTATTGAGCTTGAGGGCAGCAGTTCAAAGACCAAGAAAGCCAACGAGCAAAATGGGGGACCCTTAACAAATGGGATTGGTCCCAAAATACCTGATGTAGACGCGATGACTGTTGACAACATCAACAATGACGAGGATGAGGACAGTGAATTGCGAACATGGAGAATGCCCAAGAGTGTGCCCCACAGCCAGCAACAGCAGTATCGACAACACGCGCTGTTTGCGCTGAGCAAGATCTTCCGCTGGGTAGCTGCCCACCCGTCGCATGACGAGCCACAAGGGCATCTTAAAGTTGACTTCTTCCCACCAAACGTATTCCAGTGGCTACTCCAGATAGGACAGTTGACGAAGGAGTCTATCCGAAGAGCCATTATTGAAGAGAGTCCCGAAAGCATCCAGGCAGCATCTATCATTGTGGACGGAGACATTGTCAAAGCTCTGGTTGACTTCGATCCTGACTTGCATATTCTTTCTGCGGTACTGAATCACAGTCAGTTCCTACCAGCGGGTGAAGTGGTTCAGTCTATCAAGCTACTCATGCAGAGCCTGGATGACAATGACGAAGAGAATGAAGCCATGAAGCTTCTTACTTCTGGAAACAACGAAGATGAGATGGACCTAGACATTACTTCCGAACTCGAGGCCGCATCCCACGAAATCGAGCATGCCCTGGCAGTCCTCGATCACGGTCTCGCAACACGGAGTCATACTCTGCGTCCCGCGCTCATCCGGTTACATACGTTTCCGGCACCAGTTGTCAGTGCAACACTGCGCTCGATGCTGCCTCGTCGAGATCTGGAATCGCTCATCCGTCTGCTTCATCTCGAGCTAAGAAACGGCGGTTGGACCTCTTCCTACGACTTCAACTCTGATTCTGCATTTGCTGAGAGCTCTGCTGGGGACCCGGATGATCATGCCGTCACGATTATCGCCTCCCTCCTCAGCAGTACGCTCGATGCGATTGGTGCAGGCGCTTGGCTTGCTTCTGTTGGCACCCTCTCAACATCAGAGACGAGCGAAGACATCATCCAGTCTCTGCACACGGACACATCGGAAGCACTCAACGGGTTCTGGGAAGCGCGATATATGCGTGGTCTCTTGTCCGAGTTTCTGCGTTACGCATCCACTGTTCCAAAGTCTCAACGACCATCGAATAAAAAGCTAGAGCAACAAGGGAAACCATTCCCAGTCATGAGTAAACTTGACAGGGATGAGGATCTACCCATGCTTCCACTGGGCGGAAAGGCCGATATGGGCATCGAGAGGATGAAGAAGGGTCACGGGGGCAAAAAGGAAGAGCGCAGTAAAAGGGAAATGGGCATGTTGATTAGTAAGCGGGTACCGAAGTACAGCTTCGAGAGAATTGTCATTTGAATGCGGAGCGATTTGAGTTGCATAGTCAGAATAGCATCGTTGCCCTCCGTGGCCATCTCTTTTTGAGCAGACGTTAGGAGGTGTTTTGCAGCTGTTGTACTGCGTCTGCTCGTCCGCGCCATTGTTTGTACTGGTTAGGGCCGAATGCTTGAAATACAGTAGGTAGACCGATATCCCAAAAAGACTAGTGGGGCTCTGTGCACTGGGCGTTTATAGAGATCTTGGCATTGCAACCAAGCCACTCGTACGAGGAGCAACCTTGAAATGACGTTGGTCTCGGTCCGCATCGAAATCTCGTCGCCGCGATGAGATGGCGCCAAAGCTTCGAAGATTTAGTTGCTTTCGATGATTGCTTCCTTTGCGCAACCACTATCGCAGCACTTTTGTCTCCAATATTCTCATCTTCCTTTGGGGGGTTCTTTCATCCATGCCTTTTAGGATACATGATTTGAAGCCTTTTTTGGTGGTATACCGGTAAACGTCGCAATAGTGTCTTGAGCAATGAATCAAGGTGTGCTGGGGAGGGAAGACACGGAACCAGATGGGAACATTACGGCACTCCAAGAAGAGCACGGTTCTTCCAATGGATACCAGCAGCACACGACCGGCATGGAAGACGCGGAGAAGGACAAGAAGAAAGAAGGAAAATCGAATTTCATAGTCAGAATATGGAAGAAACTAGGTCTGGATGTTGACACGGTCCTAATGATGGCAAAAGCGGCCTGTCCCCCAACTATCGCCCTTGCCATGCTACAAGCAGATGCTGTCGCGAAGAAGTTCGCTACCCTTGGTTATTTTGTTGCCATCATGTCCATTCTCGGGTTCTGCATCATGCCACGGGCAAAGTTCATACAGACTATGATTATGAACGTCATCGGAACCTGTCTCGGGTCGGCCTTCACTATGCTCATGCTCTGGACTGGTATCAAGGCCCGTGAGCATACCACTGTCCCTGGCGCACCTCCTCAGCGCTACAACTCGTCCCAATCGGCCGTGTTAGCTGTGTGGCTTTTCTTCCAGATTTATGCTGTCAGCACTATCAAGGCCAAGTTTCCACAACTGGCATTTCCTACAATAATCTATGCCATCCAGATCAATGTTGCGGCGACCAATGGATTCTTATTTACGACAACGCCACAGTGTGAGGCCTTCGTTTTGAGACTGCTTGAAGCATTCTTGACCGGGTTTGGGCTGGCGACGGGGGTATCGCTATTCATCATCCCAGTCACGTCGAGAAAGGTCGTCATGAAAGAATTCACGGGGTACATTATGTTGCTAAGAGGGGCTTTGGGTGCCCACAAGGCTTACATTCACTCTATGGAAGGTGGAGACATGTACGAGCAGACTTATGTTCCAGAGGAGGGGGAGCGCAGCAAACCGAAAGACAGGCCAGAAATTGCGGCGATTAAAAAGGTGATTGGACAGCTGCAAGAGCTGCATGGGAAGCTTACTGCCGATTTGCCGTTTGCAAAGCGGGAGGTCGCGTATGGGAAGCTGACGGCAGATGATTTGGAGGGCACGTTCAAGAAGTTGAGAACGATATTATTGCCTGTGCTGGGCATGAGTTCAATTATGGATCTCTTCGCCCGGGCGGCTGAAATCAATCATTGGGAAGGCAATGAGACTGACTACAATGAGGAGGAGCGCATGAAGGCTGTCGCAGATTGGAACGAACTATTCTCATTCGTACACGAACCGTTCGACAATATATTTCAGGCCCTTGATGACGGTCTTGCTCACGTCCTTCTGAAGTTACAGCTCGTTGAACCACCGAAGAAAATGAAGGGTCATAACCAAAATGATGAGGAAGCCAAAGGCGATTCTATTCGACCAGGAGACGAAGGTTTTGCCAAACATTTCGACCAGCAGGCCGCAATATTCTTCGGCAAGAAAGAGCCTACGCTCCGCCACTGGGTGAAGAGCAAAGGCATCACACTTCACGACGACTATTTCTCTGAGCCTGACTCCATCAATGACGAAACTCTCAAATTACTTCCCAACATAACTACCCGCGAGCGTGATCAGCGCCAGCTCTTCCTGGTCCTATACATAATGTTCTTGCTTAATGGCATCAGCCGGGCGGTCTCCGACCTGGTTAGATTCGCTGACGAGCACGACGTTGCAAAAGAGAAGAAAAAGTTCATTTGGCTCGGTGGCAAGCGCCTTAAGAAATGGATGAGGAGTATCTTTAATAGCCAAGACTCGAATTCTGAGGATGAAACAACAATCGCAGGTTTCGACCGCAACAACACGACGGTCTACATGGGCGATGCGTACAAATCCAGAAGAGACCCCGAACATCTCCCTCCCTCCAACTCTTGGGAGAGATTCGGAAACGTAGTTCGCAGCGTTTCGCACTTCTTACGGAGTCCGGAATCCGCTTTTGGGCTTCGGGCAGCTTGTGCCACAATGAGCATAGCCATTGTTGCCTTCCTCCGCGATACACAGGTTTTTTTCGTGCAGCATCGACTTGTCTGGGCTCTCGTCATGGTTGCTATCTCAATGACGCCGACAGCTGGTCAATCCATATTCCAATTCGTCTTGCGCATCGGCGGGACCGCAGTCGCCATGGTCGTCGCCTGGCTCATGTGGTACATCCCTGGACAACACACTCCAGGCATTCTTGTCTTCGTCTTCATCTTTGTGGCGATTGGATTTTACATCCCGCTCAAGCGTTTCGACCTCGTCATTGTCGGTATCGTTAGCGTCGTGACTGTCACCATGATCGTAGGCTACGAGTTGCAAGTCCGGAAGCTCGGTGTCGCGGCCTCAACAGCAACGGGACAGCCTGCATACCCCATCTACATACTCGGGCCATATCGTCTTGCTACCGTAGTGGGTGGACTAGCTGTAGCATTCTTCTGGACGTTTTTCCCATACCCAATCACAGAGCATTCTGCCCTACGGCAGAAGTTAGGTGGAGCTTTATACCTCAACGCAAACTTCTATAGCATCATGCACGAACGGGTCATGGCGCAGATTCGGGGAGATCTTGGCGATGAGGAAAACGATAAAGAGTCTCCCGGTTATGCATTGGTGAAAGCGAGAAATAAGGTATTCGCCAAGCAGATGCTCACTATTCAGGGGTTGAAGATGCACACTGAATTTGTGAGATGGGAATTTCCTCTCGGCGGCAAGTTCCCCCAGAAAGAATACGGTAAAATTCTCGAGTGTGTGCAGAATATCACAAACTACACATCGTTGATTGGCTACGCGAGCCAGACATTCACGGATCCAAATCTCACTAAAGCTCTGACCAACAATGGTCCTAGGTCACCAACCTCCCCATCTTCTAATACTGAGCCATTAGCTCGCCATGTTTCCGCACAATGGTTCACCGACTTCCGCCGTGTGGTTGCCGATGCACGCGTTACATCGCATGAGATCACATCTCTACTTGCTTTGCTTTCCTCGAGTATCACATCTGGCCAACCATTACCGCCGTATCTGCGTGCGCCAGAACCCTACGGTCTGAACAGGAGATTGGAGCTCGTGGATCCTGGGATTCTGAGTCTTAGACATATGACTGAGCCGGGGTATGCCGCTTTTGCTGTAAGTTCTGTCCTTTTTTTATTCACATTGCGCCTCGATCAACGCTTTGTTGTTATTATACGTAGTAGTTCCAGAGCGATCATGGTCTATTTCTGAATGAAGGGATGCTGACGATAGACTAGGTGATGGCCATTAGCACGAGATGCATACACATGGACATAGAGCGGCTTCTTGCTTCGGTGAAGAAGTTGGTGGGCGAATTGGACTTTTCGTTCCATGTAGTGAGTACGGCAGATAGTGGGCGTAATTCAGATGAACCCTTGGTTAAGAAGGATGAGAGGGGAAGAAAAAGAGATTGATGGCGCAATTGAGAGACTCGGCTTATCGAATTGTCTAATCATGATGTTTTATAGGTGCAAATTGGACTATGCATAGGAAATTATGGAATCAAACGCCAGGAGCTAGGCGTCTATTATTCCTATAGATGTGTTTAGACTGGATTAGTGGCTTTATTACAAGGACTGGACACCAAATTCTAAAATTTATACCATCAACAGCATTGCAAACCAATATGCGCAGTTAAAGCGGGCCCTCATTGCAAAATTATAACCCGTCTCTACCATTCACAGAGGGAGATCAATTCCATCACTACTACAACTCTCATCACATTACACATGCACCTTGACCCAGCCACATGATCCCCACCCAACACCTAAAAAAACTCCAAGAATCCGCTCATTAGCAAGCCTGCAGCAACTGCACCCGTGAATCATTACATCCGACACTTGCTTTCCCCACCCCTCTCAATGTTCTCGCACAGCACAGCACAACATTCACCAATCGCTGTCGCACTGACAGCCAATTTCGGATCTGTTACAATCAACCGCACAGCACGCCGACTCGTGCCCGAGAAAGCATGAATTGATCGTGTGACGCATATCTCGGGAATGCTAGTGAAGTGCACAAGGCGGAAATGCGACGGGTCAGTTGGTCAGCAGGATACAAAGTCCGAATCAGGACTGAATTTGCCGCACGAGGGGGGAGCGCACATGCTGTTGCTTGTGAGCAAAAGGTTAATTTGTTGGTTTGTTGGTGCATGACTCTGACGGATAGAGGGTGTTGTGGGTTGTTGCATGTGATGTTACTTGTTGTCTTGTGAGGTGTAGGAGAAGTGTGAACGGACTGTCAGTCAGAGGGCAGGGGTGTGGACACGTCGTTTATGGCGTGTAATGGGATGGCAAACGGGACTATGGTTTGAAGATAGGGGTGTTGAGATGCGGATGCTTGTATATAATGCGTTATGGCGGTGTTATTGCTTAATGTCTTCGGTGGTGAGATCACGATGACAAGGCCCTAGAGTAAAGTAAACACCGAAACGGGGTGGTTTTACATTTTTGGTAGACGCGGCAGAGCATAGTCGAGTAAGAACAAGTAAATGAGACATAACCGCTAATACCAACTGAAGAAAACGGGGGTCGATGCCTCTCCCAAAGCTCCAGACGCCAAACAATGCAACCAACCCATAGACACCATTACTCATATATCATTGCCACATCAAGTCACTGTGTCATTTACCACTCCAAATCTTTCTTCCCCTTGCCATTCCCGCAAGCAAGGCCTTCACAAAAGTCCTGAAGCTCATCCGTACCGGTATCATTGCTCTGCTGCTTCGCAGGCCAAATCTTCTTGCCCTCACGCTTCTCACGCGCAGCGTGCTCGAGCACGACTTCGCGACAACGCTTCTGGAAGAAGAGAGGTCCCTTCTCCATGTGTGGATGCAACTCGCCGTTGACAAAGACACCAGTTTCAATGTTCTTCTGCGCGCGCTCGCAGAGGATCTTGTCCTCGCCCATGACACGCTTGTACGTGTCGCTGATGAGGAGGAAATCCTCGTCGGAAGAGTGCTTGTTACGCCACACCTCGTAGTACATGACTGACTCGGTGGGTGATTTGGGCATGAACTTCTGCATAAAGAGGAAGTGTTGTGTGACCGTGAAGGAGGCATTGGGGAAGCAGTATGTGGAGCAGATTTCTTGGCCGAGTGCCTTGCGGTCTTCGGGTGTTTGTGGGTCGTGCTGGATGTGATCGGCGTCGCAGTGGACATCGTAGCTGTCGAGGTTGACCAGCCCAGTGGTGAGATCGGGGTGTGTGGTCTTGCAATGATAGCATTCGTTGAAGTTGTCTGCGAGAATCTTCCAGTTGAAGGGTCCGTCGAGGTTCCATGTGTGATCGAATTCGTAGTCGTCGAAGTTGAATTGATTGAAGCGGGTCTGCTCGTCGACGTGGTCAAACTGTGACTCCCATGATACATCGGGTTCCTTCTTGGAATCCATGTTGATGTAAATGAACCCATTTCTGTCAAGGCGAGTGTGGATAGGTAAGAGGCCATTGCTGGTTTTGTCGAATGTAGGGAGATCCTGGTAGCCTGGGGCTTTCGCCAACTTGCCATTCAGACCATATGACCAGCCGTGATATTTGCAGGAGAAGATCTTTGCGTTACCCTTGTCGCTTTCGACCACAGGGTAGGCACGATGCCTACAAACGTTATGAAAGGCGTGGATCTCGCCAGAGCGATCTTTCGAAACAACAACGTCGTAGTTGGCTACATTGTAGCGAAGGTAATCACCGGGATTCGCCAATCTTGACTTGTGTGTGAGGATCAACCACCGCCGGGAGAAAATTGCGCGTCTCTCAAGCTGGTACATCTCTTCTGAAGTGTACCAATTAGCGGGAAGAGCACGGACCGCTTCCTTCTGTGGTGGTGAATTGGGGGCGGAGCCGCCCAGGCCGATGTATCTGAGGAATGATCCAACCATTGTGCTGGTATATTTGTACGTTGTTGTTATGTCCGAACGTGCTTGCAACTTAATGGCAAGGACAATCAAGTCGATGTAGTATCAACGTTGCCAGTAAATCTGATGGTATTTGATTGATGGGTGGTAGAAGCGTAATTATACTCAGATCAGTTCACAACTTTATCCTTATTCTTATCAAATAATTTCCTCCCCTAAGCCCCCATGGGGTAATGGCTTCCATATCTTACCAAGGCATGGTGGCCAGCGGGGCTTGCGAACGTAAGCGGCTGGTAAACGCTCTGCCAGCACCACATACATACCTACGTGTGTTGCACTGAAGAAGCCTTTTGCAACCACTGAATTGCCATCGTGATCAACCAGGTCTGACTAGACGCTCTGAATAAGGAGCTAGAAGCCAATGGACTCCCATGAGTGGCTGGCGACAGAGCCAATTCTATGACTGTGCATGAGACGCATCCAACGGTCATTATGATAGAACTCAAAGACCGTTCTCGTCGAGCTGCCCCTCTCGCTGACACGGACTGCGATGGATCTGATTTCCGAATGTGGATATTAGACGCTAACCCAAGGCTCTACCAGATTATCAACTCTAACACTTCGGTCGCATTCCTTACTCTTATCGGGGTCTTATCGCCACAATCTGAATTTAAATATATTCAGAAATTCTTGAAATGATAACACCGTTCTCGCGGTGACTTTCAGAAGTGACGGATGTTGCGCATCATAGCGAAAGCAGTGCGGTAAGTCGATATGCAACGCCGGAGACATAGACATACGCAGCTTGTGCGAACAAAGAAGTGCATACTATAGTTGGCTCCGGTATTGATGAGTAGAAATTTCAGAGCGATAGCCCATTGTTCCGAGCAAAGATGTGGTCCGGCTGAGCCGCCTATCACCAAAGGCTCGTTTCGTTAGGAATGATACGACATTACCGCACCGTTTTCCCTACCCCTCATCAATTTCTGTATTACTCTTCTTGACGGGTCTTTTGGCGCCTTCAAGTCTCTCGCTTGTGTCAAGCTTTTGCAGATGAGCCACTGTATAGCAGTGACGTGTCGCATTGGATCTGCACTGACCTTTGGACTTCGACGTAAGTGTGTTGATATGAAGCTTCACTGAGCTTTCATTGCGACACCTTTCTGGTTACTTCAAGGAAGCTGTCTTTGGCTCATTTTCTCACAGTGAGGTTCCAGGTGCAAGGGCATTGCATAGGTCCTTGGAGCTGCTATGACATGCGTGCATCTACTCGCCATTGCCAGCGTCCTGTCAGTCGCAACGAAGCCATCACTTGATCGGCAATCAAGTTCCCTATTGCGGTGAGCGGACTGGGTTGGTGCTCTCGAATGGCCCCATGGTACTGACGTTCATCTGGTCGTAGGAATTCATCGTGTTGAAGTTTAACAATGCTTAGTGAAGCGGTGACATAGCCGCAATGTTGTGAGAAAATGGTTTGAAACTTGACTCGCTCACACAACCTTACCATGTGGCCACGTAGAGTAGTGCTCAGTTGATCCGACAGTGATGAATGTCTGTGAAAAGCAAAAGGAGTAGGAAGCGGGCACGCGAGGCGGGGTTGCCATAGCATATGTAGTCTGGCGCAGTGGCGGTCCGAGAGATCTCACTAGACCCAAAACGGCAATCAGGACCCTACATCCATGAGAGGTATTCATCCCCCACCAATGCCGTGAATCCCACATGCGGGGTGGCGGGCTGTCAGTCTATCACTATTGCATTTGCAATGATCATGGGAAAGCTTTCACCGTATTGAGCCTCTATTCCACGCTTAGATTCGGCTCCTAGTCTGAAGTCGGGCGGCGAAATGGTCCGTCATTGTGGGCGTCTGCAGCCTTAAGAACAGTGTACCTACGAGTTTCGGAGGGCCCCATCAATTGCATTTTTTTTTCTACAATGGCGACCTCGCAGCGTGTCGTTATCATTGGTGCCGGCATCGTCGGTACCAATCTTGCGGATGAGCTGGTCTCCCGAGGATGGAACAACATTACTGTCATCGAACAGGGCCCCCTAAGTATGCCAGGTGGTTCGACATCACATGCTCCCGGACTCGTCTTCCAAACGAACCCGTCCAAGACGATGACCTTGTTCGCAAAGTATACGGTGGAAAAGTTTCAAGCCTTGGAGCGGGATGGTCAGAACTGCTTCAACCAACTTGGAGGTCTAGAGGTGGCGACCACCCCAGAACGCCTTGAAGAGCTCAAACGCAAGCATGGATATGCACAATCATGGGGTATCGAGGCCTACCTGATCAGCCCAGAGGAGTGTTTGAAGAAACATCCGCTCCTCAACAAAGACATGATCCTCGGCGGACTTCATATCCCGAGTGACGGTCTGGCATTGGCAGCTCGCGCGACGCAAATACTCATTGAAAGTACAAGCAAAGCTGGCGTCCGATATCTCGAACGCACAGTGGTCACTGGGATTGAGCAGGCTGATGACCACGTGACGGGCGTAACCACAAATAAGGGATATGTTCCAGCCGACATCGTTGTCTCGTGTGCTGGCTTCTGGGGCGTCGAAATCGGTGCAATGATTGGATTGAAAGTCCCTCTGCTACCTCTCGGACATCAATATGTCAAGACAACGGCTGTGCCAGGCCTACAGGGTCGGGAAGTCAACACAAAGATTAATGCAAAGAACGCTGAGTTTCCCATTTTACGACACCAGGACCAGGACTTGTATTATCGAGAACATGGCGAACAGCTTGGAATTGGATATTATGGACATCGACCTATGCCCATTGTGGCCTCATCATTAGGAAACACTCCTAAGCATGTTGACGAAAAGAACATGCCGTCACGTCTCGAATTCACACCAGAAGACTTCGAACCAGCTTGGAAAGCCACCAAAGAGCTACTGCCCGCCTTGAGAAATACTGAAATTGCTGATGGTTTCAACGGTATTTTCTCCTTCACTCCGGATGGTGGTTCTGTCGTGGGCCAAGCCCCTAATCTGGATGGCTTCTGGGTAGCCGAGGCCGTTTGGGTCACGCACTCTGCTGGTGTAGCTCGTGCAGTGGCAGAGACGCTGACTGATGGCCATTCGACTGTAGATATGGCCGAGTGTGAGCTGACACGTTTCGAAGAGGTCCAACTAAGTCCAGAGTACGTCAGCGAGACTTCGCAGCAAAATTTCGTCGAAATCTACGATATCATTCATCCTCTTGCCCCCAAGCTGAACCCTCGTAATCTCCGCGTCAGCCCTTTTTATCTCCGAGAACAAGAACTTGGTGCCTTCTTCCTTGAAGTTGGTGGTTGGGAGCGTCCACACTGGTACGAGGCAAACGCAGATTTGATCAAGACACTGCCTCCTGATTGGCAGCCAGTCGATCGAGATGCCTGGTCATCGCAGTTTTACTCTCCAATCGCTGCCGCTGAGGCTTGGAAGACGCGCAACGCAGTAGCCATGTACGACATGACAACATTTCACCGCTTCGAGATATCTGGTCCTGGTGCTACAAATCTGCTCCAGGGATTGACGACAAGCGACATATCTAAAAAGCCGGGAAACATAACACATACTTTACTTGTTGATGCTTATGGTGGCGTTTTGAGCGACATCTTCGTGTCGAGACTTGAAGACAATGTCTATCAGGTGGGCGCAAACACCGCAACGGATCTCGTCCATCTTGCACGCAAAGCGCGTAAGCAAAGTAAAGAAACGCCTAGCCAATGGGCACAAGTACGCGATATTACTGGTAGTACTTGCTGCCTCGGTCTTTGGGGTCCACGAGCAGGAGACGTTATCCTGACTGTCAGTTCTGAGGATTTCAGCAACAAGGGCTTACCATACATGGGTGTGAAGAAGACAATCATAGCCGGTATCCCGGTGACAATGTTTAGGAAGTCCTTTGTCGGGGAATACGGATGGGAGATTCAGACTTCGCCTGAGTACGGCCTCCGTCTCTGGGACATGTTATGGCAGTCAGGGCAACCTCATGGCCTTGTCGCCGCCGGTCGTGCGGCTTTCAACGGTCTTCGGATAGAGAAGGGTATCAGAGCGTCCGGGAGTGACATGACATCCGAACATAATCCGTGGGAAGCTGGCGTCACGTACGCAATACAATTGGATAAAAAAACCGACTATGTTGGCAAGACTGCGCTCGAGCACCTATCGAAGAAAGCACCCAAACGAAGGCTCCGATGCCTGATTGTCGATGATGGTCGGTCCATGATACTGGGCAAGGAACCCGTTTTTGTAGCCGGCAAGAGAGCCGGTTACGTCACCAGTGCTGCCTTTGGATACACAGTGCGGAAACCGGTCGCTTACGCCTGGTTGCCAAGCAATATCAGTGAAGGAGTGACGGTAGAAATTCAGTACTTTGGGAAGAGAATCGCGGCAACAGTAACCAAAGATCCATTGCACGACCCGCAGGAGCGACGTCTTCGCAGCGAAGGTTCATCGCGCAAGACCGAGCCACAAAAGAGGCTCAGGTCGCTGTTGTGATAGACTGGCAATATTATCAATGACCCGCATGATTCACGGACTGCATAGGAGTTTGGCGCATTCGACTGGGTCGAGATTTCGATGCAGCATTTGAGAAGGGTAGGTTGATAACATGGGCGATGAGATGATTGAACGTCTGTACGATTGCTAGGTATTCCAAGTAGTGACGACTGGCTCATGACCGTGGAACGAATTGGATTGTTAGCAACGCACAATGCTGTATATGAGTGCTGTTATGAGTGCTGTTATGAGTGCTGTTATGAGTGCTGTTATGAGTGCTGTTATGAGTGCTGTTATGAGTGCTGTTATGAGTGCTGTTATGAGTGCTGTTATGAGTGCTGTTATGAGTGCTGTTATGAGTGCTGTTATGAGTGCTGTATATGAGTGCCATTGCACCTTAATACAAGAACGTCAGGTAGGTGCGAAACAAGCGATGCGCGACGCTCGACCCGTAATGGAAGGTTGCAATGTGACCCACAACACGTGACCCAGCTGAATAATGCTCCACCTGCATCCGACGTCACTGTCTCGGGGCTCCGCAATTCAAAAGACAACCACATCAAAGCTCAAACCTTGAGTCATATTTCTCCTTATGACCCTTTTCGGTATTGCATCTAAGCATTCTCGACCATTGTTTACGAGAGGAACAATACGGGTAAAGTTGACTGGGTGGCTCGCCGGGATCGAACGCTAACGCCGAACAGCCATCCATCGTTCGAGCAATGCATATCCAATCGATTCCCATGTGTATGAACGGCTGTTGCTTTATCTAAGGTTATGTTGATTCTGACAGAATTCATAGGGGAAGGCAGTGGTAACAACTATGCCTACCTGGTCTCATGTGACAAAACCAAGGAAGCAGCCATCATCGATCCGGCCAATCCACCAGAGTATATCAACACAACTACTTCCTCGCTCCAGTTGTGATAACTGACCACGAAACCTTTAGAGTCGAGGAAGCCTTAGAAGGGAAGATTGGAACCTCTGGCTTGAGGCTGAGGAACATCATCAATACCCATCAGTATGTGTCGCAATTTTCTGGTTTGCATTCGTCGTTAACTTCCATTTCCAGTCACCGCGATCACGCTGGGGGTAACCAAGCTCTTGTAAGCCAAAAAAAAAATCCCAAGAGGAGCGTTTTTCTTAATTTTGGCTAAATTCAACTTAGAAAAGAACGTACAATGTACCAATTATTGGCGGTCCAGATTGTGCACTGGTCGATTACACGCCGCCTCACAAGTCCAGCTTCAACATCGGCAACATCAAGTTCACTGCGCTACATACTCCATGTCACACCCAGGACAGCATTTGCTACTTCGTTGAGGACGGTGAAGATCGCGCAGTTTTTACCGGTGACACGCTCTTCATAGGAGGATGCGGACGTTTTTTCGAAGGCTCTCCCGAAGAAATGCATGAAGCGCTCAACAAGACACTTGCAGCGCTCCCCGATGATACTAGGGTATACCCAGGCCACGAGTACACTAAAGGCAATGTTAAGTTCGCGAAGAAAGTTCTCGACAATGAGGCCATTCAAAGGCTTGATGCGTACTCGCAAGCTAACAAACAGACACAAGGCAAATTCACTATTGGCGATGAGAAGGTTAGATCACCTCGAAGCCTGTAGTGCCCGATACCGATGACTGACCGTCGCAGCAACACAATGTCTTCATGCGTGTGGATGACCCAAAGCTCAAGGAGATCACCGGCAAATCCGACCCCATCGATGTCATGGGAGCACTACGCTCAATGAAAGACGCTTCCTAGGAGGGCCATAAACCGTATTGCTTGTCAAAATTTGCAGAGCTATACATCGACGACCTCAGAACTTGTGTACAAGGGCGACAATGCGGCCAATCTGGCTAGCTGCTTGTCGGTGCTGACGAAGCGAGCTATTTGATGTCAATATGTTGGCAAAGCGGTTACCAAGCTCTGCAGTTTCACGCACAGTTGGGCTGACATTAATACCCTCGTTTGACATGGGTTTTTCTCAACACCAGTTAGTTATTTTCAATCACATGGACTTTTTACGTCAAGACTGCATTGACGTTACCAGAGCATGATATCAATACTGTTGCACCATGCAAAAGACGAGTGACTCACGTTCCGATATGTATTTGAGAGCGATCTCATCATCATCTATTCGAATCTAAGTAAAGAGTGACCACAAGTAAAGGGACATAGCATCACAGACTTCACGAAAGTGCAGTAAGCTGGCGTGTTGAACCCAGCCGTACTGCCCCGCGACTTCTGCGCCATTCATCCCCTACTAGCACAAGTTCCACACAACCATTAACCGGAGCGACAAAACCGTTTGTTGACACTTTCCAACCCTGTGACCGTATCAGGCTATTCATTGACAGGTTCCAAGGGCTACTGCAGAGCGGATGAACTTGTTTGCATCGCCAAATGTCCTGCATGGAGAGTTGTCGTTTGGAGTTGAAACGCGGTCAAACGTGATGAAGTTGCCACCGCAGTTAGACTCGCTATATGCTCGGACTGCGCGGACTGTGATGAGTAATTTTTCTAACACAACTCAGGGGATAGGGTCAACCTACGTGTGCATCCAGCGGGCAGAGCAGCAAGGTTGGTCGACTGAATCTTGGCACTCTCATTCGAGCTGGGGGGAGTGAAGGTTACATTGAAGCCTGGCCGTGAAATAAAAAGAGTCAGTCATGTCAAAATGCTAAAGCCTCTCACTGGAACTGGTACTACGCACATGGTGTGTTTGTGGGGATTTGAATCACCGCGACGGGGTTGGCAGGAGTGAGGCAGGCATTGTCCGTGTAGATGCTCAATGGGATGCTTGGGATACGCGGAACAAGTGAATTGCTGGGTGCAGCGTTCACGCCGATTGCGGAGATGAGGAGGGCTAGGGCAAGGGGGTACTGCATTTTGAAGGTTTTGTGGGGAAGCTGGGTGCTTGGAAAAGAAATATGTGCTTGCTTGTGCGGTAAAATGTGATTGATGAGTTGATCTGAAGCGGTGCTGTGATGAGGGATGGTACTGTAATCATCGAGGTCTACTTATAATTCACATTCATCGACAACGATTTCCACATGATCGCATGTTTCGATAGACTGGGAGGTCTCTCCCGCTGACACGAGCAAGGCAAACCAACAGAGGCGTCTTAGCAACTGGTGTTGGTGATGCATCGCAACGCCTTGTGTGTTGGATGTGGAGCACTGATGTTCAAATGACCTCTGAAAAAGGGAAATCAGACACCACGAGGTCATGGAATTGTTCTATACCAGTACTTTTTTAAGTCATGCTTAGGTCTAGCAGGTCTACGATGTTTGTTGTATTCCGAAGGACTTCCAGGTTAGTACTGGCTCTTGAACGAGCGGTGGAGGCGTTTCTGCTGCGACCGGTGAGCCATAGATGATATGAACTGGAGGGGCATTTTGCTTCCACGAGTAGTATGCGGTGTCGACCTCAGAAGCGTGGCAGAAATTTTATGTAGTGCTGACGGGAGGACAAGCCTTGATGCTTGACCTTGGCAACCAGAAGCCGGCATTTGAGCATCAAGCTGCGCAGATGATCTCGAATGGAAGACCAAAATAGAAGCGCGTCAAGGCTCCCGCCGGTGAATGTCCCGATCTGGCTGAACGAAGTATTACGGTAAACCGTAGACTTCGTAATCTGCTCAAAAAGGAATATCCAACACCTAAGACACGTCAAAAAATGCGATATTCTGCTCACGGGTTCACATGACATGAACCCAGCCAACTCAGCCCTATGCTAGTGGGCGGTCACCGATGTAATCGTAGTCGGGTCCATAGAAGCGCGTTCAAAAGGTGGCTTTCTCAGCTCCCAAGACATGTAATACAGGCGCTATACCAACGATGGTAGAATATTTCAGGACCACTCATTGGACAAAGGGAGCGATCGTTTGAAGATCAGGAGTTTGAGTTTCGCTTACCCCATAAGAGCGTGAATAGTCGGACCTGTTCTGAGGGTCCCTGCGTAATAAGGATCCTACCCCGCTGACCAGGTAAACAAAAATTCTGTACTGCTACCTGCGTCATCTGAGTAAGTATCCCACGCGGAGATGGCGAAAGAGTGGCGTTGGTGGGAAGAACGCGAGCTTACGATTGCTACTCGTGACATTTTTTTCTGATGAAGGGTATCATCAGTCTAGAGAATTGTATAAGCCGCCCCATAGCTGTGATCGGTCCATCAGTTGTTGGCCTTCCAAATACCGGTATGCAAGTGTTATGCCTTTCTTGACTCAGACCCTGCCTTGATGCTTCCAATAGGTATCGAGACGTTCCAAGTCTCAGAAAAAGTGCAACGGTGTATTCTCGTCGAGATGTAAGGCCAGCAATGTTTGAGAAATGTTGGGTAAGACAGATGAATGCGGCCAATGGGTCCTCAAAGCGGAGCGATGGTTCCTTTTTCCTCCAGGCTAAATTCATCGTCCACAAGGATTAATTTGCTGGCCTGTTCGGTGACAGGCTATATAATGACCGACATATTGCCTCGCTTCGTCAGCTCTTATAATCCAACTCTTTGAGTGTAGGTACATATCGCGTTTAGGGGCGTAGAAGCCATAGTTCTGATAATGGGCTTAGTAGCCTTCACTGCTCGTCTCACTTTGAAATAGTCTAGTATCGCAACTTCCAAACATAGTATGCTGCCAGCCTTCATTCCTCCTCGGCTATCGACACACGATTAGCCGCTATAGCCTGAACCCCTTCTAGATACGATTGTTGAGCAATCATTATGGGCCTCCTTACCTAGGTAGAGTCACTGCTAACAATGTGCGTTATACATGAGCAATTCACATGGTAATCGCACATTTATGGAGTCGTTCAACCTTGAGATTGACGGCGAGCCAGTTGATGTTAGTTTTCGGTTGTGCCGAATACGATACCGGTACCATGTCCTGTGATATCACACGACAACAGCGTATGCGCGAGGTCCCGAGGGAGCGTCCCGCCTCCTTCTTGCAGCATACTCGAAACTTCAAGCCACCGGCTTCCGAAGAAGCACCAGGAAGGGTTGCTTCGTTGAAAAGTCGTGCCTCCTTCAACTTGTAAGAGATTCATATTGACGACGGAACAAGTGACGGTATGATAAAGCCGGGCGTGATGTGACATGACAGCAGTAGCTGCGTCCTGATGTACTGCGTAGGATTAGACTTTAATCGGACCTCAAAGTTATAGTTCTATGTATAGTAAGCGTTGACAAGTGTGTATTGCATTAGCTGTTGTGCTGAAGTCGGCCTTTTGCCATCAGTTCTCATCTTTCTTTGTAGATCTACCCACTGCAGTATCCATTTAAGAGTGCGGGCGATCATTCGTGGTATGAGCCTGCAATTTGCAATTGTAAAGACGCATCAGGCATTCAAAGCAAGTATCTCCTTGGATCCAAAGGTCAGGGTACCGGCACCTGTGTTCCTCGACTGTGAATATCGGAATTGGTCGGATGTGGTAAGCTTCGCTTTGATATCTTACTGCAGGACCATCATTTGCGCCATGATACAGAGATATACCATGGATGCGCCCATCACATGGATTGTGATACTGAGTCCTCGGGAAGAATGCTGTATATCCATAGTGACATGGTCAAGCGCAAGTGATGGATTGTAAATCAGTCTTCAGCCCGTTGGGCAGCATCAAAGCCCTGAGTTCAAAATCGAGAACTGGGTGACGCTCTTGACGATCTCGGTGCAATGCAACTTGCATTCCATGCACCGGTACGGTAAGCCTTCGATGCTACAAGACAAGCGCCCGCAAGATTTGCGGTCTTGATTGAACGTTAAACTTTGCGACTCTCTTCAGGCACAAGGCGCTGATTGGCAGGCTGCAATTTGACGTTCCAAACTGTGAAGCTACTATGGTATCGCAATTCGCCCGAGTAGGTGCCCAGTTGTTGGGTGAAGGAGAGGTTGAGGCAGTCAGCGCAGCCATAACACCGATGCCTCCTAGTTTTTCGACAACTAAGGGGTGTAGCGAGTGAATCGGTCCGGCCTATACGCAACGGCTCGCTGGGCGGTTCCATGGCGCGTTGAAAGTCGTGGCACGCTTAATTGACGAAGCTCTGATTTTCATGGGTCGTGGTGTGGTGGCATGTCATATGACCATGGGTTTAGCGTCGGGCGACTTGGGCTTTACTCCGAGTGGTTAGAATATCCCTGTAGGTTCAAGTCCACGTCACAGCGGCAAATTTTCATGGTTATATGAACTAGCCCATGGTCAAGTATAAATTAGGGTAATTTAAGCAAGTAAACGCAGTTTTTATTACTATCTTTTTTAAACGTGTTCTAAACCTGTTCTTAATAATATGCAGGCGTTCCTAAATACTATACTAGAGTTTAGTACAGCAGTACTAGACAACGTATCTAAACTAGATAGTAATATTAGAGATGAATTTAGGTAACCATATAAAGTGCTAGAGGAGGATAGTAGCAGTAGCGTTAAGGAAGTAAGTGAAAGTAAATAGAACAAGTTTAGAATAGGTTAGTAACACGTTACAGGGGCACAATGTATACCTTACTTGTAGTAATAGTTAAGGACCACTACTTACACCAGCAATTATTAAGCATGCAGCTATTCTCCTAGCATACCCTTAATTATATAGCTAAGGGTATAGGTATATAATACTAGTTTAGCAATATAAAGATAGCTCTTACCTAATAAGAGAAGAGGTGCTTGTGCAGGCTACACAGGTAACACGTTAAGAACACGTTCTTAAATTATTCTAATTCTAGCAGGTACAATACTCCCGCCAGTCTATCTATCTTAATAGGCCTACAACTTTACTATTCTTTAATAGCTAGCTAGCAAGCTAGTATAAATACTAATACTCTAGGGTAAAAGTATGTAAGTATCTTAAGAACACGTTATAAACGTGTTCTTATCACGTTGTTAATAACGCATTGTATAATTAGATCTAAACCTTAAAAAGTGCAGTACCTAAGAAAATTCCACAAAGAGAACTACGAACAAGAAGCTATTATTATAGCCTTATTAAGCGCTTCTCTTCAAGGATTTATAAGGACTACTAGGTGTCTTATTATCCTGTAATAAGGACTGTAGTAAATTAGGTAGGGAGTAAAACTTAAACATATTTAAAACGTGTTAACAACAAGTTAGCAAATTGTAGAACAGGCTTGACCATACATTAGCTATCAGAACTACAGCCTAATATCTACTACTAGGAAAAAACATTATTTTAGTTAGGTACCACTAGAGGTAGACTCTACATATCTACAAGGTCTTCTAACTAGGGAGATATTAAATCTTTCTAGTAGTCCTGCTTCATATTCTGTGGTTAAGCTATAGTCAAGCTAGATAAAGAAGTGTGGTAGGCATATTGCAACCTATTCCTAACACGTTCCTAACATGTTCTAGGCGTTAATTATCTACAAGGGCAAGGATCTCTGTTTAAAATCCCGTGTAAAGTTACCTTCTAAGTAATTATACCAATAGATATAGTAGCAATACCTTTTTTTGCTATTATTTCTTTTAGTATACATACACATATACCTCCTCCTCCCTTAACACTATCTAATAGTAATATTAAGGAAGTAGTAAAGGTGTTGTAGCCTATGCTTACTCCGCAGCTTACGCAATATAAGTTGTTTGCAACCTGTTACAAATATGTTCCTAACTTGTTATAGCCTAGTTCCTAAACTTAACCTAGCTCTAAACCTATCTCTAACTTAAAGGTTTCTATTCTATTAAAGAAATGCATATTAGCTTTGCAAATAAAGATAAAATCTCGCGTATTATAAAGCGTGAAAAGCTTCTATAGTTCCTATTTAAGAGTAGCCTTAGAGGAGTACACTATAAGTGGAGGACAAAGCATTAGGATCCTAAAACTGTACGTGGTGTAAGAGAATAGGTTTGGAACACGTTGTTAACACGTTACTACAGGCGTACATACAGCAAATCTTTATATTAAGCTTAGGTAACTTAATTATTTGCCTTTTTAAAGAGCAGGCATTAATTCTATTAGATTAAGACACGTTCTAGATAGATATGTTATATAAGAGGTTATATAGGGCATAGGCAGAGATTCTGATAGTAATCTTCTACCCGCAGGAAAAGAAGCGTACGCATTAAGAATAGGTTTGTAACACGTTTCTAACACGTTGCAGTTATTATACTTGGCCAAATTATTATAGATAAGGACACAACTAAGATGTATACAAGTTACTATTACTAACTTCTTTTAGAAGTGTGAAGCACTTATAAAAAGACAAGTGTTATAGAGGCATATTTACTTACAGGGATTCTATAGGACTACTGTTAACATATATAACAAGCAGATAATAGGCAAGTTTTACGGCGCACCACAACATGTTCGTAACGTGTTTCTAACTTGTTTCTAGGACTTAGGCGCTATCTCTAGTTAATTAATCCCTATAAGCGTGACTAGCGCTAGCAACTTTAATCTTGCATAAGATTTTATTAAGTACATCTACAAAGAAGTATTTACAAAGCATGTAAAAGAGAGCTAGATAATACTACCTCTTTACGTCTAAGTGAATTACTACAGGCATTAATAGCAGAGGAATACTTTTAGCTTGCTAACCTCCTCTCACGTAAGTAAACACATTCTAAACCTATTCTAAACGTGTTCCTAACTTATTCTCACATAATTAGAACACGAACCCTCTAAAGATGCCTAAAACTAGGCAATCTATAAGAAAAACCTAGTAATTGCTGCTAGGATTGTGTAATGCTATAGTGAAATATTAAAAGAGGCATAGGAAAAACTAGAATCTTATTTAAATGCAGCTAAGCAAGCAGGCTAGAAAGGATATAAAACTAGTAAGCATGTAAGTGATTCTTAAGGCTACTTAGAAGTAAGTTTACAACCTGTTCTTAACCTGTTAGAATTGTATAAGTAATATTGTGTAGTGCACACTAGATAGATCTGCAGGATATAAAAGAGTTTAAAGCCTAGAGCAAGTTTAGAATACGCTATAACTATAGAACTCCTAATAGGCTTAAGTAAAGGTACCTTAAAAAGCTTTAGAGGGGAGAAAGTAAGTCTTACGCTAGCGTTATGCACATTCGCTAATTAAAACGTGTTTAGAACGTGTTTAGAACGCGTCCTACAACGATAACAACACTCTAGATAACAATAAAGCAAGTCTTGCTATATCTAACTTAACTAGATATGTCTTAGTCCTAATAAGAAATAAAAGAGCACGCTTAAAAGCCTAAAGCTAGAGGGCAAGTAGTAGAGCGGTATTAGAAAGAAGTTCACCAGCCCCTTTTCTATCTTCTCTACCACTAGGCTCTTCTCCTCTGCTAACAGCAACCTAAAGGTATGCTTTGCGAAACACGTTTACAACACGTTCCTAACTTGTTATTAGTCTGTAACTACAAACTTTATAATAAAAGGCTCTTCTTAGTAATTAGGCTCTAAAGGAGAGAAAAGAAAAGCTAGAGGTAGATAAGGAAGAACTTGCATAGAAAAAGGCACTGTTTAAATTGCAAAAGGCACAGTTTAAACTTAAGAAAGAGATAGCTGCTTTTTATACAAGGCAGGGTTAGTCTATAAATATAGTAACTAGTTCCTAACTAGTTCTTAATATATTCTAGTCTATCACGTAAGCACACATAAGCAGATAAATATATATTCTTTCTTCTTCTCTTTCTTCTTCTTTCTTCTTACACTCTACAAGAACTTTTTATATTTAAGAGTTTAATACTATTTTACTATCTATCTTTCCTAATATTATTAGACATAACTAGTTAATATGGTCTACAAAGATCTTTTAAAGTTAGTATGTGATAGAACGCGTTGGGAACACGTTGTAAACTTGTTCTAATACTAAGTAGGATTTATACCAGCGATATATTAAGCTTAAGTCACTTCTATCTAATACTAGGGCATTCTCTCCTGCAACATCCTACCTAAATAATAGGTATATAGTATTTCCTAGCAAGCTTTTCTGCTAGGCTATTTAGGCTAGATTAGGGGTACAGGAACTTTGTGGAGTATGTATGCATGCAAGTTAGAACACGTTTACAACATATTAACAACCATTTTAGCGTCGCTTCTCTAATAGAGGCAATCTTATCCACCACCTTAAGAGGTATTATCCTAAGGTTCAAATAGCCCTAGTAAACTATAGCAGAACCACAATACAAGGCACTACAGAAGCAAGGATCTTCTATAGGAGCTTAATAGTGAATGCTTAAGAACGTGTTCTAAACACGTTAACAATACGTTCTCTGCTAGTAGAGTAGACTGCACCAAGTGCCTCCTCTAAAGTTCAAGAACCCTCTAATGATAGTCTAGTCCACAACAAGAAGTGGTAGCTAGAGTAGAGGCTAAAGAGGAAGCAGAGAGTAAAGAAGAGGAGCAAATAGTTGCTCCCCTTTACACTGTGAATAATATTTAGCAAAAGCAGCAAAAAGGAGATGTAAGTCTAGTCTCTTAAAACACGTTTAGAACATGTTAATAATACGTTATAGCTAGACACCTATAAATACTAGATTCTTCTTTAATCTAAGGGACTACTAGAGCTTTATAATACCTGTAAAAGTTAAAAGAAAAAGTTATGTACTATTAAAGGACCCTATAAAAGTAAACAGTACTTTACTTTTAGTAGATAGAAAAAAAAAGAGAAGAGTAGAGAGTTTATTTTAGCAATTACTACCACCCCTTTAGGTTATATGCTATTGTACATTGTTTATTAGAACCTATTCTTAACACGTTCTTAACGTGTTCCTACTTATTACTATTATTATCTCCCTCCCCCTCTCTAGTATCTTCTCTATCCTCCCTAGGCTCTACAAAAGCATACCGCAAGTGGAACTAGGCGGCATTCTAGTAGGAATTAGCAAGGTCCACACTAGTATTAAAGTAACAGTCTTGAAACACGTTAGGAACAGGTTAACAACATGTTGTGAACAACTTACTACAGCCAGGATAATCGCGAGCGCAGATAGCACAAGGAACCTAATAACCTTAAATCCTTAGCAGGGTAGATATAGCAACAAAGTCAAGCTATAACAAGTTAGTAACGTGTTTTTAATAGGTTCTTGCAGGCTATACCTTGTTACTATTACAGCCACTACAAGTCTTCTTCTAAATTATATTTAGGAGGGTATTAGTATTTGCAGGGGGGCCTATAGCAGCTGCTAGCTAGGCTTAGAGAACTTCTATAAAACACGTTAGCAATAAGTTTTAAATATATTCTAAATAACTTACAGCAAGGAGCGTTCTAGTAATCACGTATAACCTTCGTGTAGAAGTCTATATGTATTAGCATAACAAGTTAAGAATAGGTTAACAATATATTTACTCTTTGCCTTGCGGACCTCTATTATAGAGGGCTAGCTAGTCTTCTTAACCCTACTAACCTTATAGTAGGCTATGTTAAGCCTATAATCTTTTTTAGCATAGGTACATAGAGTGCCCCTAGTACCTAGAACAGCCTAAGAATGTTAGAACCTGTTTAGAACATGTTTAGAACCTGTTCTTACTCCACACAAGGTGCCCTTATTGTTAATCTTAGCACGGTAGTAGCGCTCTCTACTCTCTATCTTAACTGCCCTATTAGGGCTAACTACAGGCTATGCCCCAATATTGTCTAGGACGCGGCTAAGGGCGAGGTACTGTTAATAGTGCTTCTATAACCTGTTAAGAACACGTTCTAAATACGTTTTAATCTGCTTACGTAGGATAAGAGGGATGCGTTAGTAACAGGCATAGCGGCGGCAGCTTGTGGTGTTACTAGTATAGAATGTGTTTAGAACAGGTTTAGAACGCGTTACAAAATCTTACGGCATAATGTTTGGTTAACCTCGCTTAGCTAGCTAGTAGAGCTTGGCACGGCCTAACCCCATGCCGAATACGAGTTCACGCAGCGCTAATTCCATGGTCATATGAACTGCGCCCTCGGTCGTGGTAATCTGGGGTTTTCTTGTAAGTGATTATCCTAGGTCAGCCCTGCCAGGGCGTCTGTGTGTACCTGCACACAGCATTGTGTAATGACGTGAGAGCAAATCTATCGGGTCGAAGGTTTGCTCCGAGGTCTTTAGCAGAGGGGCACTGTGTACGTCGTCGTCGCCGTCACCGCCACTTGACCACGATGCCACTTCTGCCACTTCTGGAGTTGAAACGTTTCGTGCGGGATGGATTGAAGCCACTTACAAATCAGGCACCGCGCAGTAGTGTGAGCCAAGACGAAACGCACACAGCAAAGAGCCGTTGGTGTTCCCAAATCCGTCATGGCCAAACACGGATGTGTGTGATCACCACGATCCGGATACACTGTTGAGCCCATGAGTTGTGGTCTGAAGATGAGTCAGGGGGGTCAGGGGGGTCAGGGGTCGTCCAATAGCCTTCCATGGCTCGCGCTCCGATCGTGAATGCATGACTGTTGACTCCCGAGCTCGTCAGTGTTATCCCAACGTCTGAAACCGTGCGCCGCCGTGAGTACGGCCGTTTTCTTCCACTTCACGTCGAGCAAATAAGCTGCCTTCAAAGTTTCACAATAGGCCTTTGCTTTCGGCGCCATGTCAACGTGCCTGGGAACTCAATGGAGAAATAAACGTTCGTGGTAAGCCCGTGGGGCTGAACAAACAGTGTACTTGCGGCATCGTCCGCTGTCATGGGGTCAGGACCGGAGACTGGTGGATAAAGACGACAACGGCTCCAGTCACCTTGAAAGGAATCAAATCTCCAATCGTTCGTGCCTGATTTTCAATCCCACAGGATTGCGATCCCGCTTTTAGAGTGACTCGTACTCCGAGCGCTCCCTCTACCGTTTAATCATCAACCCAGGAATTAATACAGCATGGCAGAGCCATTGCAAGAAGTTTACCCAATGGTGGAGCTGGCTCCGCTACCACGCGCACACATGCACCCTCTCGTCGAACCTCGCGAAATTTCACCACCAACTTCATCTCCTACACCATCCATTGGCGCGGATGATGGACCACTATACAAACCAGCAACCGCCCTTGCAGACCCCGAAGCTCCATCTGCCCGGACGAAGCGCGAATCATACGAATTATGCGGCAGTACCTACCTAATCACTAATACGGGAAAGACCCTCAAACTCCCAGTGCCATCCGATAGCAAAGCGGACCCTTTGAATTGGAGTAAATGGAAAACCGCCGGGGCCCTGTTTGCAGTTTTCCTGTTCTCGGTCGTGTGTCTGACTGCCGCTCAAGCCTCCTCCGTGTTGTTGGAGGCCATTCAAATCGATTTCCGGGACGAAGTAAGAATCAACTCCTCTCTGGACTCACTTGGGACTAACAAGTTGCCTGAGGGAGTCAAGCCCTGGTTAATAAAGGCGCTCTATACGGGACCAACCCTCTTCATGGGCATTGGGTGTTTCTTTTGGGTGCCACTGTCCATTGGCATGGGAAGACGGCCCGCGTTGCTGATAGCCAGTCTTGTTGCGCTCTTCGCTACCATTTGGGCGTCTGAAGCACGCTCATTCGCCTCCCTTGTCGTAGCTCTGTGCGTAATAGGACTGAGCGAGGGACTCAGCCTCTCCCTGGTGAGTCTCGTTGCAATTGATGACGTATGTCTTGGCTAATGACTCCAGGCCTTCCTGATGGTGATTGATTTGACGTATATCAACCAACGATCCAAAGCCGTGGCCGGAATGTGGTGCCTAGCAGGTTGTTTTGGCACTTCAGGTGTCGGATTAGTACCAGTCATGTCGAATCACGGCCATGACTGGAGGGCCTTCTTTCACTACTGGACGATACCAATCATTGTGTCAATCATTGTCACTTTCACCCTCTACCCGGAGACCTACTTCAAGAGACCAACAGTGGCCTTTGACGGGATGATCCTCATGCAAAGTGCGACTGAAAAGCTCACAGTGTACCAAGACGTCAAGGAAGACTCTAGCATATACCGCGATCTCCCCGAATACCCTCTTCGGACAGGGTTCGCAGGTCTTCGTGACCGCCTAGGTCTTGCTCGTTCGCCATTCGCATCTTGGATATCCATGGGCCGTTGCTTTCTCCAAATGGGCTACTGCATCATAAATCCCCTTATCTTTTGGGTCTTCATTGCCTCATCATTCAACTCGGCCAGCATGATCTTTATTGGTGTAACATATGCCCGAGTCCTTCTTGCGCCACCTTACAACATTTCTCACGACCTTGTCGGCACTGTCAACGTCGCATCCGGTGTAGGTGCTTTTTGTGGTTTCTTCGTCTACTATTTCATCATCAGCAAGGTTGTGACACGCCTGTCACATCGAAATCACGGCGTCCTCGAAGCGGAGCATTATCTCATTAGCTACATTGTGCCAATCTCAACCGGTGCGACGGGCTCATTGATTTATGGCTTGGCCGTTCAACACCAGTGGCCGGAGGGTTGGATCTACTTTTCTTATGGACTCAATGGGTTTGCCTTTGTCACGCTCATGGTTTCCAATACACTTTGGGTGACTGAAGCGTTTCCAAGGTGGGCAGCACCAGCACTTGCAGTTGTAGGAGGGGGCTGCTATCTCCTCTCCTTTGCGATGAGCTTTGCACTCGTCCCATGGCTCGAGTCGCAAGGGTTCCAATGGGTTGGCATTCAATTGAGCATCCTCCAAATTGTGGGTGGGTTGGTCGCAATGCCAGTCGCTTTCTGGGGCAAGAGTGGGCGGCAAGCTATTCAAGGGCGGTGGGCGGAAGATCGCAGTGGAGCGCTGAGGCCGCTTTGAGTATGATGTCTATAGCAGCGTACGCATATAGTAACAGTGCAAATTTCCCGAATCCCCGTTTTGATCGTGATCGTCCGCCTTCGTATTGTACAGGAATGGAGCCCCAGAAAAGGGGCACATGGTTTGCAGATCATTTCTTGACGGAGATCGGCGGAGCGCGCTCTCATCTCGGGCAGTTGACTTCACTAACTAACTAAAGGTGGTACATGTTAGGGTAGGTACTCGCCAGACATAGTACGTACGTACATATGCTGCCTTGGATGATCTGGCATTTGCTAATTACAAATTCTGACAACACACAAATAGCCGTACAACAGTGGACTAGTGAATAATGTAGCTCGAAAAGCGTCAATAGAATACCGCGGCTGTTGAAAGTGTGCTGGCTAGTCGCTGAGGTAGACATCATGTATCAGAGTATGTTGGCAAAGAACAGATCAACTTGTGGAAACTTACGCCGGCACCAGCAACATTCGAGTGTGATGGGATTTTCAATAAACTATCAACCGCTGCGGCAGTGGTCATGGAGGCTCCCGTAGGCGTGAGCAGACTACGATAGGTATCCATAGTTACGGACGTACTAAGTATAATACCGATGATGAGGTCTGCTTCTTGAGGCTTCATCATTCCCTAAATTTATTTCACGCGTCTTCCGATGATGTTTACTCCACAATCCCGTTCCACTCAGTGTTCATTTAGTTCATGTGCATCTATCCCCTCGACACACCGCTACTCACTGTCAATCACCGGGAAGGCCCGGACCCCACTTTGTCTCTCAATGGGCGCCACAGCTCGAGCACTTGTCCACCAAGAGCATTCGCCTTAGCTATCGTCTTGCATGATATTGAAGTAACAGGTTACGGCAAAGCGCAAGGCGCGACGACCTCGTAATTTGATCTCGTGTTGAGGCCAGACCGCTGGAAATTGTCGCGCTTCTGGACGTGTCCGAAATTGCTGATTTCCAAGAGCGGACTTTAGTCACAGATGCGACCAGCCTCAATGATGCGACGACCAACCTCGATGACACAACCAGCCTCAATTATACGGTACGACGACGACCCTCAACAAACATCCCAAGACGTTCTACCTAAGCTTTCATGTGTAACACATCCGCCATCAACCTAAGGAGTACCTACGTTTGATCGACCGGAATGCTGGAAAAGTCAGCAGAGAGTCAGGCACAAGACATGCCAAGTGTTCCCACCAGGAGCTGGTGGTCATGACTTGCTCTTGCGGGAAATGTTTACCAGCATGAAACACATGGATACCCCGACTCGCGATTGGAGACGAGTATAGTTGTCATCCTTGCCATAGATGCTCGTGTATAAACCTTGACATCAGGCTCAATTTTTTTCGGGGAGAGTGGAGTGTGGAGAGACGGGAATGCGGTGTGCGACTTGCCCTGCCTTGGCTTCATTTGATGCTCACCCATGGCAGCAATAAAATGGAGCGACTATGTCGTAGGGCAAAGAATCAGTCAGATGCCGTCAGTGGCACGTCTATTCAAGTGTCGTCCGCTAGCTGTCTCGCGCGCACAAGGACGCGTCGCGAAAACGTCAAGATGGATTGCAGATTGAAGCATTGTGCAGTGGACAAGCGGCGTCACTTCTTGTGATTGCGAGTAGCCATGTCGTGTCATATATAACAGGACACGTGACTCTACACAGGACATGCTAAGCCTAGATCTTGCTGGTATTCTCAAGTGCATGAAAAAGCATGTGACTGTTCACGTGACATAGTACGAAGGCTAGACCTTACTAAGCACTGTCTTGGCGTTCTTAGAAGTAGCCATGTCAATAGGCTTAGCGGGTTATGTATGTTAACTATAAAAAATAACCAACAAAATAGCTATCATCGTTAAGTTAACTATTCGTTATTAGATATTTTAAATAACACCAAGACGACATGGCTGATTGCGGGAGCTCAGACACCCTCACGTTAAAGGAAGGTGAACCCCACGTTTAGCTTAGTGCCTCGGCTATCGTACGCAGTGAATAGCGACCCCAGCTGCCTTGCCCTCGCATGAGCCGGGATGTGATGTCACTCAAACCTGCTTGTATCAGGAATGCCCTTTGCAGAGTCAGGATATTCATGTTTATATGAAAATCAAATCTTGCTTGTATTGACAGTTCTTCCATGTTAACCGGTTGAACCAGCCAAGCTTACCCCACCAGCCGAGTCCAGCCTCTCTCTGCGACACTTCTTTCCATACCCAAACATCCTCATCGATAGCGCACCACCGGCGTCACACGTCATGGCAGAACTGGTTTCTGGTATCGCGAAACTCAATCCCTTCTCCAAGAAATCAAAGATCGACGATGAAGACAAGGGCGAGGCAATCGATGCAGGCACGGTGGCTGGCGGTGGTCATGCGGCGCAACAGTCGCACATTACGAAAGATGAGCTACGTGTCAGTCAGGCGCTGAGACGCTTTTTGGTAGAGGAGAACGTTTTAGAAGAGGCAGAAGCGGGATTGAAGAGCGAGCAGCCAACGGCAGCCCTACGTGAATTGGTTTCCAAATCTCACATCCAAGTCCCACCTGAGGTCATCGAGAGGAATCATCCATTACCGGAATATTTCATCAGCTCGTCTCACAACACGTACTTGATGGCCCATCAACTATACGGCGAGTCGCATGCCTCTGCCTATGAGATTGCCTTACATACGGGATCTCGATGTGTGGAGATTGATGCCTGGGATAATGACGACAACAAAGAAGAACCAAAGGTCACTCACGGCTGGACACTCACATCCAACATTCCATTTCGCGCAGTCTGCGAGACCATCCGGGATGTTATTGATAAAGAATCTGCCGATGCAAGAAATGCTGCGCCCATTATGATCTCCCTCGAGAACCATTGCGATGCGCATGGTCAACGTCGTCTGGCACAGATCATGCAGGAAATGTGGGGGGACAGGCTGCTCAGCAAGGACATTCGCCAGAAAGGTATGCAAGAGCAGGAGGACCATAGCCAACACAACCACGTCACCTTGGCCGAGCTTGGGAATAAGATTGCTGTAATTGTTGAATATCACTTGCCAAATGAGCAGGAGAGCAGTGACAGCGATTCCAGCTCGGATGAGGAGGAAGAGGATAAGCAAGCGCGACAAGAGTATGCTCGAAAGAAGAAGGCTACTAATGCTGGCATCATCGTACCAGAATTGGCAGAGCTAGGAGTGTATGCACAATCTGTCAAGCCTGTCAACAATTCCTGGTTCGAGGCTGATCTCGAAAACGCGCCTCACCACCAGCTCATCAACGTTTCAGAGTCTGGCTTAAAAGCGCATCTTCCTGCGAACAGTGCAAAGATTGCCAGGCACAATGCCCACCACTTGATGCGCGTCTATCCCAAGGGAACCCGGATTTCTTCCAAAAACCTCCAGCCCGTACCCTTCTGGGCCATTGGAGCCCAAATCTGCGCACTCAATTGGCAGACTTTTGGCGCGAGCTCCCAGATCAATGAGGCTCTCTTTGCAGGCTCAGGAGGCTATGTTTTAAAACCGGCTGCCCTCCGCGCTGGTGGTAGCGGTAATCTGAACACAGGCAGAAGAAAGAAACTCCGCCTCCATGTTGCGGGTGCAACGGACGTTCCCTTGCCCAAGGACCGCGACAACGAAGCCATCAAACCCTATCTGACATGCACCCTCGTGCACGCAAACGACATGAACAACATGCCGCCCAAGCGCAAGACGGCTGGCTATAAGCCGCACAAACTGACCGGCTTCATGCACAAAGACAACTCGCCTTCTACGGATCCCGTCTGGAAGGACGTCCTGGAATGGGAATACGACGACAATGAACTCGTCTTTCTGCGCCTCCTTATCAAGAGCGATGACAGCTTTGCGCGCAATCCCATCTTTGCCGTTGCCGCCGTTAGGCTCATGTACACCGTTCCCGGCTGGAGCTTCATTCGCATGCTCGACTTGGGAGGCCATGAGACAAAGTGTACTCTGCTCGTCCGATTCGAATTTGTCGACGTCTAGGAGCGTCGCCGGCCATCTAGGCCAGTCGTGTCTAGGTTGGCAGTGTCGGAGGCAGAAGCGGGCCCTGGACGAGGCGTCAAGAGATACACTACGTCTATGATGTGTAGGAATGTGTATAATTTCGGGAAATAGAGCGTACAGCGAGTTGTACGCTCCAACATTGTTGCAAAAGTGGGTCAATATTCTGTCAAGCGTATAGTTCTTATAATAGTCTATATGAATTCCTTGACCTAACATCATGAATTGCATCTACCACTTGTCCGGCACGACACGTCTAACCCTCTGACCCCTGGACCTCCCCTTCCCTCCCAACCTTCTCACTCGCTCGTTGCCCCGACACCAGGCCCTGTCTCTCTAGAACATGATTCGGCACCACAGCGCCCTTCTCTTCACGATCATAATTAGCGAGCCAACGTAAACAGCATACGTCTGTACGCCGAGGCACATGGTCCACCCAGGCCCCAGTTTATTCAAAATAGAGCCACCAAAAGACGAAGAGAAGAACCAGACGGCGCAGAGCGTGGCATTGACGACTTGCACGACTTGCGCCGAGTCTGGTCTGCCACCGCCGGCACCGAGAAGGTTGAGCGCGACGTAGATTCCGGCGGAGGCGCCGACGCCTATGCCTGCGATGAGCATTTGGATCCAGGGGCCGTGGTAACGGATCTGGGGGAGATTGAGTATAGCCATAGCATCGAGGTTCTGGGAGTTGTACGACTACAATTGCACGGGATTGATGAGATGAGGTTCTTTCTCTCACAGGGAACTTTTGGGGGCGGTAGTTCTAAATATCATATTGAACTGACTGCAGGTCTGACCTGCACAATGCAGTACACTGCCCTCAGACCAGTTTGCACTTCTTCTACCTCTTCTCTGGATAATATCATGGGGCGTAACCAGTAAGGTGGGTCTTTCAAGGCAAACTCGCCTGGAGTTGGGGTTAATCGACATGGTTTATTTGCGGGCTAGCACCAACACAGGGCAAACTGATGAATCAGGCGTTCAAGATAATGCAGTGAGAGATAGTCGTGCATTGAGCCGTACCTACGTCACAGCCTCACCCGCTAGTCGCGGACGGCTACACCACTGATATCATTTTGCTGCAGAATCACGGAATAAGAATCATTGATGGAGGATTGGACTGGTTTTGCAGGCCCGATTGCTGCAACTCGTATTCGAATGTCGTTTAGATATTACCGTCTGGATACAGGTTACACCAGCGCTTTTGTCCAACACGACTCACAAATACCGTATGTACAGTTCATGTTGGTCCATGAAGTCTATCTTTCTGGGAGCATTGCATAGCAAAAGGCGAAAGTCGACTCAAGAGATAGGTATCACTCGAACTTGTAGAATCCAAGTTAGCCAGTCTTAGAGGCCCTGGCCGTTCCAGAAGTCCGAAGCAAAAGTCTCCAATCTGATGATACATGTGTGGAGCTCGCCTCCGACCAGCTGGTTGTCCCGAGCGGCCCGTTGCGATGGCTACCCATGAAATCGCAGATTTAATCCCATACTTGACGGCAACTGACATTGATACGCTTCGTGCCCATATAACCCTTCCACTTTTTGTATGATCTCTCTTCGGCAGGAGTGGCCCCTGGTGTCCCGACCGGCCAGTCTGCGAGATGCGATGGGCACGTACTGGGAATGGTTCTTGCCATGGCATGCCATGCCCATCTCGCCTGCCCCGAGAGATGCACGACGTCTCCGCTGTGCACTCGGATGGCCACCGTTCTTGGCGCATCATCACCAGTGCCGTCGTCTTCTCCCCGCGCCATGATGAAGATGCCATCACAACCAACACTGAAACTAGCCAGGCTTGTTTGACACATCTCGCTAACGTCACGATGAACAGGCATGAAGTCCTTGGCCGAGTACATCAATACCACCCCAGATTCAGGCCGAATGTGTGGGAAGAGACCAGTTACCAGTATCGATAGATCCGAGGGAAAAGGAGTCGCATGTTTTTCATAGCTGCGCGTTGGCCAGTCATACTGTTCGCCGAGTGTAAGCCATCGCAGCTTCGTGTACAGAAACTGTTCGTTGTTGAGAGTTTTTTGCTTTTCAAGCACTTTGGGAACGAGACAGTCCTCCGGCGCAGCTCTATCACGAAGGAAGAAGCTGCTATCAAACCGAAGGGCCTCTGTTGTCGGCCTTGATGGGTAAGGCACATTATAATCTGCCTGCATATTGATCTTGTGGCTTGGATCGGCCAGATCTCTGTGCATCAGGCAAGAAGTAAACAGCACTTGCGTTTCTGGCGGTAGCAATCGAGGAATGACCTGTAGGCCAGGAAACTCCTTATTCTCCCAGATTTGCGCGTCATGTACTGGTGTCGAAAGTGGTACTCCTCCGGCATATGCTTGGCATGCAGACTCAATTTGTGCGGCTGGTATGACACCAGCCGGTCTCCACAGGTCTTTTTGCTCATCGGTGAACGCATCTCGTTTATTCAGGTCGAAGATATTTGGATCGTTTTCAAGATCGGCTTTTCGCATGCTCTGGTACCGCCAGTGTTCTTTCTGGATGAACTCTGGGGGTGTTGCATGGGTATCATGGTGTACAGAGCCTTTCTGTATCTACTATAAGCCATACTCGTTTGGTGAAGTATGTGACATACCCACTCGGTCGGTTGACGTTGTAGAGCGATCCATTGTGGCGAAATGAGTCACGAGCGGAATAATATGGGGTCGGGCCCAGGGCCGCTTTCCTGTGAAACTTTGTCTCGCGAGTAAGGAATATGATTTCTTTAAGATTCTCATCAAGGCTCACAAGACGGCAATTTGATGATGATACGTCTGAGTTCAAGGATCAAATAAGTCGAGGCCGTAAATTGGGGTCGAAACCTGTGCGTCGCTTATCGATAAGAATCATATAACAACGTACTACCTCCGGCAGTTGATACATTACTTCTCGGTCTTCCCCAGAGAAAAATTATTTCCTTGTTGATATCGTTCGATCATACTTGGCAAAGTGTTTGCGTCACTTACAGCAATGCAGTACTTGCAGGATGTCACTGTATGCGCACGTGACGCAGTCCATCACCTCTACGTTTGAGCAAACTGCATCACAAGCAGGTAGGTATATCGGAGCCGAAATCATATACTGAAATCATATTATCCAAAACATGTGTTTTATATTTACATAAGTGCAGCAGTTACTAAAATATCATCGACGATGTCCATGAGAATGTTCATGCGAGAACAAAATATACGTTCTCAATCTATGGAATATACCCATCCTGCACTCTGAATAATAGATATAGAAAACGATCACGAGGAGCTTAAAAAAATATTCTCTTAAACCACGTCGTTGGCCACTTTCACACCAGGATACGCACTGCAACCACCAGGCCCAGCCGCAAAAAAAGTACGATTCCGCCTCAATTTCGCCCTCCCTATCTCCAGCACGCAAACACTCCCGGTGAAACTCTCTGCCAGATCCTGATCGCATAGGTATCTCTTCCGTTATCACCAAAGATATACTACACCACCCTCACAGATCACGGCGAAATGCCAGATAAGCTGGCGGCTACAAACTCAGAAGCTTCTCAAAAGACATTAGAACGTCTTATTTATACCTCACGTAACTGACTATGATAAATGTGATATGTTTATAAGCAATTACTACGCAGTGCGAAACCTCCGCAGTCAGTGTACGACTACTGCTCTTCATCGGGCTATATCATCGGATACATCACCTTTCTTGTACCGTAACAGCTTGGAGAAATTTGGCGGTAAATCTAGTAGTGTTCTACCTTCTCTGGTACAAATGTTTCCCAAAGCTGGTGTGACGCCATGCATTGTCTACTTCAATAGTGCCAAAATGTGCCAAATAATCACATGTGTAAAGATTCGCACAACATTGAATTAGTAGTGAGTTTCACGATGCAAAGGGGAGAGAATATGTTGGACAGACTGCAGGTGGAGATAAATGAGGACTGGGAGTGATCATGTCTGGACGTCGAAATAATAGTGATACATGAGCATCATGATGAAAATCACTACAAAATCTTCACTAAATGCGACAACGAGCGAATACTGTCTTGACTGTCTTGCATGAAAATGGCGTACAGCTGTGGAGAAGTTTGGTCTGTGCTGCAGCAAACGGAGAGCGTGAAGTTGCATCTTCCCGATTCTTCCTATGTTTTCGCTTTCATCATCTGGCGACATCATCCACACATCTTCTTTCGCGCACACCACCAGGTTTTTTCTCAATCGCGCTCAACATGGCCCACGGGACATCCGCCAACGCGCTGGAGCTGCGTATTCACAATCTTCTACGCCCCTTCCGCAATAAAGTACACCAAACCACTAGCACAAATAGTAATCCCAATGTTCACGACCTCGCTCTCCAGACGGAGAGGAAGTTGACTGTTCTGTGTCGTAAGGCCCTCGTTTTATATTCTCCGTGATGAACGTACCAAGGCTACTTTAAACTGACGTTCTGACAGTGAACATTGCTTTCCTCACACGAAACCATTTCCAAAATGTCAAACGCGATATCAGTGCCGAAGATGTGTTCGTTGCTATGCGGGGCTGGACAGGCGATGGAGTGGGAGCAAGTGGAGGGACGTTTGCGATCCTTGTACGCTTTCAAGGAATGATAGTAGGCGTTGTCAAGGCCAATCTAAAGGTGGGCGCCAATGTGATGGATAGTTTGTGCGCAAAAGTTGACGAAATGCTTCTCGAAGCGCTCTAAGACCGAAGTTTACAAACCGGACTTTTGCCTTGGGCATTCGTGTCTTGCATTTGACGCGATGTGGTCTATTGGCAGCGCCTTACATCCGAACTGATTCTCTCTTGCGCGTAGTAGTCAAATGAAAGCGATATCCAAATTGATGACTGTTTACCGATGTTCATATTGGAACACCGTAATGTGGAACGCTGGCTGACGGTGACGTGTTGTAAATTTAGTGTGTCCTCGCCCACTCCCGGTACCAGTCCAGACACTCCACGTTTGCGACACTGGCACTGGTCTTCACGTTCAATCCACAAAGGATCTGCTTCACGGCTCCTTCAACCCTGGTGAATGTAAGTGCACGAACTTGAATTTTCGATAGATGGGGAAATATACTTCTTTCCGTTGGTGGTAATCGGGATCTCAGGACACGCGTCGATCACGGCCGGGACATGTCTCGCACTGAGAGCATTCTTGATGGTCAAATTTATCTTGCTGATGAGATCGGAAGACAATTGATGGCCTTCTGTCATCTTTAAGAATAGTACAACAGCCTCGTCCATGTCAGTCTCCCTCCGCCGGCCGATACACAAGGCATCGGCGATTTCCTTGGGGAAGTGCTCCAGCACTACATTGTAGATTTCAGCAGACCCGAAGCGGACGCCAGCCGGCTTGAGAATGCCATCACTACGTCCAAGCATCCAGAGACCACCAGTCTCGGGGTTGAAACGTACGAAGTCGCCGTGGTGCCAAATGGGTTGACCGCTCGCGTTCTTAAATATGTCAAAGTAAGACTTCTTATACTTGTTCGCTCCCTCTGACCCCCAGAACGCGACTGGCTGACATATAAACGGTTTGGTGCAAACTAGATCACCCGGTTCACCGGTGGAGGAAATGTCGGCTCCGGTGTAGTCCCATGCTGCAATTGCCATACCCAGACCCGGCCCTTGGATTTCGCCTTCATATACAGGGAGAAGAGGGTTTGGAGCACCAAACAACGAAATGATATCGGTACCACCAGTGATGCTGCCAAGGTTTATTGTGTTTGGGAAAGCCGAATACACGTATGAGAATGTAGATGGCGCAAGCGGCGACCCTGTGGAGTAGATAGCTTCAAGCTTGTCCAGTCGTAGACCTGCAGCTTTGGGGTTGACAGACTTCTGCTCCAGTATGGACAAGTACTTTGCGGAGGTACCAAAGTGGGTAATTTGGAACTCGTCGATGAGGCGATGCATAGCAAGATCATCTGCGACTGAGGTCGAAGGATCTGTTTCGTCGACATATCGGAAGGGGGAGCCGTCGTAAAGGACAAGTGTTGCCCCTGATGCTAGGCCTGAGACGAGCCAGTGCCACATCATCCAGGTACAAGTCGTAAAGTAAAAGAGACGTGAGCCGGGCTGTATCGAGCAATGGAGAATGTGCTCTTTCTTGTGTTGAAGCAAAGTACCAATCGCACTATGAACAATGCATTTCGGTGCCCCCGTGGTTCCACTTGAATAAAGTATGTAGACCGGATGATCTGGCGGAAGTTGCTTGAACGTGAGCTCTGTCACACTTTTTGAGGCGATGAATGTCGCGTAATCGTACACGGTTCCAGATGACAAGCAAGTAGGGTCCAATTCGGTCGTTACTGAGTCCACAGTCGGAAGAACGACAATAGCCTGTAGAGAGGGCAGGTCGCGTGCAATGTCCACTACCTTGGGCAACACGGGATGACTTCGCCCATTGTAGAAAGCAGCGTTGTCCGCGAAGAGGAGCTTCGGCTCAATCTGGCGAAGGCGCTCAAGGACAGCGTGTACACCAGTATCAGGACTGACAGCCGTCCATATCCCACCGAGAGAAGTTGTTGCGAGCATTGCGACGAGAGCGTGTGTGTGGTTCGCAAGATAACCGGCGACCCGATCATCCACTTTCAAACCCATGGCCAGCATGCCGGCCTGACATTTTCTGACTTGTTCTCTCAGCTCCGACCATGTTACGGTTTCTCGTGTTGTCTCTGTCGCGGCGATGACGGCGGGCGAATTGGGATCAACTTCCTGCGTAGGGAACAGCAGATTCTCTGCAAAGTTGAGCATCGTGCCTGGAAAGAATATGGGACGAGGAAACATGGGTGCTTTGGGATCCACAGCCTATTACAGATCAGTGTGTACTCGTCGAGATGATGCAAAACGTGCTGCCTGACCATCGAATATGGCCCTTCATGTCGGACGCCAACAACATCCCATATACTGCGCCAGAAATGGTCGGTGTTGTCCACGCTCCATTGGTGAAGATCCTGGTATTCTGAGATGTCTTTTCCATACACCTTGTTCACTCTTTGCATGTACTTGTACATGGGCGTGGAATGTGGCGAGGCATGCTTCCAGAGCAACTTTGCCTTCTTCGATGTACCATTGGCCTCCGAGGTGCCGTTCATTTTGTCTTGCAGTTCCTTTTTTTCATGTGTCTCTCCAATTATGGCGGCCTAGAAAAAACTGGGATTGAATGACAATGGACAGGCGATGGCTACCGGTAGGTACCTACCACTTGGCAGGCACAACAACAATAACTATAGCTTGTTTTTCATGTTGCACAACGTCCGTTGACCAGCACTTGCCTCGGCTCCGCAGCCGCTTTCCCCCACCATCCCACAAGCGCGGCTTTCTCCGGGTGTCACTGTACAGATAGGTCGGCACCCCACATTCTGGTCCTCTTGGGACTGTCCCCTTCAATGGGCATTATGTTGACTGCATAATCGGATCATTCCATTCACTGCATGAACGAACTTTCGTTTCACCAGACGGCCAGAACGATCACAAACCATGCTAACCGTTTGTAAATTGAGTAATGGGTTGAATGAATACCTTACCGCAACTTTACCCACAGCATGTTGGGGGTGGTTCAATCTATACAAAGTGCATCTAATCCAACATCCACTGCTTGTGTGGTTATTGTTCACTATCGAGAACATATCAGGTACCTGGGCTCCCATATTCTCGTATCAAGAGTTGACGACTGCAAAGATGTAGGTGCATGTTGAAGCTCCGAGGTAAACAAGCCTCCTCAAAGACGTGAAGGAACCTTGTCATTTGTTCTACAGCATCCGGTACTGGTGCTGATCTCCTGGTGACTCGCTTGTTAGGAGAAGTAGGCGTCTATGATGGCTGAAATTCCATGTATCGGTACGGTACTGAGGACAGGACAGATGGGATAACTATATTGTACGGTAACCCAGGGTCAGAGTGAATTAGCTGTGATCCATGACTAGGAAGTAGTACCTGTCACGTGGCACCTGCAAGCATCCATATTGCGAAGCAAACAGAAAATGCACGTTCGTGCCAGCAAGTAGTCGTGCTTCTCTATATTAAGATAATCTGGCGTTGCGCAACGCGGTGGTACAAATTTTCGTCGCCGTGTTTGGACAGGAAAACCACCAACCTCACCGACCTCACTTCGATAACTCATTATTGGGTGCCCAGCCTCTCAGTATGGCCGCACAATCCGGAATGGTAAATCCGGCCATTTTTCAGGATCTACAGTCGCGCATTGACGAAGATACTGCTGTTCGTGATGTGAGAGGCACCTTTGCGCATTCTTCCACGTGACAGCGCACTCATCACGCGACAGGAACTACGCGATATCATCCAGGCACTCGAGAAGCACAGTAAGTATGCTTATTTATAAGGAGATTATGCTAACAAAAAAAACAGACCGCAACGTTTCCTTCGTACTGTCGAGAGCTCATTCTACGCCCGTATCCGACCGTGAGATCCGCTACTTTGATACATGCAAGCTTCAATTGCTAATGATGGTAACAGTGTCAGAAGTGCTCAAGGCAGCCGAAGAGCCTATCAAGAATGTAGTCGAAACTGTATCAAAGCTGTCGCAAGCCGCATCAAAAATGCCCTACTACAAATTCAACAACATGTGGAGCCGCCAGATGCAAGGTGCTGTGCGTCAAGACCACGGAATCTATACCTGATCTCCACTAAAACAACTACAGGCTGAGAGCGTGCTTCTTTGGGGATGGCTCGGTGGCTATCAGTATCAAGGTGGCGAAGTTCAATGCGGACGTCTGCTGACTATCGAGGAGCTCGGTGAGATCTTGAACAGTATGTTCATCACGACATACCAATATACACTCAACTGACATCACAAAGTCCCTGTCAATCTCAAAGATCGTGATGAGTTCCATCTATCGCTTGAGGAGTACTTGCAGGCGCTCATCACGCTCGTGGAGGAGCTGGTATGTTTGATGACCCTCGTATCTCTTTGCGAGTACTAACAGCAGACAGACTCGCCTTGCGCGCAACGCAGTCACATTGGGCGACTATGACCGTCCTCTACTGATCAATCAGTTTGTCAAAGATCTGCACGCGGGTTTCCAGATTCTCAACCTCAAGAACGACAGCCTGCGCCGTCGTAGCGATGGTCTGAAGTATAGAGTAAAGGACGTAGAAGATGTTGTCTACGACCTTTCATTGAGGAACCTAGTTCCCAGGAAAGGTGAGCAGAAGCAATAGATTGAATCATGATACTCCTCGAGCGAACCCGGCGGTATATAATGGAAAGCCCATCTAGGACAATATGGCTTCCCCGTCAAGATAGAGGAGTACTTTAGATACATAACATTTAAAATCACTGTGGACATCTGAAGGATCCAAAACACCGACATCATCAGTGTTCTTGTAGACCATTGTGGTACTCGAGAAAACGCGCTCTCGCTGCCGCTAGAGGGAAAGTGCACGGATGTCATCGCAGATCGCGAATCTTTGGTCGTAAACTCACCAGCATAATCACGACCGACTGACCAAGTGTTCAGCCACGGGCCAGGTGCCAATTCCGCTCCTTTGTACATATCACGTACTATCTTACCTAGAGCCAAATATCTTCCACCTGTTCAACCATATTACTAGGAGGACGCGCAATCGCCAACATGGCCAGCACCACCGTCATCAACGCCAACGCGACGACAAAGCCGCAAATGGCCACCGCAGCGCCAATTGAGCCTCTAAGAAATGGGACAGCACAATTGTACACACACATTCACCCTGCCCTCATCCTCGCAATCTATGCCTACAAGTTCCCGGCGCTTGTGGCAGACCCCGTCCCTACTCTGCTCACCACTCTCGTGCCACTTGCTGTGCTCCAAATCGCATACGTAGCAGTATGCCTACCGCCAACGGGTGGAACGCCTACCATCAGGAGACAAAAGCCTGGCGAGAAGAAGGGCAAGGTACCGACTAAGCTGGAGCAGGGTGTGAACAGCAAGATCGTGGTCGGTTCCTCTAGTCTTTATCACATGGGCATCTGCGGATGCAATGGACTTGTAGCTAACAACTAAAAAAGCCAGCATTTTTGTCTCTTCTCCTCGCTGCTTTCGCTGCTACGCCGCTCTTCACCTCGCTCCTCGTTCTCTTTGGCGCGCCCGTGACCACGCACCACTACCACACGCTTCTCTGCGGCGCACACATTGCGCTGCTGAGCACCCTCCCGCTTGTATACGTACACGGCGTTGACGGCGAGAAATGGCGACAAATTGTTGCCCTTTACATACCAATTGATGAAGTCTATGGCGGTTTGATTGGAACGATACTTGGTGCCTGGTTGGGCGCCGTGCCAATTCCTCTAGACTGGTGAGTCGACATGCACAATCTGATCTTTGTTGCGAGAACTTCAAGTAACGATTCTTCCTCAACACGATCTATGGCTGACACTTGATAGGGACCGCGAATGGCAAAAGTGGCCCGTCACAATCATCACCGGAGCCTATGTTGGCTATGCGATTGGTAAATTGCTGGGAGGCACCCTCTTGAAAGGCAAGAAAATCAGTTTCGATTGAACGTCTCCTGGAGTTCTCGCCGTACACATACACACAACCTATGACAGCATACTATTCGATGGCTGGCTCGTGATGAACAGGCGGCGGAACTAAAGATCGGAATGGCTTTACACTTCCATGGGCGCGCGAACCCGGCATACGACGAAAGCGCGCTAGTCCCACCTCCCCGCGTCACTGGAATATACTTCATCCCCCACGGTACCTGCATTCGGGAGTGCCGAGCACATGTTAAAGAGAATCAGATTCAAATGTCAATTGGCTCACCAGCTAAACAATATCCGTTACTGCTGAACCTTGTTACACTTTCGTCTGACTGAGCACCTTTTCGCTCACATGCTTCCACTCTGTTCATCTTAGACATATTACACAATTGACCACATACATCACAGACCCGTCCCATGTCCATCACTAATTGCATCCACAACAACATATCTACCTCATCGTAGCCATGCCGAAAACTGACGTCTTAATCGCCGGCAGCGGCTCGGCCGGCATCTTCGCCGCAGCCTGGCTCGCCATCTACAACATCCCCTTCACCATTCTCGAGCGGCGCAACGGCCCCCTAGAAATCGGGCAAGCCGACGGCGTCCAAGTGCGCACCGTTGAAATCTACGAGTCCTTTGGTCTCGCCGAGGATGTCCTGCGGGAAGCATACCACATCCTCGAAGTGTGTTTTTGGGGCACGGAGGAGGGTGGTGCAGGGGGGATCAAGAGGAAGGGCAGGAGTGTGGATACGCCGCCTGGGTTGAGTCATTTGCCGCATGTTATTTTGAATCAGGCACGCATGAATGGGCTGATGGTGGAGAAGATGGAGGGGATCTTGAGAGAGAAGGGGAGGACCGAGAATCCGATTGAGTATGGGTGGAAGGTGCGGGGTGTAGAGATTGATCAGGGGATGAAGGGGGATGGGGATGCATATGCTGTGAAGGTCAAGGCGGAGAAGGAGGGAAAGGAAGAGGTGTGGGAGGCAAAGTATGTGTTGGTATGTTATCCTTTACTTTTATCATCCTATTCACCTCAAACAAAGTCCAGAACCAAAAAATTAACAGCAAGACAGGCCTGTGACGGTGCCCACTCTACAATCCGCCACTCCCTTTCCATCCCCATGATCGGCGACACCACCGACACAGTCTGGGGCGTAATGGACACCTACCCCCTCACCAACTTCCCAGACATCCGCCGGAAATGCACCATTCACTCGTCATCGGGCAACCTCCTCATCATCCCACGAGAAGGCGGCTCCCTCGTCCGCTTCTACATGCAGCTCCCCGCAGGCAGCACCCAACAATCCGTCACCCTGCCCATCCTACAAGCCACCGCACGCCGCATCTTCGCGCCCTACAGCATGGACTTTGCCGCTGTGCACTGGTGGAGCGCATATAGCATTGGCCAGCGCCTCGCCCAGTCTTTCCACACCGACATGCGCGTTTTCCTCACGGGTGACGCGTGCCATACGCACTCGCCCAAGGCAGGCCAGGGCATGAATGTCTCGCTGCAAGACGGCTATAACATCGGTTGGAAACTTGGGCACGTGCTCTCCGGGCTGTCTCCGCCCTCCCTGCTATCCACGTATGTGGGTGAGCGTGGGCAGACGGCGGCAGACCTGATTGCCTTTGACCGCGAGTTTTCGAGCCTGTTTAGCAGGAAGGAGGCAGAGCCGGGACGGTTCCAGGAGTATTTTGTGCAGAGTGCGCGGTTTACGGCGGGGTTGGGGGCACGGTATGAGGAGAGTGTTGTTGTGGGGGGCAAGGGGATGTTGGTAGCGGGGGGTGTGGAGGTAGGGATGAGGTTTCCCACTGCGCAGGTGGTGCGGTATTGCGATTGCAAGGCTGTGCAGTTGCAGAGTGTGTTGAAGAGTGATGGGCGATGGCGTGTTGTCGTGTTTGGCGGGGATATCAATGTCGCCGCACACAAGGAGAGGTTACAGCAGGTGAGTCTGACATGCATCTTTTCCAGCACGATTGGGAAACTACTCAAGACTGCTGGCTGTTGCAGAAGAAACTAATGATCTGGGCAGCTGGCAGCACATCTGCTCCCTCTCACACGACGCTTCACGCCACCCGGACGTGACATTGACGGTTTCATCGAGCCCATTCTGGTCTTACACAGCACCTTTGTGGACGTTGCGCAAGAGCAGATACCAGATTATTTCTGGCCTGTCACTGGGAAGTGGGGTATGAGAGGTAGGTCCTCCTCGCTGAATTTTTCCCCTCCTTGGTCCTGACGAGTGTATAGATCTCCACAAGACATATATCGACGACGCGCATTATAATGCTGGGCACGGGCACGCGTACAAAGCTTACGGTGTTGATCCTAATGTGGGCGCTGTGGTGATTGTGAGGCCGGATCAATGTACGTTGTTTCCTATTTCCTATGCAGATTGTTAGGATGGTGGTAAGAATGCTGCTAATTCGAGTGTAGATGTCTCGAAAGTCACGTCGCTGGACGACTTCGATGGTATTAGGACGTTCTTTGAGGGATGCATGATTGAGCAGAGAAAGGAGTAAAATGGATAGCGTTGCGCGCTGTGAACTTGACAGAGATGTATGAATATATACTGTGATGGATCTCTCATATTGATAGATTTTCATATCTGACGCCGACTGTATGCCCAATATGCCTTGACTGGTAGCTTCCAGTCCACTGTTCGTAGGCTTGCGTCGAAAATGTCGAAATCCACTTTTTGCAGTCTGTCCAGCCATGACTGCGTCGATATGCTGGGCATGAATACGCCAAAAGCCTGTTCCACCTCGGCCAACTGTGTATCCTTGCCCGTGTTCAACTGCTGCATGCTGTACTGGTGTTCCTCCTCGTGTTGGTGCTCGAATTCGTGGCCCAACGTTCCCTCTGACCGCAACTTGGACAGCATCTCGCGTGCTGTGATGAGATGGTCGTTGGCGCGTGTGGCGACTGTGAAGATGGCGTCGCGGAGGCCTGGAGCGGCAGCGCCTTGTCGAAAGACGTCTTCTTCCCTAACGTTGGCTTCGGCCATGACGTCTAATGGTAGCAGCACGGCGCCTTGTGTCGGTCCGGACTGTCCAGTCATGGAGTTACTTGTCCCCAGCGGTTGTTGCGGAGGGAAGGCAACGAGAGGCACTCCTCGCAGTACTGCAGCGATACCCATGGCCTTGCCAATGTGGCTTGCGATGTGGTCCGTTGTGAGCGAGGCCTGCGGTAAGGCGGAAAGCGTCAAGTATAGCATAGTCGAGTACGTGTTTTCAGCATAGCTCTCCAGTGCGCTCAAGGTGGGGTAAGGCGGGTTTCCCAAATGCTGCTCCCTTGTGCTTATCATGCGATAAAACCAGCTTTTATTGAGGCGCGCCTTCCCTTCAGAACGTTCGTGTAGGTCATCGCCTGCTCTGGCGAGCATGATGGCCACAGGCTCTTTTGGTGGCGTGCCTGCCAGCGCTTTGGCGACCGTATCCTTCCAGAACTGCATGCGCATCAAGCCAATTGTGGGAGTGCTCGTTGTGTCGGCCACGCGGGCAACTTCGATGTTGAAGGCGCGGATGGCGAGGTAGGCATCTCGTGAGGACGGGGGGATGAAGGTTTGGAGGACATGCGACGGCGCATCGTAGGTACGGATGAGGTTTGCGCAGTAATTGCGTGCTCGCTCCACTTCAGCCTGCGATACTTGTGCCGCCCCGTTTTTGCAACATGGTGAGGTGTGGAAAAGTCGCCTCCGCGGCGTTGGATAGTTGTGTCTATGCCGGAGGAGAGCTCTGTAGAGATGTGTGGAGCGCATTGGAAAATAGTTTTCAGCTGCGAAGACGCTTTACACGGCCATTGTGTTCAAGGATTGCAGTTTCGAGGCGTGTTGAATAGACCTAGTATGAACCGTACAAACATATAGTGAGCCAGGCTCACAGATGATATTGTAACAGAACTCGTGGTAAGCCAATTGGTATGGATGGCGACTGGAGCGAGGGTGCATGACGCGGTTGTGCAGATCGCCCGCACTTTAACTCGGTTAGCGTGCTCCCGTGAAAGCGCGTTCAAGGTTGCGACGCGTCGGCCATGGGCACTTTGCGAGCGGCGAACAGCGAACGGCTCGACGGCCATCAACACCATGCAGTCGCCGCACCCAGATGAGAGACCGTCCAAGAAGCGCAGATTCTTCACTGAAGCCTCTTCACCCGCCCAGGCCCGCTCCACGAACCCCCATTCTCCTCCGCATTCCCCGCCACCACCACAAGCAGCATCACCAGAGAAAAGCAGTACTGGTGCGGACAATGGCGAAACACATGACTTCGACTTTGCCATGCTGCAGGCAGTGGTGGGGGAACTTCCAGAAGCCACAATGCACAAATTGAAGGACGTTAGTGGAGGAGATGTTCAACGAGGTAAGAGAGTCTTTGTGACCATAAACAGGACCATCTTTGAGTCTCTGACAATCGGACCAGCAATCAATCTCTATCTTGATGGCTCCTGGAGCGCCATCTCTGTTCAACCATCTGCGCCCATCTTCCAAGCCCGTCCACCGCCCGTACAGATGAAGCTGGCAAGCAATCTCAAGCGAACCGAATCCGATGTCTCCAATGCCTCCATGTCCGGCTCAGATACCCAAACCCCTACCATTCTACGGGAGATGCCCTCGAAGCGCTATGTTGGTTCCTTTGGTGTGGTTGGCTGGGCCACAAAGAGCGGATTGGGCCTGCTCAAGCACAACGAGACAATTGGCATCGAGCGAGTCAAGTCGCCACATATGGGCAAGAAGAGGGTCGTCAACCTGAAGAAGCAGGATCTACTAGTCAGATTCACAAATCAACGAGGCGAGGAAGTGGGTAGACTGGAGAATGATTCTGCGACATGGGTTTCGGCCTTGATCGACCAGAAAGTGTGCTCGTTCGATGGCACCGTCGTCTACACGCCAGACAGGATCCGGACAGGCGACACTATCTACCTACAACTCCGTGGGTACTTTTTACGGAGTGCATTCGACGCGCGCAAGTTTGCCAAGCCGGACAACAATAGGGAGGTATCCATTTTTGAAGAGAAGGAGACGTCAGATGAGCGAGACCTCCGTCTGCGACAAGTTGGCCTGGTCAAGTTCTTCGAGTCTATCAATCTTCAGCCAACCCGCCAGAACGAGACGACTGCAAAGCACAAGCGACAAGGGCTATTACAAGCGGTGGAAAGCGCAGAAAAAAAGGACGAGACAAACAAGGCCAAGACGGGCACGCCTACACAAACCTCCTCACCCCCTTCAGAGGAAGCAGAAGAAGGCGCTGAGCTAGAGCAAGATCAACTCGATTCGCTATACAAGAAGGCACAGTCCTTCGACTTTAATACGCCAACAATGGATCCGGCAGACACTTTCTGCCTGAATCTACGGAAATATCAAAAACAAGCACTACACTGGATGGTCGGGAAAGAAAAGGACGATTCGTTGTCTCATGCGGAGTCCTCGATGCATCCACTATGGGAGGAATACCAATGGCCAACGCAAGATGCGGACAATCAGCCACTACCAGCCATCGAGCATCAGACCATGTTTTACGTCAACCCATATTCTGGCGAACTCTCCCTCGAGTTCCCAGTCCAGGAGCAGAACTGCCTAGGTGGTCTGTTGGCTGACGAGATGGGTCTTGGGAAGACAATCGAGATGCTCAGTTTGATTCATACCCATAGAAATGAGGTCGTCAAAGATGAGTCCACTGCAAACAGGAAACTGCCACGCCTCCAGAAGACGAGTGCGGCCGTAGAGCCTGCTCCGTACACTACGCTTGTCGTGGCGCCAATGTCATTGCTTGCGCAGTGGCATGCTGAAGCCGAAAAGGCATCGAAGGAGGGCACCCTCAAGGCCATGGTCTACTATGGCTCCGAGAAGGCGGTCAACCTGCAAAAGCTATGCTGTGCGTCGAATGCAGCTAACGCGCCCAACGTTCTCATCACAAGTTATGGCACATTGTTGTCCGAATTCAACCAAGTGGCAGCACAAGACGGCAATCGCGGTTCGCACGGCGGCATCTTCTCACTAGACTACTTCCGCATCATCTTGGATGAGGCGCATTACATCAAGAACAGGTCGTCCAAGACGGCAAAGGCTTGCTATGAGCTCAGTGCGAAGCATCGATGGGTGCTTACGGGTACCCCCATTGTGAACCGATTAGAGGATCTGTTCAGTCTCGTCCGATTCTTGAAGGTCGAGCCCTGGAGTAATTTCTCCTTCTGGAAGACGTTCATTACTGTACCGTTCGAGTCTGGAGACTTCATCCGCGCTCTAGATGTTGTACAGACGGTGCTTGAGCCGCTCGTTCTTCGCCGGACAAAGGACATGAAAACGCCTGACGGCCAGGCTCTGGTGCCGTTGCCACCACGTACTATCGAGGTTGAAAAGATTGCCCTTTCGCAAGACGAGCAAGACGTCTACGACCACATTTTCTTGCGTGCAAAGAGCGTTTTTGCAGCAAATGCAGAGGCGGGTACATTGTTAAAGTCGTATACGACCATATTTGCCCAAATTCTACGCTTACGACAGTCGTGCTGTCATCCTACACTCACCCGCAAACCCCAGATCGTGGCAGACGAAGAGGATGCTGGACTAGCAGCAGATCTTGCAAACGGCCTCGCAGACGACATGGACCTATCAAGCCTGATTGAGCGCTTCACCGCCGAGGGCGATCAGGACATCAACAGATTCGGTGCGCACGTACTAAAACAGATTCAAGATGAAGCCGATGCGGAATGCCCCATTTGCTCCGAAGAGCCCATGATTGACCAAGCCGTGACTGGCTGCTGGCACTCGGCCTGCAAAGAATGTCTGCTAAACTACATTGCTCACCAACGCGACAAGAACCAGATCCCACGCTGCTTCAACTGCCGCGAACCCATCAACGCCCGCGACATCTTCGAAGTCGTCCGTCACGATCACATCCCCGACTCACCAAATCATGTCTTCAAAGTTGAAGACGCAGCACCGACTGGGACAACTCCCCGCATTAGCATCCGCCGCATTGGCCTCAGCGGCTCGGCGAAGATGCAAGCCCTGCTTGGTCACCTAAAGAAGACGCGGAAGGTGGAAAAAGATGCCAAAACAGTAGTCTTTTCCCAATTCACCTCCTTTCTCGACCTCATCGAGCCCGCGCTCGCACGCGACCACATCCCCTTTCTCCGCTTCGACGGCTCCATTTCGCAAAAACAGCGCGCCCACATTCTGACCGAATTCACCGCCTCGCCGAAGCCCTATGTCCTGCTGCTCAGTCTGCGCGCAGGCGGCGTCGGCCTGAACCTGACGTGCGCGAATAAAGTCTTCATGATGGATCCGTGGTGGAGTTTTGCCGTCGAGGCGCAGGCGATTGACCGCGTGCATCGGATGGGGCAGGAGAGGGAGGTCAAGGTGGTGCGTTTTGTGGTGCAAGGCAGTATCGAGGAGAAGATGTTGCGGATCCAGGAGCGAAAGAAGTTTATGTAAGTCGAGTTTGTTGTTTGGGTTTTTCAAGGGGTGCGACGGTTGCTAATGAGTGCATAGTGCGAGTTCTTTGGGCATGATGAGTGATGAGGAGAAGAGGGTACAGAGGATCGAGGATATCAAGGAGCTGTTGAGTTGAGCGCTTGTGGGTGATTTGGTTTGCTTGGGATTGTGCTGTGATTGGATTTACTGTGAAATGCTGAGGTACAGTTGGGCACTGGGGAATGACGGGAACCATGGTGTTGCCTATATCGGCGCACACTTGTATACCCGAAACGCATCTGCATGTTTTCCGACCTTGAAGACAGGGACAAAAAGTCCAGTCACGTGTTCTTACACAAAATATTCCTAAATCCAAACTTATACAGCAAAGCATGCATCACACAACCATTCCCACCGTCCCTGTTGTTACCCTCTAAGCCACCCTGTCCCCATCACACCTCAGCCGCAAGAAACCGCATCTCGGTGGCTTTCTCTCTGAACGAGGGCGCGCGGTGGGACGGTGGGAAGTTGTTAATGCGGTATATCTTCCATGCAGTGCATAAATTCCACGGATATATACATGCAATACGCGGTGGGAATTGGCGTGCGTAAGAAACGGGGATAGACGTGGGTGTCACGGAGGAGAATGCGGAGCGCGCCGTTACCGGTACCTTGGTGGATGTACATGTGGGCGTCGTATGTTTCCTGTATGCTTGTTACCGCGCTCTTATCGTCCGCGTGATTCGGATTCGCAAAAGTCGGTGAGTGCTTGGAGAAAGCGTCGTGCATCTGTCGATCAACATGCTGTTTGAAATTCATCCGTAGTTTGTTGTACACAAGTGCTGGTGTGGCTCTTGACGGCGTTACCTGTACACCAACCGTGCGCGAAGCCGCCGAAGTCCTCCCGGCCTAGCGTAACGCTAATGATGCTGAGTCATACCTCGCCGCGCTAGAGCCTCCACCCATGTATATAAACCCTGCCTCCCTCGTCCTCGTCTTCCTTTCCTCAGCTCCTCTTTGCCTTTTGGCTTAGATCAAGTGTAGTATCTGTTCTTTTCAGTTTAATCTCTGAAATTGGCCTACGGGCCTTTCTTGATTATTCTTATTTTTGGACCTAGGTTGCAGCTCACTGGGCTTGCTCAGCGCTGCGACCACAGTGCCCCAGCTATTGCACCATCTGCTGGTTAGGCGCAATTTGGTTTTTCATTGAGTTGTCTGGCTTTGCCGGTTGCTTGAGGAAGAAGAGTGTGGGTGGGTTATGCGAACCAAGGGCCGCAGGAATATAGTAATGCGATGATTGATTCTACATGTTTGATGCCTCTTTGAATAGCCATGAGGCTGTGACGGGCGCTGTCAACGACCATGTTTTGAGGGAGCCCGATCGCCCAAGGTGCACATACGTATGCGAAGGTAGGTCAAGGTAAGAGAGCACATCACGAACAGCGACAAATGATAGCACTGAAATATCCGCCGAATCGCTAGTGGTGATTGTATTGGTCCACTGCACTCGAATCTTTCTTACCTAGGCCAGGTACCGACCATCTCGTACCACCACGCACGCATTGGGTCCAAGCAAACTCACTCACTAGCCCAACACTCGCCTCAAGGCCACTCACTTCACATGGCGCTATAGCCTCGCCTTCACTCAGCCAGGTGCATGAGCTCTCCAACAAGTGCTATTAAGCTTCCCCTCCCATCCTCAATTTCTCTTCCCTTACTAATAGGGAGATATTGTATTGTTCAGAGCACTATATTCTAGTATAAAACGCTCATCCTCTTTCACAACTATGTAAGACAATGCTATTAGCATATCTAATAACTACAAACGACCTGCTTGGTGACATGTCTTGCCGAAGCTTTCCAGCCCTTGAGGGTCGCCATGCAGCCGTCACGAAAGTCAAAAAGAATCCTTTAAGTGTGGCGTACAGCTCGCCTCGTGGAGTACAAGGTCCGCATATATGCTAGTAGTGTAGGTGCAGTTGTGTGCGTCACTAAACATACAATGGAATTCCATTGGCGTGGCAGCGTCTTTGGTGTTACCATTCAAGTATGCTAAATCCTTCAGGTCGCCCTATGTTGTTGCTTGACGATGAGAAGTGAAGTTGATGGTAGAGAACAATTGCATAAACTCCAGGACTGAGAGGTCTCGGCCATCGACGGATATCCGCATTTCAGTTTTCAAGCCCGCTCTGTGCGTGTGCCCAGTGAAGTACGCTCATGTACACCCTGGATGGGGGTGTTGACCATGTCCTGAGCCGTCCCTCTGCACAAGTCATGTGGCGTGGTGTGGACAGTGATGCCAGCCTGATTGGCGGCCTCGTTTGGAATTGTTCCAAGCTGGCGAGAGTTTGCAGCTGTGTCTAACAGTAGCCTACCGCCATTACCAGAGAATGCACATAAGGCGTGCCTTGTGGGGGCGGCCCATTGAACGGTCTTGTCTTGACGCGATGCAGTCTGTTGCAAAAGGTCGTCTACCGACGTCGCTTGGACCATGCCAGTGTGTAGCGCCATGACGAGTACAACCTTGATCGGACACATCAGTAGAAGCCCCTTCTTGTCGACACTCCCGAATCGTTTCGTTGGTCCGTCAAAGGCCTGGTTCCTGTGTAGGTTTAGTAGTTGCAACAATGGATAGAATCGCCAGTGGCGATAATGCTAGTAAACATACTTTGCTCTTTTCTCATTCCGCATCCTGAGAGACATAACCAAATGTTCAAGCCTGTGACCTCCAACTAGGCGAGTTTTCAGGTCACTGTACATTAGGTACGGATTTTCGTGTCGGTCTCGTTGGGCCTTAGTGATGTCGCCGGCGCGACATGCCAGAGCAGTTACCAAGATTATATGCTGAAACTTACCAAGCATGACATCCCAGTCACGTACACCCTCGCGCAGTCCGCTGTCGTACATAGATTCAACCAGCTGCTGAACAATAGCCGAGCCTACCCACTGTTTCTCGGTTTTTGCTTCAGTGGTCAAAACCCCATCTCGGATAAGGGCGTGCATAGTTGACTGGATCCGGGCCCGCTCATGTTCAGTGAGTCCAAAACCTGGAAAGTAGAAAATAGAGGCTCTGATAATGCACTCGGGACTTGTGTGATGCTGGAAGCTGAAATGACACCAGTGCGGCTGCGTGGTATCATTCTTTTGGCGATGGTTGATATAAATTGCTCAATATCAGCCCCACTAGGAGCCCTTGCTTGAAGGACTGTGATCGTCAACTCTGTGCCCCGGTAATCATCTCCAGCACTTACTCTGTATAACCAAGGCTGTCTTTTTGGAAGGCCGTGAGGCGGGCGTGCCAGAGCTCACATTGGTACTCCACATTTGGGCTCTTACAGGTCAGGACGAGGGTCTTGGCCATCTTCTTGGACGTGAGCCTGTCTTCAAAGGCGTGTTCGATTATTTGATCGATGCTTCGCTTTCCCATCCCAGCGTGTCTGGGAGCTGGGGCGTCGCCAAAGTCGTCATCGCTCGAGTCCCCATGTCGTCTGATATGGATAAATGGAGACGGGGCACGGGGCACGTGTGGATGGTAGTGCATCATTCAATGTAAGTCTACCCTCTCTATCTATCCTTTACGGTGGATATATATAGGGGGAGGCTGCGCCAACCCTCCGCCAGGCTGGCGCGGTTCGCCAAAGTGCAACCGCATCATCGTCCATGATGTGTCTCTAAGCTGCCAAAACTGCACTACAGTACAAAACCGGTTTACAGTAGCCATATTTATCTAAAGTAGACCAAGAAGTGGTTTAGGTAGAAGAAGTAAACCTAAATAGGGTTTATTATACCATGTATTCCACAAAAGTAAACTACTTTTATTTCTACTTCTATTAATCTACTAGTATTAGTAATAACTAGTTTCCTACTAACTATTTAAGTATTTTACCCCTCCTTTCTTTAATCTTCTTTACCACCTCTATCACCACCTCTACCACCTCCACCACCTCCACTACCTCCACTACCTCCACCACCTCTATCACCACCTCTACCACCTCCACCACCTCCACTACCTCCACTACCTCCACCACCTCTATCACCACCTCTACCACCTCCACCACCTCCACTACCTCCACTACCTCCACCACCTCTATCACCACCTCTACCACCACCTCTACCACCACCTCTACCACTACCTCTACCACCACCTCTACCACCACCTCTATCACCACCTCTATTATCACCACCTCCTATTAGTAAAAATATCATGACTTATTATTATGTCATATGTGCGTATAGCGTGAAGCAAATCTTTTCTACCCCTTTTAGTCTTAGTTAGGTATTATAGCGTATAATAGATATAAAACTACTTTTTATACTTAATTTAAACCACCTATAATAAAGTAAACTACCACTTTAAACCTATTTACAGGTATATATAAGGTTAGTTTACACCTATATAGTAAACCCCTAGCGTACCATTCTACAGTAAACAATTTTTTACCGTAGTGCATGTCAAGTCGAAAAAAAAAAGCGACTGGCTATAGTATCTTGCAATACTCACATGGCTTGCCCGTCCGAAACAAAAACTGCTCCGTCGTCCAACCACTATACCTACAAAGCTCGTCAACCACGTGAGTTTGCAAGGCATGTCACTTTATGGGATTGCCTGACTTGGTTCTCATGCGCCGTCGAGCCTATCAAACACCTCGCTAGCTTTACCGTATCAGTTATAACACCTTTTCACTACCCAAAAATAGTCAGTAGGTATATAACAGTCAAATGCGTCGACTTCGTGCATGACACGAACCTGCACGGTACCTACACAACGCTGCTTCGCTTCGCACTGTCGGCGCTCCCATGAAAACGCCATGCCATGGGCGATTGCTTGCTTGTTTGCTTGCAGCCAGCCACACATCTGCCCACGCAGTCCGTATTGACCTCTATCATCTTCTTGTGCCACGTAGCCCGCCATGGTTCAAACAGGAGCATGCCATGCATGGGCAACGAACGGGGGTGTATTATGGCAGCATGGCCACTTCCCCGCAATCACAATGGCCCGCACAGGTTGCGGCTACCACCTCTCCAGGAACCCCTCGCTGCGCCTTCCGCATGATGAAGGAATGCTAGTGTGTTGCCGAAGGGAATATTAGGTACCTCGTGCGCCTGGGTAGTTCAAGAGTCACGGACCACTGCCAGCTATGTAGATCCAGGCTATATCAATGGCACAAGGCATGTGTTCGCAATATCAATATCCCACCATCAACATCCCACCATACTTGTATACCCCGCAAAGCAGCGGGCTAGAAGTGTCTTCACTTTTGCCCCCTCAGCTATTTCCTGCGTGCGACAGCATGTAACGTGGCTCTCACACCACCCGCCATCATCAGTATACATTTAAGCTGTTTCTTGCTAGTTACAATGTGATATTTTCTATTCTCCCAATTCACTCCTAAGCTCGTGTCCCACAATCAACAACATTGCTTGCCAAGTTGATATTGAATAGAAATGGGGGGCCAATTCGGTCGTCCAAACAATACATGTCGTGTACGTTTTCAAGTAAACGATCATGGACGAAAAGAGTAATGCATTAATTATTACTACAACCCACGGGCACCTACTTGTTCCGACGACCCAACTTTTCACCACCTGCTCTGCAATCCTATTCCATTCTCCACATTACAAGTTCCAACAATTACCTAAATTCAAATTAAACTGTCGACTCATGTGCTGTACGCCGTGGCGCAATCGTGGTATCATCCATGATCAAAACGTAAACAGGCCGTAATCATGACTTGCCCAACCCAAAACATCGACTCCCCATCATCCGAAACCGGGTATCACACTGACAAGCTTAAACGCGGCCCTGAAAGACGGGGTTCTGGTCACCAAAGGTCGTGTTGTAACCCTCAGTTCCTGGCGCGGCACCAGTAGCGGAGGTGCCAGTAGTGTTACCCAGTCCACTCGACGTACCAGTGGCGCCAGTAAGACCTTGTCCACTGGTCAACCCTGATGAGCCGCCGGTAACACCTTGGCTGCCGGTCAGTCCTGATGAACCACCAGTAAGACCTTGTCCGCTGGTGAGGCCTGAGCCAGTGGTGTTGTTGAAGGCATTGTCGACCTGGGTACCGAAACCCTGACCCGTCTGACCGAGAGAGCCAGCAAGTGCGCTACCAGTGGCACCATCGTACTGATTGGCAGACGAGTTCAGACCCTGAGAGGCACCAAGACCTTGTTGACCACCAACAGCACCCGTGGGACCACCATATCCACCCTGGCGACCGTGAGGCTTGCGGGTAACCTTGCCAACCGGGGGGAGGCTGGACGTCTCCTTGGCCGAGCCAATGGAGAAGATTGGGCTCTCCCACTTGTCGCCCTTGGCAGCAAGCTCCTTGTACTCGGTGGCCTTGGTTGAGATGCCGCCGGGCAGAGAAATGTTCTTGAAGATGGAGTCGTGCTGCGTAACAGCGACGTTGACCTTGGTTTCGTCAACCTTCGCCTTGGCCTTCTCCGCCTTCTGCTTGCCCTGCAGGACACGGCTCTTGACAGCAGCAGCGTAGCGCTGGTACATGTTCTGTAGGTGCTCAGGGTCGGGGTTGCGCTTGGCCTCGGCCTCAGCACGGTCAGCCTCAACTTTGATGTCGTAGAGAATACCGTCGAGCTGGTTGGCAGAGTCTTTGATTTGCTTCTCGAGAACCTTTTGAATGACGGGACGCATGACCTTGAGGAGAAGAGGCTTGAACATGTTGAAGAGGAGCTTGTGGTTGCTCTTCTTCATCTTGATCTGCAAGTTCTTGATGTCGGACTCGACCTTGGTAACCTTGAAGAAGTGGGTTTGAGCGTGATTCTCCCGAGCCTTGTCAGCAGTCTCCATCTCGACCTTGAAGCTGAAGCCAGATCCACCCATGAAGACATCCATGACGCCCTTATCAGTAATGGATGGGAAGCCTTGCTTGCGCTTGATATAGTATGAGACGTCCCTTAGATCCATCTGCACACCCGAGACCGAGAGCATGACCTTGTTCTTGTTCTTGCTCGTAATGGACTTGCGTCCCCAGCGCCAGTAGTTGTCCGAACCGAACTCGAGGGAGTTGGGGGCGAGGTTATCACCCTCAATAACGAGGTTCTCGACGACAGCATCAATCATGGGATCGCTGTACTCGATACGCGGAATAGGAACGTAGCGGACATTCTCAAAGAAGCCGGGAATGATGACATCAGTCAAATCCTTGACAAGGTGGGGCTTGAACACCGTCTTGCCATTCTCGTCCTGACCGAGGTCAAGGAAGAGCTTGTTGACAGACTCGGCAAACTGCTTGTTCTGTGGGTCAGCATCAAATTGCTCGCCCAAGTACTTGAACTCGTCAGCGATACGGTCGGTGTGACCGCGGTAACGGCCACGGAGGAGGTTGTGTCCTTGGTCATAGATCTGGTTCCATTCCTCGTTGCTACTGTCTTCGAGGATGTAGCCCTGCTGTTGAAGAACCTTGTGGACAAATGCGTTGATACGCTTGAACCAGTTCTTCAGCTCGGGGTCTTGATCAGCATCCTTGTAGATTTGGTTGATAGACTCGATGAGGTCGTCGGACGAAGTGTTGTTGGCAAAGCGTTCGAGGAGAGTCTTGATATTGGTTAGCCAATGTTGATTCTCAGAAGTGAAACCTGTGATACGCACCTTGAGGTCAGCTTCAGCAGTTTGAAGGGCGTCGTCCTGGTGCGCACCTTGCACTGTTCCGGTGGCCTGTTTTCCCAGGTTCTTGCCGTGCCCAGCATACTGTTCCGCGAGGCGGAGGAGCGTCTCGATGGCACGCTGGTAATCCTGGTGGCCTTGGATTTCGACGACCATCTTCTTCAGACGCCAAATGGTTTGTTCACGGCGCTCTTCAGGCATCTTGCCCTTGATATAGTTGTTCAACTGGTCGCGGCGGGCACGAGCCTTGTCCTTGTCCTCCTCGGAGACATTTTGATCAACCTTTTGTTTTGCCGTCTCAACAGCAGCGCGGGCATCGAGACCGGTAGATTGGCCAGTCTGTCCCTCTTGAGTACCACGTTGGGCGGTGTCACGTGGGTCACGCGAGCCATCGGGATTAGCAGCCTGGTTGACGTCGCCGGCCATGTTCTTGGCCTCTTGGGGGGGGGGGGGAGGGGAGCGTTGGGAGGTGGTTGCCGTGACACGAATCTGGGCTGCAAGCGGGCGGTGGTTGCACGAAATGACATCATATGCGCGTAACCTCCACGACCCTCCAGCCCTTTTTTAACACCAACGTGAAGGGGATTTAAAAGGCCGCCGCCAAGTTACGTGGACTCCTGTTCTTGAGTGCAAGCCAGTGGTCCCCGCGCTTTGCTTGGGCAAGTATTGGATGTGCAGACTGGAGGCAAGATCAGCAAGCCGCGGGCGACTGTCCAGTTTCATTTCGATCTGATGATTACACGCGTGGAAATTCACAAATTACACTCGTACGCTCTTCTGTCTCGATAGGAGGAAGCACAAGGCAAGAAGTCCAGGCTCGAAAGAAGCGTGCACCCCTGGTCTAGATGACGGAGCTGGGGACATGAAAAGCGTGGACGAGATGTCCAGTGATCGGCAGCTAGGGTTCCTCATGGCTTGGTTACGTCATGCCGTCAGCCACACCTATCTCAATGATGCGTTACCCAGTTGCAAGTTACTGGAATTTGCTAACAATAGGTATCTAGCCAGCTCAACACCATATGCGAAAAGAGAACCCACCCACTCACCAAACCCACCAAAGTCACAATCACAATCCCCCTCCTTAACTTCACCATACAAAAGACAAATCAAACGCATCACCCACAAACCTATCCCATTTCATCCCGTCCCATCCTATCCCATCCCATATCCTCCAACACTAAGCTTTCCCAGCCTGCAGCTAACCCCTAGCCCACCCACCATCCACCCACCATCCCCACTCCACCTCCAACCCTACAATCAACATGACGACACACATACACACCCTCGCCCAGACAACTTTCCTCCGCCATTGCGCACTATACCATACTCTAGTTCTAGCATAGAGTACCCTTAACCTAGGTTGCATGGCTCGTCAGTGGTGCAAAAGCCGCACACGCCATGCTATGCTACGCTACGCTACGCCATGCATGGATGCTATGCTATGTACACATTGGGCCTGGCGCTGGGGAGACAATATATCTGCGTTCTGGGTTGGAATAGCCACGTGCGTGTACGGGAGAATTGATGGTAGCTAGAGTTAGGCTGTCATACACCCCTTTCCCTTTCCCGCGCAAGATTTTCTTCCATGATGAAGACGAGCACGAGCACGAGGGGCTCTACCCTAGCAAGCAAACTTCCCCCCCCCCCCCAAAAAAAAGGGTAGTCATGACTACTCAAGTACAATATCAAGTCAAGCTGGGACAGCATGGGGGAATATACACTACACGATACTATAGTAAACATGTATATAGCCTATACCCACATTTACATTTTCCCTTTATCTCTACAAAACGAGAATAATTATATTATTATAACAAACGGGAATACAATGGACCCCGCACATCAAACAAACCCCCCCCCCCCCCACACCGGGACCAGAAACTACAACAACCCCACCCCTTCCTCGAAACTAAAATCATCTTCCTACCCCCAAAAAGCCGCACCCCGCCGCTCGACAGAATCTTAATTTCCCAGATTTTACCCTACGTATCCCCCCCACCAAGCCCGGATCAACAACACTCCTCAAAGCCCATCAAGTCTGGCAACCATGGGGACTCGACACCCGCCAATATAGGGGCATCGGGAGAAGGGAACTGGGGGTTGATAATGGGAAATTCCCTCCTTCACACCCATAACCCATACTCCAGAGACAGTGCGGCGAAAGAGGTCGGACCTGGACAGTATCTCGAAGAAACACAGGCCAAGAAGCGCACAAAGGTAGCGTATGGTGAACGAGATGCGCTTGATATGCTGATCTGGTTCCCCAGCCGTGATTATACGTGGCTCCCGAGACGTCCAAGCACAGATCGTGCGTGTTGTGGAAGACAGGATTGTGCGGGTGCCCGGCGAAGAGAATACCGTGGAGTTTATGGAAGATGCGATATGGTATTTCACAGAGCAAACCGGCACTCTCAAGGTCCGCCGCACGTGTTCGTATCGATCGAAAGGCATCTGCAGCGTCTGGAGCTGTGGGATGATTGACGACAAATGCTACTGCCCAATCCATGCTCCATCCGAGGTTTCTACTACACTTGAGGTTTGGATCTTGGAGCTTGAGGATGGCGGCGGAAGGGTGACGTAGTATTTCCAGATCATCATGGGTCAAGTACAGATCGAGATCATGATCGGAAGGGTAAGTTCGTGTTCGAGCTCGAGTAGGAGTTCCAAATGTGCCTTCACTATAGCTTGCCAGGTCCTCGTTGGAATCGAACATGACATAAGGTTGTAGGAGCTTCACCCCAGTGTCGATATCGAGGGGGCACTACAGCTTCACGTATGCCATCACGTTATATAACAATGACATGGGAGGCACAAGCCACTTGGTCGACGATGACATGCGTACTACTGTGGACTGTGCATTATCAATCTAATAGGATTGCAAGTGTTGTCATATGCCTGGTGTCACTGTTGCTTTCGTTGGCTGTGTTGTACCGTGCTACATTGTCCATGCCAGCATATTAGCGAACAGAATGGGTCGGTACGTCAATGGGTCGGTACGTCAATCGGCCTAGGTCTTGAGAAGAGCCAAGACATGTGAGCGACCATGAGCTTGCCAACCTGTGACATACAGACCGTGTTCGTTCCAGCCTTAAGAGTAGTCCGTTGTGTCAAAGCAGTTGGCCTAGGGCCAGAAGCAAACATCACGAGCGCGGTGGCGAAGATCAGCCGAGCCCTACCATGAGATGTTAATAGGTCCGAATGCAGGGCGCAATGTGGGGAGAGTCTGACAGCCGTTAGCCTGCATGCATCGTACTCTACCAAGCCTTCGCCGACTGATCCTCACGAATCGAGCAGTTGTGATGATGGTGGTAGGTGAGTTATGGTATATATTTGGCCGAGTCAATAGGGACTCGAGCAAGCGGGTTTACATCATAGAACAAGGAACACATGGGATATACAAAACGGCGCAAAGAGTGCCAAAAATGAGGTACTCGAAGACCAAGGCAGCGCCACGAATGCTGAGAGCGCTTCCAACATAACCGCCATCGGCTTCCCGAGTTTTTTTCGTTAACTCATGAGCAAGGACGGAAGCGCCTCACTCTTAGCAGCAAACCGCTTTCCAGCTGGTTGGTAGGTGATGCGAATGAAACATCGCTCTCGTCGTACTGCCATGGCTGCTCTCGCCGGCTAGTAACGTGGGCGATCGTCTGGGCGAATGTCAGAACGCATGTCGGGACGCATGTCGGGACGGCCGTAGTCATCGCCAGGCCTTCCGCCGACTTGGCTCCTTCCGCTGCTGCCGCCGTCTCCGTAGTGCTTTCGCCTGAGGGCAGCGAGCCTCTTCTTCTTGGTGTGCGCGTTGATGTAGGTGCCGATGATGAAGCCGACGATGTTGAAGAAGGGCACCCAAGTAGCCTCGGGCAGGAACTGCTGGGCAAACGCCAGGGAGATGGGCGAGACGATCCAGCTGACCTTCATGACGGGCCAGAAGCCGGCCTTGACCGTGGCCTTCACCTGGTGGAATGTGCGAGCGCCTGCAATGAGGGCCATGGAGGTCAGGTAGACGCTGTTCTGGATGGGCGAAATCTTGACGTTGTTAGCGATGGGCCATGCAGTTGGACAGCCTGGCCATGGGACTCACAATCAAGTTGCTGAACAGAATCTGCAAGACCTTGGCCTTGAGGCTCTTGCGGCCCTGGAAGACTTTTTGCAGGAGGCTGATGAGGACGTGGCCGAGCGGGGCGCTGATGAATGCGCCATAGACGGCCATTTTGGGCACTCGCGAGGTGAAGTAGTGGCCCGACTTGCTTCTGTCGTGGGCAATCCACGAGGCCAGGAACTCTTGCAGGCCCGAGAGGGTGCCCGAGGTGAGCATCTTGGTGCGCAGCGGGTTGCTCTGCAGCTGCCTGAGGTAGGCCTGGGTGCGAGGACGCGTTAGTTTTTTTTGGGGGGGGGGGAGAGAAAGGCATGGGGCGCATGAGCGCAGGCATCGCGCGCAAGACTTACAGCGAGATAGCCATTGGGGCCTGAGCCTTTGGTGAGCGCCTGGCCGACTTCGTGCATGAGGCCTTCCTTTCCCTTGGAGGCAGCCTCGCCGACGGCAGCCGTGGTCGACCTGAGCGTGTCCTTCTCAAACTTGACCGACATGGCGCCTGCAGTGCGAGAGGGCGACTGTGGTGTTGTCGGTGAGGGAGAGGGTGGGTAGAGGGGCGGGTGGATGGTGGTGGGTTAGTTGGAGGAGGGATGGCAGCAGACAGACAGACAGACAGACAGGTCGCGGACGGGCGTGTGTTGGGCGGATGGATGTGGAGCCTTTGGGTTGACGATGGCTGGGGAAAGAAGGACTGGGGGAGAATGGGTGGGACCAGAGCCAGACCTCACTGGGACACTTGGGACGGGACAGGACAGGACAGGACAGGAACAACAACAGGAAGCACAGGAAGCAACAGGAACAGTAAACAGCGGCTTGCGGCACCTTGGCCTGGCTGGCTAAGCTTGCTTTCCTCGGCTGCTCTAGCGGTTAGCGCTTCATTGGCCAGCGATGGATGTGCCTAGAGTAGAGTAGCCAGCAGCAGTCTTGAGTTACCGGTAGAGTACTTACTCTATGTACCGGTATCAGCAGAGAAAAGTAGCGTGAGTCCGTGACCTGGAACCAACGACGACCTCGGCCCATGGGCTCTATTGCCGATGCGATGGATGTAGGTGGACATGGCTGCTTTCTTCTACCCCTGTGTACCGACTTTTGCTGTACAGTACCGGTACAGCGAGTGTACACTACTCCTACCCGCTCGCTGTTTTGTCTGTTGTCGAATCCACGGTCTGCAGAGAACAGGGGGTTCCCCTACCGGTACGGCCTCCATTATCCATGTAACAAACAATACGCGCTGGGATTTACCATGTTTATCGTGCATCATCTATCGCCAAATCGCGTCCACAACATCAACCCAGAGCCCGTCTTCTATCTTTCCATCTAAATGCCCCTCCAAAAAAAAATTCAAGAAAGAAAGAAGAGTCCTAACCTGTTTAGTTATTTTCGCAGTACTAGTGAACATGGCGAGCTCGGCTAGCACAGTGAATATCGAATGCTTCCTTTCGTATCAACCTCAACGCCATCCTGGCTTGCACGTCTCACAAGGCAAGCTACGACCAGGGAACAACGTCTGTATTCTTCATCCTGTAATCATCGTCAAGCTTGCCCAGATTCAACATCAAGGAGACTGACTAGATGCTTGCAGAGCATGTCATGCCATTTGGGATCACCAAGACGTAAAACTCGACCCTCTGTACTACATCAGCTTCCTCATAGCTTCTGAGCCCCCCCATCATCGATATACCATAATGATGTCTACAACTCTTTCCATTTCCTTGTCCACAATCATTCCTCTCCTCAACCTACCTTTCTCGTCTTCTTCTCCTACCCCTGCTTGTGATTTCCTGCCTCTTACCGTATCTCACTCGTTTACGACTGTTTGTCCACGCCCGTTTGCATGTCTTCGGTGCCGCCCAACATTGCGCTTTCCAGACCCAGTTGTTGCAAGCCTCACATCAAAACATCCAAATTAAGGGGCTCAAACAAGCCTTGCAACTCATCAGTCATCGTCGTCCTCCTTTGCCGTCTCACCCAAGCCAGAAAACTGCGGCTGCAAAAGAGTCAGGTACGCAGCATCCACCCTCCACCCTGCCCACTTCACCTGCGGTTGTTGTCTTACTTGCCCTTACAAGGCCACCACTTCGCTGCTGTTGTTGTACTTTCCCTCACAACGGCACCCGCTGCTGTTGTTGTACTTTCCCTCACAACGGCACCCACTGCTGTTGTTGTACTTTCCCTCACAACGGCACCCACTGCTATTGTTGTACATTCCCTCACAATGGCACCCAATGCCACCTCGTCTCATATCTCGTCACTTGGTTCCATCCAAGCTTTGGCCTGCAGAGTCTACAGTCATGCTCTGCATCAATGCTCCACCGCCCTCCTGAGTCACTCTTTCCTCAACTCCAGCACCCGAGCTAACAGCCACCAAAGGCAGCTGCCACACGACAAATCTGGCAATCCTGCTATCCTATCCACCCTCCCTCCGCATTCGATCCCTCACCTCCGCCTGGAGTTCCACGCCGTGCGCGTGCGTTGCAGCTAACATCCACATCCACATCACCAGTTTCATCCACTTGAGAATCAGCTCCCCCACCATTATGCCTAGACGCGCTCGCGTGCCTGACTGCACTCATCGAGTCTTGGATCGTGTCTATGAACAAGACCAGACTTGCTTCGTCTGCGGTCGCCCGCCGGCCTTGGCCTTTCTGTACCAGTGCACCCAAGATTGTGACCCAGAAACTTTACACGACTGCCTCTTGCGCGCAGACCCTGACCCTATCGAACCAGCAAAGTCCAATGTACGACTACGACTGGAGCAGGTCGAAATGAGCGAAAGTGTCATTCTGGCGGCCGAGGGCGGTCACTACACCACTACTCACCTGGACAAGCTCATCAATCTCAAGCAAGAGCTGCAACAAACCATCTCGGATAAGATCCAACGCGGACAGTGCAACGACGCCGGGTCCAAGTTGACTAGCATAGCGGAGTCCTTTACGAGCAAGTTTCCCCCAAACCACGATGGGGCGTACAATAGTACACCGGCCAAGAATGCAGTAAGTGCTTTTCACCTTGTCGGGTCCCTTGTCAAAGACTGATACTAACGACCACCCAGCTCCCCCAGAGGTGCTTCTTCCGCGCATGTCACGCCTGCCGACCATACTATCGCGAACGAGTCTTTATTTCCTTCGAGGCCGTTCTCGCCGGCGACTTTGCACCCATGACCCGGGCCAGCATTGACCGCCTTCCCACGAAACCTGCAAACATCATGCGAACTATCGGCACCACCGTTCCCTCGTTCCCCTCCCTCATGACCCTCGGCACTGTTCCCTCTACCGTGCCCACCTCGTCCTCCTTCCCCTACTCCACAGAAGCGCCAACCAGCACATCCTGCAGCTCCAGCGAAATGACCTTTCAAACCACTCAATCAGACGTCGACGAAATTCACGCCCAGCGCCACCCTCGTCGCCGCTTCTACTCGATGGGAAGACGAACGTCAGGCGACATAGCCCGGGATCTATCGCGCCTCCCCTCCTTCTTCTCCCCCGAGGCCCTCAAAACAGCCGTCCAAAGCATCTTCCGCCCCGGCCGAGACTCCAGCTCATCCGGCTCAAACGTCACCCTCCCCCTCCCCCGCACCGGCACAGCCCGCGATCTCGACGGCCCCCCAGCCGTAGTCGACTTCGACATTGGTGCCCTTCGCCGCGTCCGCAGACAAAAGGAACGCAACCAAATCAAAAACGGAACCTACCTCGGCGGCTTCGAAGTCGTCGACGACGACCATTCAGACGCTCACTCACATGTCCTGGCCTTGCGTGCCGCCTCTCACGACGACACCTCGGATGACTACTCCGTCTACTCGTTTGCAGACGAGGGCAGCGAGGTCGAGGTCGAGGGCGGCGTGGCGCTCAGGGAGGAGGCGGTCGAAATGCATACCCCCGATCTGCACGCTGTTGATCTGCATCGAGGGGAAGGGGGACGCGTGTTTTGCGTTGGCGAGGCGGAAGAAGAGGTTGGTGATGTTGGTTTGCAGGGTATTATTGCCCATGAGATGTGATGGGTGTTGTACTCTAGAATTCAGTGAGGGGGTGGAGGGGAGGCGAGGAGGGAGTACAGGCGTGGAGGATAGTCATGGCGCTGATGGAAGGGGAGAAATTCCATACCCCTGGGGCGCAGACGAAGCAAAGAAAAGCAAAACACATGTCCGCAGACCCCCTTGGTGAAGATGAAGTATACCCTTTGTAATACGTCACCAAGAAGAGAAGAACCTGCAAACTCTGAAGATGGCTTTTGTCTGCCGTGGCCTGTTTGTTTTTGATGGATGTGTTGTGGTATAGATAGTATGGTGCGGTATGGTATACCATGACCTACCAAACTCTACTACAATCAAACATGACATGGCACAGCATGACACAGTACATCCCAATACACTTGATATATATTCAAAAACACAACAACGGCAATACACAATATGCAGGACCCCCCCGCCATGCCTTCTCCAGCGCAAATCGAAATCCAATTCCAAGCCGCCCAATCTAACCTTTCCTCTACCCCATCCACCCCACCCCACCTTCCCAACGCAATATCCCCCCACAATACAAAACCGCGCAGAAAACTATAAAAAAAAAGTCCAAAGACGCAGCTGGACAAAGCAATACTCTTTTCCAAAAGCGCCTACTACAGAAGACAAGACAACAGAATCTCCCCCGCTTGTGCGCGCGTGTGTGTGTGAAAAGAGAACTACGAGGTTGAGCAGCGAGGGGTCAAGGGCCGTAGACTAGTTTGAAGGGAGAAGGGGGAAAAAAAGGAAAGAAAAGAAGAGAGAGAATTCCAAAATCAAGCCGCAAAACCACCAATAAGGGGGCTTTTTTTAAAAAAAAAAAGAAAGAAAGAAAGAGAAAAAGAGAGGCTAGAGTACGACTGAAACAATCGTGACGTCGTGAGTCGAGGAGCCCTGGGTGGGGTGGGGTGCACGAGGGTGTGAGGGAAGGAGAATTTGGATGCCAGGTGGGCTGTGATGATGTTGATATTGATGCTGGTGCTGGTAATGATGTTGATTTAGTGTTGATGCAGATGCTAACGCTCATGTTGCTGATGCTTGGATACGCGGATGCGAGTGTAAGTGTGATATGTACGAGTGAGATAGATGCAAGAGCGCAATGCACAAATCGACGAAGTGTACATCACCTCATACTGAGAGCCTGAGGTTGAAGTTGAAGCTGTGGCTGAAGTTGAGAGTGCGGTGGAGACGCCGAATTCGACGTAACAGCCGCGGCACCCAGGTTTTGCGCCGCCGACGACGCTGTTACACCAGAGGGACCAGAGACGACGCGTTTCTGCTCGCCGTCGCGCTTCTTGGCCAACAGGCTCTTGAACGCGCCCAGACAGCGGGCGAGGGAATTCTCGTCCGGGGCGCAGAGTTTAAAGTTCTTGTCCTCGGATATGACTTGCATGCAGTACTGTTTGCTCTTCGAGACCGGGTCAATGTCCACGGCGTCGATGATGCTGGCAAAGGGGATGATGACGTTTGCCGAGTACTCTTGCTCGTTCTTGTAAAACGCGAGGCATTTGGGGCGAAGGACGAGCCAGACTTTTTTCCACTGCCGGACGCCGCCTTTGGATTTGAGCACGTAGAGCCAGCCGTTGTAGACTACACGTTCTTCATCCGGTGTGGAGCCAATGTTGCTCTGCTGGCTGACGTTGCGCTTTTGCTTGATTTCCTTCTTGGGCAGCGAGCTGGCGGAGGCTTGGAAGCCAGTGTCGGAGAAGTCAAAGTCGGACATGGATGCACGTTCGTTGCCCGAGTAGTTGAGGACTTGCGATGGGCGACGGGCACCGTACGCAGTATCTGGGGCTTTGGCACTCGGCGGTATTGGCGCTGGTCCTGCGGCTGCTGGGTCTGCCTCTGACGAGCTCGAACCGACTTCTCTCTTGGAGTTGGCCTGGCCTAGACTCCCAAAAGGCTTGCTCGTGGCTGGGCTCAAGGGCATAAAGTCCTCCACTTCGTCTTCGTCCATGCGCGCCTCAGCCCGTATCAGGTCGACCCATTCCTGCGCTTCTTTGTCGGTGGCGGCACACAGGTGGTAGTTGCGGGCGGGCGAGAAGATGCCAAAGACGTGGTCCATTTTCTTCTTCGAGTCTCGTTGGCGTGCGACGGCGGTGATTTCGGACAGGTTGATCTGGTGGCGCAGCTTCGTCTCGTCCTTGTCCTTGTAAATGGAGAGGCAGTTGGGGCGCAGGACGACGTAGATGGGCCTCCATGACTGCGAGCATTAGTACATGTCCTGCACTGTGTGGTAGCGTTTACCGACTCTTGTCTTGCGTGTGCGTTTCTGTACCGTGCCAGCCTTGATGATGCGATCAAACTCGAAGCAGCCGTTTTGATTGACAGGCGACATGACGCCCACTGTAGCTACCGACGTCTTTGCATGGTCGAACCGCGGCGGTGCAGGCGCATCCAACCTCATGGCAGGCGAGGTAATGGGTATTGGATTCGAGGGTGCGCCGCCTGCGAGTGTGGCTGCCATGGTGGCGGAGAGGGAGTTCACATGCACAGAGCGAGTGGAGGTTGCAGGGTTCAAGCGTCAATGTCGAGCGTCGTGTGTCGTATGTCGTGTGTCGTGGTGTGTCATGTGTCGCGTGTGTGTGTCTGTCTGGTCTCGGGGCCACACTGCAGCAGAAGAGAGTGCAGATGTGGTCTGGGGACGAAGAAGGTGAATGTTGGCGATATGATGCACTGGCAGGGCGTGTATATGCGACGTGGACGAAAGCGGTAGATGAGCGACAGGGGAATGCATCCAGTGCGAGGATCGAGCGCGCACCCTCAGGGCTCAAGCCAACGTAGAGGGGGAAGGGCAGATGCGGCGCCGATTATGTACATACATATAGGTGCATGTTACTGTATGTGGTGTGAGAGACAGTGGTAGGGGCGACCAGTGAGCACGGAGAGGGAGTTGGGTGGAGCGCTTAGCCTTGACGAGTTGATTAACGTTTATGGATGATGGCCTGGTCCTGGGTCGCCGGCATCGAGAAAGAGTGCGGCCGAGTGGTAAGGGGCGCGGAGAGTCGCCGGTGGTTCTTTTCTGTGAAGCCTTGGGGCCGGCATAGAGTAGTGTGTGTACTGTGTGCATCAATTGATGTAGGCCAAGACGCGGCAAAGCTCCCCTAGGCGTAGTACTCTAGTACCTGTTGTGATGATTGATGCACACTGTAACCGTAGCATGGCGGGGTCGTTGGTAGGCCCAGCCCAGCCCAGCACCCTGTTTCGCATCTTTTTGCACGGCAAAGTGGACTGCATCCAGCCCAGACACTGCACACTGTGCTGCCACAACCCGACCCACAAGACCTGTTCCTCCAATTCCTGTCCTGTCCTGTCCTGTCCTGTCTGTGTCTGTGTCTGTGTCTGTGTCTGCGTGTCTACCGGTACCGGTAATACCCCCACCCCCCACTTTGAAACAGGTCGCGGCCGCCGGATTCAACCACATCCCACATCTCCAACCCTCTCCCACTTCACCAACCGCCAACATGGTCGTAGTCGCTCCGGATAAGCTGGTGACGCTGCAGCGCTCGCCTGAAACCATAAGAAACGTTCGCCTGCCGTTCCCGCGTAAAGCCTCGTTGCTGGTGCTGACGACGCGCAGATTTGCGTGCTAGCCCATGTCGACCATGGCAAAACCTCGCTCACTGATGCCCTGATTGCCACGAACGGCATCATCTCCCCCAAGCTCGCTGGCAAGATTAGATACCTAGACTCAAGACCCGATGAGCAACTGCGCGGCATCACCATGGAGTCGTCCGCCATCTCCCTGTACTTCTCGCTGCTACGCCGGTCGGCGCCAGACGCACAGCCGGAACAAAAGGAGTTTTTGATCAACCTCATAGACTCGCCCGGACACATAGACTTCAGCTACGAAGTCTCTACAGCATCACGCCTCTGCGATGGCGCCGTTGTGCTCGTAGACGCCGTGGAAGGCGTGTGTAGTCAGACAGTCACCGTGCTGCGGCAGACATGGATCGAGAAACTGAAGCCTTTGCTCGTCATTAACAAAATGGATCGGCTAATCACTGAACTCAAAATGAGCCCAGGGGAAGCATACACACGTCTGAGCAAGCTACTCGAGCAGGTAAACGCAGTCATGGGCAGCTTCTACCAAGGGGAGCGCATGGAGGAAGATGCCCGTTGGCGTGAAAAAATGGAAGAGCGATTGAATGCTGCAGCGGAAGGGAAAACAGACTCTCGTGAAACTCGCGTCTCCGCTCTCATGGACAGCGCCGAGGGTATTGACACGACCAGCACACCCGCCGAGTACGAAGAAAAGGACGACCAAGACATCTACTTTGCCCCAGAGAAGAACAATGTCATCTTCGGCAGCGCCATCGATGGCTGGGCCTTTACCGTGAAGCAGTTCGCGGGCTTGTATGAGCGAAAGCTAGGTATCAAGCGCTCCGTACTGGAAAAAGTCCTTTGGGGTGACTTCTACCTGGATACCAAGACGAAGCGCGTGCTCAGTTCCAAGCATCTCAAAGGCCGCCACCTCAAGCCCATGTTTGTTCAACTAGTTCTGGACAACATATGGGCTATTTACGAGGCTACCACTGGAGGTAACAATGGGAAGGGGTGCGTGGATTTCCTTTCCTTTCATCTTGCTGTTCCGCATCCATGTAGCGTAGTCAATATACTTATACCTTCTATGACAGAGATCCCGCCATGGTGGAAAAGATTACCAAGTCTCTCAATATCACTCTCCCAGCCCACATTATGCGATCGCGCGACCCTCGTGCCCTGTTAATGGCACTCTTCGCCGCATGGTTACCGCTATCGACTGCCCTTCTCGTGTCCGTCACCGAGTATCTCCCTCCACCCACAAAGGCACAGGCTGAGCGTATTCCTGAGATTCTCGACTCCTCTCCGGGCGCCGACTATGTTGCTCCAGAAGTACGCGATGCAATGACCGGCTTCAAGACGGGAGACGACGCCCCTGTTGTAGCTTATGTCAGCAAGATGATCTCTGTGCCCGAGAGCGAGCTCCCACAAAATAAGCGTCGTGGAGGAGCATTGACGGCCGAAGAAGCTAGAGAAATGGGACGAAAGAAGCGTGCAGAAATCGCACGACAGCAAGCCGCCAACTCGGAGGATGCAGATCTCAATAGTGTTACGGATGCTCTTGGTGCTACTGCCATTGGCGAGACGGAGACGCCTGAAGAAGAAACACCAGATGACAAGGGTGAAGTGGAACATCTCATCGGCTTTGCACGCATCTTCTCTGGTACCTTGAGTGTGGGTGATGAGGTCTATGTGCTCGGTCCCAAGTTCACACCTGCGAATCCACATGCTGCGCCAGAGCCACAGAAGGTCAAGGTCACAGCACTGTACCTCATGATGGGCCGCGGTCTCGAGCCATTGACATCCGTACCTGCTGGTGTGGTATTTGGTATTGGTGGGCTGGAAGGACGCATGCTCAAATCCGGTACACTATGCTCACAGCTATCTGGCTCTCCTAATCTAGCTGGTGTACAGATGGGTACACAGCCCATTGTCCGCGTTGCTCTCGAACCTGAGAACCCCTACGATCTCGACAAGATGATCAAAGGCCTCCAGCTTCTCGTACAAAGTGACCCATGCGCCGAGTACGAGCAGCTGCCGAGTGGGGAGCACGTCATTCTCACTGCGGGCGAATTGCATCTCGAGCGATGTCTCAAAGATCTTCGCGAACGTTTTGCCAAGTGTGAAATCCAGGCTGGTGAACCCATCGTACCTTATCGAGAGTCAATAGTCGCCGCAGCCGAAATGAACCCGCCAAAGGATGCAACTCTACCGCGAGGAACTGTGATCGGCGAGACAGCCAGCAAACACGTCTCTGTGCGTCTTCGCGTACGTCCGCTTCCAGCCAGTGTCACTGGGTTTCTTAGCAAGAATGCAGGCGCGATACGAAGGTTATATTCCGAGCGGCGAGGGGAGGAGGAACACAATTCGCCGAATGTGATTGCCGGCGCTGAACACGATGGCATGCAGGAAGCCGAGCAACGCGAAGTCGGGCATGCACTTGATTTCACAGAGTTCAAGAAGCAACTGAAGGATGCCTTTGCAGAGGCAAAGGGGCAAAAGGAAACTTGGGCAGATGTGATTGAGAAGATCACAGCGTTTGGGCCTAGGAGAGTAGGACCGAATATTCTGGTGGATGCAACCAAGGCTGGAATATGTGGGAAAGCGTAAGTCACTATGCCTGACTATTTCTTGCCACATGTGCTGTACACGATGCTAACATGACCCACAAAGTCTCCGCGACAATGTTAGCCCGCCCCAAGACCCCGACGCAGAACCCCCCTCGGATCGCATCCTCACCCCCTCAACTTTCGCTTCGACAATCACATATGCGTTTCAGCTCGCTACTGCCCAGGGCCCTTGCTGTGCTGAACCCGTCCAAGGCATCGCTGTTTTCCTCGAAGACGTAACACTCAACATACCTGATAATGAATCCGCTCATGATCGCGGCAGGCTGACAGGTGAAGTCATCAAAGCCGTGCGATCGAGTATCCACCAAGGCTTCCTAGATTGGTCGCCCCGCATCCTCCTCGCCATGTATTCGTGTGAGATTCAAGCCTCAACAGATGTCTTGGGCCGCGTCTACGCCGTCTTAACACGACGTCGCGGCACTATCCTGTCAGAGACGCTGTCCAGCACTTCCTCGGCCTCGACAACTGGTAACCAAACCTTCACCATTTCTGCCCTGTTACCCGTAGCAGAGTCTTTTGGCTTCAGCGATGAAATCAGAAAAAGAAGTTCTGGATCAGCTAGTCCGCAGTTGCGCTTTGCCGGCTTTGAGATGCTGGACGAAGATCCGTTTTGGGTTCCGTTTACAGAGGATGAGTTGGAGGATTTGGGCGAGTTGGCCGATAGGGAGAACGTGGCGAGGCGGTATGTGGATAAGGTTAGGAGGAGAAAAGGCTTATTGGTTAGGGAGGTGTTGGTCAGAGATGCCGAGAAGCAGAAAACTTTGAAGAGATAGGGCAACCTTAACGCCAAACCAGGCTGGAGACTATTGGATTCCAGGACAAACTACTAGCCGTCAAAGTTGCAGTGACATGCACATTTTCTTTTCTCTTCCGTACTGTCTCCCGGCAAATAGACATGTTCATACCAAAAGTTCACAAGGTTGTCGTCTGTACATGTGGACATGGAGTTTGGTGAAGATTCACGTGATACCGCGCTCTTGCCAAGCGATTAGCGCGTAATGTTTGCTTACCATACGTTCACATACGCGTCTCACACTTGGGACACTTGCTCATTCTTCACACATCCGAAGCAGCGTTCCTAAGGAAGCCTTCTCTATCATCTTAACGTGAGCCATAACAGTGAACAGCAGTATTCAAAGCTTAGCACATCTCCACCAGCGGCTAGTGGAGACACTAGATATAGCAACTCGACAATTACCCGTCGACGTCATGGGTATTCCGCAGTACGTCTCTTTGCATATGCTTCGCCAAATATCTAAGGACAAGGGTGACTGATCCACCTAGATTACGAGAGGATATTGAGAGGTGTGAAGAGATTGTTCCTCTCACCAAATTGGCCGAGGATCATTTCAACAACGAGAGCACAAAGGCGCAGCCTTTCAAAGTCGCTATTGATGCGGCGGATTGGCAATTCAACTGCGTCAGCCCAGAACAAGTGTTTCGCATCCGTCAAGGTAGGATGTAAATCTTGTGCTGAGAGATTTACTGTTGATCCAGCTTGCTAAGTGCATGCCTCATAGGCGAGCCTGCGGCCAATCCTGTCGAAAAGGAGATATTTCGACGATTATGCAGGCTTTTGACCTGGAATATTCGCCCAGTATATGTATTTGACGGACCGGACGTTCCACCTAAACATGGCAGGCCTGCAGGAAGAACAGTGAAATACAAAGAGCGGATTCTGCTCAAAGAGATCCTCGACGGGCTTGGAGTACCCTATGTCGAGGCACCAGGGGAGGCTGAAGCCGAATGTTGCCGTCTACAAGTTCTGAAACTAGTGGATGCCGTGTGGTCAGCGGACTCTGATTGCCTCATGTTCGGCTGCACGCTGTGGATTCGCGACTTTCGAATAGGCAAAGACACAGCAAGCGTGACAAAGCGCAAAGGTGAAACTCGAAAAGATGATAAACTGGTCCGAGTTGTTCGCGCCGAGAGGCTTCAAACCGAGTGCCGACTCAAGCGCGAGGGATGTGTTTTGTTCGCCATGATGGCAGGCGGCGACTACGATACCAAGGGACTTGTTGGATGCGGTGCAGTGACTGCTCTGATAGCAGCCCAGTCTGGTCTGGGTATCAGTTTGTGCAGAGTGCAGAGCCAAGAAGAGTGCAAGGAATGGAGGGATCACGTTCTCCTCCCCTTCTTTAAAAGAAAGGCGATAGAGATATATGTCCCGGAAGACTACCCACGCTTTGAAACGCTACGCTGTTACAACAGTCCAACAACGCATCCTGACGACTATCTCCAGGAACACGCTGCTCGACATATGCAGTATGAAATGTCCGTTCGAGAACATGAACTGCTGCAGGTTGCCGTACCAAGACTAAACTTGACGAGAGTACCGTATCTCAAAAACATAGGCCCCGTCCTCCTCTCTCAGCGCTTATCTAGTGGCGTCGAAGTATCAGAACTCGGGCATGAACTTGATGTCAAGCTTGTCCAGACGAGAACGAAGCCCTCGCCACAAGGGCAGATACTTCCAGTGTTTGCACGCAAGCTTATATTTTGCCCAAACAGCCTCACCAGTATCAACCCAGCAAGATTTGAAAATTGGCTACCCTTCAAGGAGAAGAACCGGTCTGCTCCGTACGATCCGGCATTCCGCGTCACCTGCGAACTTCCAATCTCTCTTCTACGGAAACTACCTGCGGATGTACTGGAACCCAGGAAGACCTCGAAGCGGAAAATTCTGGGAGAATGCGATTCTAGGCTTGGTGAAAATCAAGCTACCAAGAAAACGAAGAAGGCACCTGTGGTCTCAGACAAAAGCTCTACAACGCCTCAGCTATCTCCACGGCCCAAGACAGGTTTCGCTTCGACACCTGCTCCCAAGGTTCTACCTTTGGCAGTCCGAAAACCAACGAGCCCGGCGTTCCTGGACCCAAGTCGCGAGATTGTTGTACTTTCTGATTCGGACGATGATTCAGAGTTGCGTCTTCCATCGAAGAGAACCTCATGATTGTGCAGAAGTGCCAATTGGGGCTTTCAACAAGCTCAATTGTGCAGGATCTGATACTGTTGCATTGAGCAAAGTCTCCTCTGCACGATGCGATCGTATTATCAATCAAATCGATTCCAGGAGTGCAGTTCATTTATTCCTCTTGGAAAACTGCGAGTCGAGAACCTTGGATTTTCTAGGAATAAAAGAGTCTAGCATGCGTGAGCCGGTGAACACATACAGCTCCCCAAGAACGATCTTGCATTCTCCGATATCATCTTCCCTTTCTCGTCGCTAAAGTCGCCATGAAACAATGAAGGAAGACGTCGGGCAGTCGAAGCACATATAGAAACATAAACGTGGGCTACCAAGTAATCTCCCTCATTCTCCCGATATCGCCCAGCGCTCACCTACCACGCCCGCAACAATTCTCCGTCCAGCCTTGTCGATCGCCTGGCCTCTACCGCTGTAGTCTACACCAGGACCGGGGCCACCTTCCGAAAGGGTAGCTAGCTGCCGAACCAGCCCTGTCGATCATCAACTCCACACAACCTATCGACACCGCACATGTGCCCAACCCCATCTTCTCCGGCGATAAGGGCGATGAAACATATCATTTGGTGCGCTGCCGAATCCCCGTCCGTACCTTCCCTGAAGAGCGAAGAGGCCGGCGCTGCGGGGACCAGGGGAGAGGGGAGGGGTGGGCGAGGGGTCATGTGCTGAAGAGGCGGCTACCATGGACGATGGTGTAACTCGGAGTCTGGCACTGTGTGCGCCAATGGGAGGCGGGAACGTGACATGGTGGGCAGAAGAGTAATCGAGTGTAGTCGGTGGGTAGAGTGAGATATAATATCCAGGATGCATGGTCCGGGCTGCAAGGGGCGTAGTGCGTGATGGACTGGGTGGGGGTGAATGGCCGCGAGGTTCGTGTCTTGAGTACCACAAGGAACTGGCAGCGGAGCAGGCGATGTTTCTGGACAAAGCAGATGGCGCCTCGTTGATACCGGCGTCTGAAGTTGCTCGATTCGAGATAGGATCAGCAGACTTGTGGGCGGGAAAGGGTTCGGAGTCGTCCGCTGGTAGGTAGGTAGGTAGGTAGGTAGGTAGGTAGGTAGGTAGGTAGGTAGTCTAATCTATCCCAAAGAAACACTCCCCTTCACAACAAACATCCGCAACCTCCCAACTATATAAGCCCCCAAACACATCCCTCCCATCCCATCCCACACCACACTCCCCCATCCAACTCCCACTCCACCCAACCCACAAAAATCATGCACTTCCCCACCCCCCTCCTCCTCCTCCTCACCACCCCCTTCACCCTCGCCGCCGCCCTCCCCACCTCCTCCTCCGCCCTCGAAACCCGCCAGTCCTGCGCCATCCGCTGCGGTTCCACATGCTACACCGCCGCCCAAGCCAGCGCCGCCCGCACCGCAGGACACAATCACTATCTTCAGGATACCCAGGCCGGGTCGTCGAATTACCCGCATACGTATAATAATCGCGAGGGGTTTGATTTTTTGGTTGCAGTAGGTTGGCGTTTTTCCGTTTGCTTGGTTTGGGGGATTTGGGTCATGGGGGGAAAGGGGAGAAGGGGGTGGGGGTGGGGGGGGGGGGATATAAGGAAAGAGAAATGCTGATTTGAGGATAGGGTCCGTATCAGGAGTTTCCGCTTAGGACGAGTGGTGTGTATACTGGTGGTGAGTTTTTTTTTGGTTTTTTTTGGTTTGTTTTGCATTTTTTTTTATACCTTACTTCTTGTCCCTTTCTCTCCCCCTTTTTCTTTCTCTCCCTTATATATCCTCTCCCCTCACACCTCCCCTCACTAACATTCCCACTCAGGCTCCCCAGGCGCCGACCGCGTCGTCTTCAACACCCAGGGTGAACGGGCGGGCGAGATTACGCACACTGGGGCCCAGGGAAGCAATTTTGTTGCGTGTACGGGGTGGTAGAGCGGGGGTTTGTTTTGCGGGAGTTTGGGGGTTTACAGTAAGGACTGGGGATTACAAGGGCTGTGGGGCTTTTGGGGATGGGGTGGGGAAGAGGAGAGGGGGTTGGGGGGGAGTGATGAATGTTGATGTGGTTGTTTTCAGAGTCGGAATGGTGGCTTGGATTACTATTATGGTCATGGGGATGGGGGTTTTGTTGCAATGACACTCTGCTTCTCCCTCGACACCACCCTGCGGCTCCTTCAACACCCTGCTCACCCCCGCACCGTTACACGCCTACGCAGTCTTTCTCCACGCATCCGCCAACATGGCCCCTCCAGCCACCATCCCACAGGCCCCAACCCCCCAATCACTCAACAGCCCCCTCTCGGTGCTCCAATGCAGCGTCATAGGCGCATACGCCAGATTCGACGCCAAATCCTTCCACCACACCCACTTCTCCAACTTGCGCTTCCTGACCTCCTCCTCCCGCCTCAACTTGTCCTCCTTCTCGCCATCGCCCTGTAGCGCGGGCATCGGCTTCCCATCACGGTAATACCACTGCACGCCCAGCCGCGCCAGCTCCACGCCCACGTACGCCGCCCAGAACCGCGAACTCCAAAGCCACCACGCGTTCTCGCGCGCCTTGCCGGCCTCGCCTGTCCAGCGCGAGCTCGTGAGCACGCCTTTGCTCGAGAGGTATGCGCCGTTTTCAAGCACCTGGAAGCCAACGCAGGCTGCGATGGCGCTCCATGTCAAGCCGCGTACCAGCCTGTCCTGTTTCTCTGCATGCGCCGGCAGAGGGGAGAGGTAGGTTCCACGCGCCCATGTGTAGAGGCCTGCTAATCCCCATAAACGCACAAAGATCCTGTAGTCTGCTATCGTGGCAGCAAGGGCTTTGGAGGAGCCGACGACTTGGGCGATTCGCTTTGTGCTGGTGGGGGCGGGCAGGGAGGCGATGAGGGTTTCACCGGGGAGTAGGATGCCGTCTGCTTTTTGGGCGATTTCCGAGGCAATGACTGCGAGGCGGCGCTGGAGGAGGCGGGAGAGGAGGGCGTGGACGAGGGTGAGGGTGTAGGATGTTGTGCAGAGTAAGGTGTCTGTTCCGCTTGGGGTGGAGAGGAGTTTGGCGAGGCGGACTAGGTTGCGGTCTGCGGTGCGTGGGATGGTTGTGAGGTATTTGAGGAGGTAGACGCGGAGGGTTTGAAGGGTGGAAGGGCGTGGTCGCGGTGCAGAGGGCTTCTCCGAACTTGGTGGAGCCGTGGACGATGGAGGAGTGAATAGGGTGGGGTCAGACGGTATTGTCGTCGTTGATTCCGGCGGTGGTGGTGGTGGTAAACTGTCCATTATTTTGTCCATGTCATTCTCCATGCTGAAATGTAGAGAGCTTAAAAGAAAGAGAGAAAAAACAGGGCGAAGATGGGAGACAGGGCTGCTATGGGATATTCCATCAGCTGAGAGATGTCATGATGCAGGACGCGCTTTTGGCCGAGGTTGCTCTTTGGGAAATAATTGACAGCCACGTCATGCGCGCAGCCGACGCAGATACACACACACACACGCGCGCGCGCGCACATGGTACACACCGTAGTCACTCCCAAGTCACTCCCAAGCCCTCTCAAGTCACTCCCAAGTCACTCCGAGTCACCCCGAGTCACCCACAGTTACACACAACACACGTGGACAACTGCTCAAGTGGCCGCATGTAAAAGGGGGTGGACCCTCCATCCCAACGGCAGAACAAACACCAGCTACACCACCGGCCACGTCGAACAAGGAGGACCCTTCAACAAAAACACGCAGACTCAACAACACAAGAGCAGACTGTCTAAGTAGACTCCCAGACATACTACGATCCATCATGACCTCGCAAGCTCTAGTATCCCTCGCCACGCCCGCGATGAGCATGCCTGCAGCCGTCGAGCATCTTCCATGGCGGCGCACCCCTGCTCATCCACTCCACCCTCCATCCCCGCATTCTCGTCTCCACATCCGACGACGACAACTGACATCCCAAGCTCAGCTGAGGTCTAGCAGCAGCAGCAGCAACAGCAGCAGCAGCAGCAGCAGTGCCAGCACGCTCTTCCTGCTCTCCTCGCCCTGAGCAAGACCACGAAAACAAAGGGCTGCTACGGGCAGCCGATTTCAAGCCAATCCCAATCACCTCAACACCACAATGGAAGACCCGTCCCAACCCCTCCCCACACGCATTCCCACCTACCCTCTCGCCCATGCCTTTCGACGTAAACCCCGCCGTCTGCCTCTTGTCCTGCGCTTTGCCAAAGGTGCCGTTCATGAGATCATCTTCGTCCCGGTGCTTCTGCACGCCCTCTTCACCGTCCTCGTCGTCTACATTGACACGCGCTTCGTCGACAGCATTTCCATCCCGTCCACCATAATCCCCTCGCTCTCCATTGTCGTAGGTCTCATGCTCGTGTTCCGCAACAGCACATCCTACGACCGCTTCTGGACCGGCCGAAACTGCCTGACGACGATTGGCACCTGTGTCCGCAACCTCGCACGCATCTGCCTCGTCAACAGCCACAAGGACGGACATGCGACCGAGGCCGAGCGCAAGGACACGGAGCGCATCATCAAAGTCCTCATCGCAGTCCTCTACGCCATCAAACACAATCTCCGCGCAGAATTCAACATTCCCCCCGCAAGCCTCGCCTCCCTCCCCAAACAACCAAGCCCCTACTCGCGCTCCTCGGTGCCCGCCTCCCGCCGCCCCAGCTACGTCGACCGCACGGCCAGCACACCCGCCACCCCCGGCCACCTCACCCCGCTCCTCTCCCACTCGGGCATCACGCTCGAAAACGGGACGGGCTGCGAGGTGCCGACGCGCAAAGAAGAATACGTCTCCCTCCTCCCCGAAGGCCTCATGGGCTACGAAGACCAGGGCCTCGGTCTCCCCCTCCAACTCACCGTCCTCGTCGAATCCTACCTCCGTCGCGGCGCCGACCGCGGCTGGTTCCACGCCCCGCTAGCCTCGCAGATGAGTGCCCAGCTCAACACGCTCGTCGACGCCTATGGCCGCATGGAAACTATTCATGCAACTCCCATGCCCGTCGCCCACCTCATCCACCAGAAACAGGTGCTCGCGCTCTTCACCTGCGTCTTGCCCTTTGCCGTTGTAGACGACTACAAGTGGTGGAGTGTGCCTGTGGTTGCCATTGTTGCCTTCACCCTCTATGGCATCGAGGGCATTGGCGTTCAGCTCGAGGATCCGTTTGGGTATGATCGGAATGATATCAAGATGGATGGTATTGTCGAGGATACCCGACAGGAGCTCATGGTGTTGTTGGACGAGTGGAAGGAGAGTTGGGAGGGGAGGGCTGTGGGCGGCATGTTTGATTGAAATCTGCATGTGCCAACCGCGAAGTGGACTCTTCATTGTGGGGGGTTTGCAAGTGGGAATCGAAGGGAATGGGCTTGTCATTGTCATGTACCCCCCCCCCCCCCCCATACCCCTCACACCGAGAGCAAGTCAAGTTACAAGAACCACATCAAGTCCTACGGCTGGATAGCTGGTAGTCTACAACCATGCAATACATCTACACACATGCCTACCCACTACCACTACCACTACCACCATGTATACATGTATATATAACTCTATATATCCGCATCTGCAACCACATACATACTCCCATCACACCATCATACCACCACCACCACCAGCCCCCCAAAAATAAAAAAATAAACAATCGTTCAATAAGAATAAAAGAGTGCAAAAGACCCCACACTCCTCTGCCCTTTTGCTCCAATCCCACCCTCCAATCCCAACCCCGCCGTCCCATCATGCGGCATAAAACTTCCGACACGACATATGTATATATAGATAGATTACCCTATTCCTCCTCGCCCTGTTACTACTCCACCTTCACCCCGAAGGTCGAGAAAGAACAACAACACACAGAGAGTAGATCGATGAATGAAAAAGAAAAAAAAAGGACAATGAAAATCCCTTTGCCTCGAGCGTAACGTTCATGACTTGCCTTTGAAGAAAACGCCGGAGGATGCAGTCCCAAAAGAAATGAAAAAAAAAACCGGGTGGAGAACGATGCGAGGGAAAACGGCATAGTCTGCCGTACGGCCAAAAAGCTTCCAACAGCAGGGCTTGCGTCATGCCGGTGGTAGCGTGGACACGCCGCCGCCCGTGCTAGAGGAATCCGACGAGTCGTCGTCTGGGAGACAATTGGGGCCGGGTCGGCCTGCGCTGCCGTCGAGGACAAAAGGGCCCACGTCGTTGCGCGGCGTCATGGGCCCGTCGGCAGCACGGTCAGGCACGAGTCCGTTGTGGGTGGCTGGGTGTAAAGGCGTGAGGCCCGAGTAGTCGTTTGCGCCGGATCCGTTGATGGTGAGCGGCTGGGTTGCAGAAGAGGCGACGGGGGGTGTGAGGTGGCGATCTGGGGTTTCGGGAAGAGGCTGGCTTGCCCCTTCGTCCGAGGCGTCGGCGACGTTGATGTTGGAGATGAGGTGGGCGAGGTCGGTGGTGGCAGCGTCTTCCGATGTACTGCCATTGGGGGGCGAGGGCGAAGAAGGCGGCGTGATTTGGCGGTCGCCCAGTTGGGTGACGACTTTGGCCATGGGCTCGCCGTCTGCCTGATCGCCGTCATCTTCCCAGTACTCCATGTCGGGTTCTTCGACGTCTTCTTCTAAATCGGCTACGGCGCGGCAGTTGGGACACAGGAAGTTGGGCCAAGTGGGCCCGTTGAGAATGGGACGGATGCACTTGTAATGCCAGACGTGTGAGCAGGGTGCGACAAACAGGGATTGGCAAGGCTGTGCTGGTGTTAGTATCAAAGGCACGGCCACGGTCGAAGCCTCAACTACTCACTGCTATTGACATGAGACAGATGGCGCACTCGGACGTGTGTGTCGAAGCAGCATCGCCCTCTTTTTTGCTCTTGGCAAGATTCCTCAGACGCTGGTGGGTTTGTTTGCTGGCCAGGTTAGTGGGGTTGCTCAGACGGGCGTGGAATGGCTCCAGACTCACTTGAATGTGTTCAGACCCTGCTGCCAGCCGCGGTTGCACTCGACGCGAATCTTGACACAACGGAAAATCATTTCCTCTCCTCCTCTAAAGTCGATGCCCAGCTGGATGATGTCCCCGTCCTTGATCCTAAAGGGCTTGGATTCGACGTTTGGCTGACTGAGTCGGATATGGTTCAAAAAGGTGCCCGACGAGCTCTTGACGTCCTTGATATACCAGCTGCCGTCCTTGCACCACAGCTCGCAGTGTTTCCGGCTGACAACCTTGGACTTGAAGCCGACAGCGGCGGCCGAGGGGACATGGGAAGGTATTTCGGGGAGGTTGTCGCGCTCCGAGTAGCGGCCGACACGGATGACTGCGCTCTCGTCGGGCAGGGTGCGAGTTATGGTGGGGAACTGCAGCGAGGGCCGGCCGGCTCTGGGGTCTTGGTGCGGGATGAAGCGAATCGACGGGAGGTGCTTGACCGCACCAGCAGCGTCAGCAGCGCCCTCTGGCAGCTCTGCGATGGGCGGTACGGCTGTTGTCGTCGTCGTCATCGTCGGGGTGGGACCGGAGGTGTTGCGCACTGTGAGCTGCGGCGCAGCCATTTCTGCGCGACTCCTAGTCATGCTACTGGCTTCGGGCGGCGGCGATGCAGGCGGAGAGTCGATGGACGAGGGGCAGGGCAGGGGGCCGTCGGCGGTGACCCGTCTCGAGAGTGGTGAGGGGACCAAGTGTTGGGGCGACGAGGGCGGTGAAAAGACGGGCGAGGCAGGCGGGGTGTGTGTGGAGGCGCGTGGCCGTGTTTTGGGTGTCTCACGTGCCTCTTCGGGCGGGGTGGTGGTGTTGGTGGTGGTGTTGGAGGACGAGGACGAGGTGGGCGAATGCAGGTGCAGGTTCCGCAGAAAGTTGATGCCTCTGTGCAGGCCGGTGGAGCGTGAGAGGGAAGTCGTCGTTGTTGTTGTTGTTGCTGTTGCTGTTGCTGTTGCTGTTGCTGTTGCTGTTGTGGTTGTGGTTGTGGTTGTGGTTGTGGTTGTGGTCGGTGAGGTTGGCAGTGCTGTAGCAGCAACAGAAGGGGATGCTGGAGCTGGGGCAGTCAACATGCTATGTAAGGTTGCCCCCTCTCCCCCTAATACAATACAAGCAGCGGCGGGCGGCGCGGGCAACAAGCGGGCTGGGTGCAAAGAAGGCTGAAGCAGCGGCGGCGACGACCGCACTTTACTGCGCTGCGTGCGGCTGCGGCTGCGGCTGCGTGAAGACGGAGGCGGCGGGCAAAGCAATGGGTTTCGGCAGCGTTTGAGTGCGTTCGCAGACTTCACCCCACAACACAGCCGGTCCAGTGCAGATGGGTTTGTGCACGGGCAAAGGGAAAGGAAATGGGAGCGCAGTGCAACAGCCGACGAGAAGAGAGAGAGAGAGAGAGAGAGAGAGAAAAGGACGAGCAGCGTCTTCCAATCGTCGCCCCGGGGGCTGGCAATGCGGCCAAGCGAACGAGTCGAGTGTGGCGAGTGCATGCCCAGCCCCAGAACAGCATTGCGCCGCCGTTCCAGGCAGTCGACGTGCTGCCCAACCATGGTCAATGCCCGTCCCTACAGAATGTCTAGGCGAGATATGTGTGTAGATATAGATAGATAGATATATATACACACATGTACAATGGGGGTGTTGAACCATCACTTGGCTGCTTCTAGGAATCGGTCTTTTGTCGTGAGCTACATGGCCGTGTGGGATGCATGGCCAACAACCAACATCGGCCACCATCAAAGCACCACCACCACGACGCCCAAGTTGGGCCTTTGCACGTACCTGTTTCACTTTCCCAGCTCCACCCGCTAGTTCCCTCCATCTAGACTTACCGCCCCCGATCGGCTATCTCTATCTAGAGCATATGGTCAAAAAGAGCCGTCACAAGGCTGACGACGGAGTCTGGAGGAATGGGCTTCCAGTGCTGCCGGGACTGCCATAACGTTTGGCGGGGTGGGGCCCGGCTTGTTCGCCAGAGAGACGGGCGCTCGGATGGGAATAGACTCGATAGAGCATGTATGCATGTATGTATGTATATATGTATGTATATATGTATGTATGTATGTATGTATATATGTATGTATATATGTATGTATGTATGTATGTATATATGTATGTATGTATATATGTATGTATGTATGTATATATGTACTCTGGCTCTCTAGGTACCGGTACGACTGTAGTTTGTCGTTAGCAGGCTTTACCTGGGCCTTGCTCTGTTCTCGTTCATGTTCCAGTGGGAGGCCCCCCGGTTCGCCCACCCCTCACGTGACGAGATGGGGTCATGCCCGATTCCCGACCTCAATTTTCTGGAATGGCCCATGTCTTGCCTGTCTTTGCTTGCCTGACCACCGTCACCGCGCCCACCACACAATTCGGCCATGTTGCGTCCTCGCACCCTTCAACCACTGAGCCGGGGAATAGCGCGACCATCCACTGCCCTCGCCTCAAATTCACATTCATGTGCCGGTAGACGAACACTGGCAACGGTGGTGGCCGCAGAGCGGGTTAGCATGCTGCACTGATACCACATAGCCAACAGAACACACGCGTCTAACACTGGCCTTGCAGGACACAGCCGAACTCGACCAAGTCACCACTCTACCCAATGGCCTGCGCGTTGCCACCGAAGCCCTGCCTGGCCACTTCTCTGGCATTGGCGTCTATGTCGACTCCGGCTCGCGCTATGAAAACGATGCGCTGCGAGGCGTGAGCCACATTGTCGACCGGTTGGCGTTCAAGTCAACGCGCAACACGAGCGGAGATCAAATGATGGAGAAGCTCGAGACGCTTGGTGGGAACATTCAATGCGCCTCCTCACGCGAATCCATCATGTACCAGGCTGCCACCTTCAACTCGGCCGTCCGGTCCACAGTCGGCATATTGGCTGAGACCATTCGGGACCCTTTGATTACAGAAGAAGAGGTACAACAACAACTCGAGACGGCCGACTATGAGATTGGGGAGATCTGGAGCAAGCCAGAGTTGATCCTCCCCGAGCTGGTGCACATGGCTGCATACAAGGACAACACGCTGGGCAACCCACTGCTGTGCCCCAAGGAGCGGCTGCCCTACATCAACCGCCATGTGGTAGAAGCATACCGCAAGGAGTTCTACAAGCCAGAGAGAATGGTCGTGGCCTTTGCAGGCGTCAATCACAACGAGGGCGTCCGATTAGCAGAGGAATACTTTGGCGATATGCAAAAAGGCATCGGTCCATCACGGAGCACGGGCAGCCAGAGCAGCACCTCCTCGACCCCGAACCAGCAAGTTTTTACCGCCGACCACCCTACGCCAATAGGCGCACCCCCACAAGCCTCCAAGCTCCTCTCCAAGATTCCCTTTTTCAAGAACCTCTCCACATCCGCCACCTCCAATGCCTCCGTCAACACCTCACTCGACCTCGACTTCCCTCCCATCGACACCTCCATCCCCTCGACCTACACCGGCGGCTTCCTCTCGCTTCCGCCCATTCCCCCACCACTAAACCCCATGCTCCCCCGCCTATCCCACATCCACCTCGCATTCGAGGGCGTCCCCGTCGGCTCCCCAGACATTTTTGCCCTCGCAACCCTCCAAACCCTCCTCGGTGGCGGTGGCTCCTTCAGCGCCGGCGGGCCCGGAAAGGGCATGTACTCGCGTCTCTACACCAACGTGCTCAACCAACACGGCTGGGTGGAATCCTGCGTCGCCTTCAACCACGCCTACACCGACTCGGGCCTCTTCGGCATCGCCGCCTCGTGCGCGCCCTCGCACGTCGCCCAAATGCTCGAAGTCATGTGCCGCGAGCTCAAATCTCTATCCGACGAGACGGGCTACGCAGTCCTCAAGCCGGTCGAAGTCCAGCGCGCAAAGAACCAGCTCCGCAGCTCCCTGCTCATGAATCTCGAATCCCGCATGGTCGAGCTCGAGGATCTCGGCCGCCAAGTCCAGGTCCACGGCCGCAAGTACAGTGTCAAGGAGGTGGCGCGCAATATTGAAAACGTGACGATTAAGGATCTGAGGCGCGTAGCGAAGATGGTGTTTGGCGGGGAAGTGCGGAATGTTGGGGGTGGGAGTGGGGCGCCGACGGTGGTGTTGCAGGAGGGTGAAATGGAGGGGTTGAGACGCAAAGAGTTTTCTTGGGATGATATTCAGAATCGGATTGCGAGGTGGAAGTTGGGGCGACGGTGATGAGCAAGGGATGACTTTGGCATCTGTGGACATGGATGATTATGACGTGTATTTGTAAAATCTACTAATGTACAACCCTTTCCATGATGAAATGATTGGTTTCTACCCCTTCTTTGCACCACACCATGCCTTTGTTTATACGTTCGTATCCCAACCCAGCCGTTTCCCGATTCGGAGCAACTTTGGAAATCAGGTGGCGTAGGTGAGGTCGGCTTGAACTTGAGACTCATCTTGTTGAGTGCAGGTCATGATATACCGTTCACTCCCTTTTTGCTCCCAATACTATTACTATCCACTATCATCACCGCCTGTCCCAGCACACACACACTCTCTCTCTCTGCCTCACACCACTTATTCACAGTCACACCTACAGACACAGTCACCAACCCAGACACACCCAGCACGACGAAACTCTACAACTCTCCCCCGACTTACCCTGTACCCAACCCAACCCAACCTACCATACAGCCATCCCCCCTCCCCTACAACCCCAATCTCCCAAACGAGCGAAAAGAAACCTGCATGTGATCAGGCTGTGCGTTGTCCACTTCCAGCCTCAATGGGTGGGGGGAGTGGGGGGATGGTGCTAGGGGGTTATATGTAGGTGGATAGGTGGATAGTGCTGGGGGTTATAGGCGGATGTGTGGATTGTGGAATGGTGTGAGATATATAGGTGGATAGGTATACGTCGAGACAGCGGGACTTAATCGGGGGAGTTGGGGCCGATGGAATGGTATACGTGTGTCCGAGGCGTTGTGTGGGTGGGAGGGGGATGGTGAGATTGGGAGTTTGTATGTGGTGGCGTTGGGGAGGTACATGCAGTAGGTATAGTGGGATGCTGGGAATGGCTATGGTGGGTTATGAAAGTTTGAGGCGAGAGAGGATGGGTGCGCGAGGGGATTTTAAACAAGGTTCATGCTGGGCTGGCAGGATTTTTTGTGTTGGGTGGGATATCTACTATACAACGTTTCTCTGCATGCGCATTTCAACGTTTGCCATGGCGTTACTATTGTCGTACACACTATATGCCATTGTAGTTTCCAACTCTCGGCCCTTTTCCTTCGTGTTGGCTTCACTCCGTTACGCGGGCCGAGGCCAACGACGTCATCCACGCGCCAACTGTGTAGCCGCGGGTTAGATTCAATACTTTTATCAATGGCCGATCCCTGGCCATAAGCCCGAGGATTTTCAACAGCCTGTGTACTTTTTTTTTGGTGCGGAATGGTTGAATGGTGGCTGTGGTTAGTATGCATGGATTTGGGAGTACAAATAGCCGTCTTGGGAGGTGGGAAGGATGAGAGGGATGGGCTTGACATGGGCTATTGTTATTGCTACCTACATGACCGCGCCCAATCTATTGTATTTGGCTTACAACACTACCTGTCATCACGGATTCTCCATTCCCAATCCTAGTCTCAATCCTGATCCCAATCCTAAACATGGCCAACGATCCCTTCACAACACACCACCACTACCTACAAGCCCACCTCTCCCCCAACCCCGCAGACTACCGCACCGGCCTCTTACTCTACCGACATACCCCACGGCCCCTGCGACGCACACACCTGGGCGCAAGCTACATGGAACACCCAGTATAATACCTACGCCAGCGTCGATTTCAAAGAGGAGTGGCGGCTCAAGGTTGCGAATGCGAATGCGGGCTTCGAGATGATGTGTGAGCGGGAGCGGTTGAATGAGGTGCCGCGTGTGTATCGGGAGTTGTTTCAAAGGACGAGGGAGTTTGCAGATGGGGTTGGGAAGTTGGTTGGGGCTCTTGGGCGTGGTGGGTGTTGTGAGGATGGCCATGGCAGTTTCGACGTTATCAATACTGGCAAGATACCACCAACGACCACCAAAATCTCAACCTGGGCAGAAGCAGCATGTCTCTTGGTTCAATGGAGTCGAGGCATCCTCCGTCATCCCAGCCTTGGCTTTGAAAAACTCCTCCTCAGTCAACGAGAGAGCATACACTGGATCCTTGACGACGCCCTTCTCCGTATCTGCCTCGACCACTGGGACACCGTCACCCCATCCCACCTCCCCTGGGACCTGGCCACCGCCCCGCTGCAAGACTGCCTCATGCAGGCTTGCAAGCTGATTCCCGAGTGGGCGGCCCGCGACGCAGACGAGTACCGCAAGTGGGATGTACGCGTCGTGTATTCGGTTCGCGAGGCGCTGGAGCAGAGTTACTTTGGCCGTTCGAGGCGGTTCCTAGCCCAGAGTCGCAGACTGCATGAGCTGTGGCGGACGGTGGGGTTGTGGGGTGGTGGGAGACTGCCGGTGGAGCTGGCAGAGGTGATTGTGGGGATTGTGTGTGCTGCTGAGGGATTGCCCGAGGGGAATTTGCGAAAGGTGTTTTTACCGGCGAAAGAGAACAAGGTAGAGAGGAATGGAAATGGCAATGGCAATGCTTTTGGCTATCTGAGGGCTACGGCTGTGCGTTGATTTGACGACTTTGAGCATGGCCAACTCCCTCTGCGACGACAGTGGTAAAGTGGAATCAGAACCCCTTCAACCCTTCGCACTCTCCAAGATGGCCAGAACACCTTCCTTGCCACCAACCAGCACCCTCACCGGCTCAAACATACTATCCGTCAAAGTCCCCTCGGCAACCCTCTCCATGTCCTCGCGCTTCTCGACCCCAACTTCCCTCAACGTACGCGGAAGCTCCAAATACTTGACAAACCTGTCCACCGCGCCCGCAAGCGACGCCTCCTCCCACTTCAAGATCTTGTTCCATATGCTCAACGTGCGCTGCTGGGCTTGCTTCTGGGCCTCGGATTTCGAGTACGTGTGGCGAAGGACGGGGGCGAGCAGGATGCACGAGGTGACGCCGTGCATGACACCACACACACTGCCGAGTTGATGACCGATGGCGTGGGAGGCACCCATGGGAACCTGCCACATCAAGAGACCCATCATGGCGTTGCGGCTGCCGTGCTGGCAGTTGCTGATGCCGCTGATCAGATCCTCGTGCTTGCCTTGAGTCTCGCCGTCCTTGTAGTCCTTGAGGCCCTGGAGCAGAATCGCAAGCGAATCTTCCATATGGATAAAGACATCCTCGCTGCACGCTTCATTCACCATGGTCTCGACACAGTGATCCACCGCACGCATTCCCGACGCCAGCCACAGCATCCTAGGCGCCGTCGACGCCACCTCTGGATCCAGCAGGATGAGGTCCGGCGCCGCCTTGACACTCGCAAAATGCTGCTTCTTATGCGTCTCCGGATTCACAGCCGACGCATTATTATTCCACTCGCTCGCCGACAGACTCGTAGGCACCACAATCAACTTCACCGCCGGCTCTGCCAGCCCACGCGCCAACCCCGTCTCCGGCTCCACAAGCCCTTCCATCGCATCCAGCGTAAGCTGCCCCGGCGCGAGATTCGTCTGCATCAGCCGCGCCACCTTGCACGCATCCGAATAACTGCTGCTCCCGATGCTAACCAGACAATCCGCCTGCTTGTCGTTGAGCAGCCGCGTAATCTCGAGGACGTCGTTGTAGGGCGAGTGTGCGCCAACACCGGATTTGACGGCTACAATGAACATGCCCAGTTTCTCCTTTAGTTTGTCAACGACATCTGTCTGCTCGTCCAGCGCCCGTGAATGCACGAGCACGATGCGTGTGCAACTCCACTCGCCAATCGCAACTACATGTCCTCGAGGTATTTTGCGTTGAGAATGGCATTATGCCCCTTGCGCTCGGGAATAGGCAGTTGCTGAATCGTACGCCTTGCACGGCCATAATCATTGTAATTCGACATTTTTTTCCTTCCTTTTGCACAAAATCTCGGTCAAACAAGAGAGGTTGTAGGTTGTGTGACCAGGCGCCCAATATTGCCCAGTGTCAAAAAAAATAAAAAAATAAACTTTGCTCGCCTGCGCTTTATTTCATGGAAATTGGGCCATTGGATTTCTTCACTCGCGCATGCTGGCAATCTCGATTGCGGGATTGTTGAATCGTCAGATTTACCTCATCTTTGCGTGACATTGGTGGGGAGAGGAGCTAGGTTCCGTTGCGTTACCTGTGTTACCCCGCGATTTTTGCACGCCCGTTTGTGTTGGGAGGTGGGAAGAAGGATTTGTGTCCATGGACGGTGGTGAATGTTTGTGTGCAGATTGCAAGTGTTTGGGTAGGAGAGGAAGGGGGTTACATGGACGGGAATATTCGGCGTGGTTAGGTTGCGTTGCTAGGGGGGCTTGCTAGGGGTGTTCCTTCGTGTCGAACTATTGTGTAGATCGTTGAGAGGAGGTCTCTTGTCCTTTTTGGAATACCATTTGGGCATGTGGAAAGGTTTAGAAGCTTTTCATGGGAGGATAGTGGTTTTTGCGCGCTTGAGGATGAGTGTTCTTGTTTAGTCTGCGATGTTGCTCTCTGAGTGCGTATAGCGGTTGTTGCAAAAGGGCAAGTGTAGCAAGGCACATAGGTACGAGCACTGAGCTTCGACCTTTGCTTTCTGTGGTGTCGACCTACTACTCCCAGACATGTCATAAAGTATCAGCTGCAGACGCCAGGCATACTTCTCGAATGACGCCTCTGTCAAAGCACATGTTTGTTTGTGAATGCATATTTCTGGTATTGACTATGCTTGCCTTTGTCGTGACTTCGCCAGGACCCTTAGTACTATCGTTGCCTCATGTCCAAGAGGGTCGACCAAGCAACCTGAGATATCTTAAGCCTGCAAAAGAACCATGCTGCCTTTCCTCAACCGTCCATCTGTAACCACGCCACGAACACAGCAGCCTCATGACCGAACATATCGCGTAGCTGCAGCTTCCTGCTCTTCAATCTCTAATGCCAAAATGTTAGTATCTCTCTCCTTTAAACACACCATTCCAAACCAGAAAAAAGATGCACGCGGGATTCATATATTCGTACTCAATCGGTGAACAACAGGTACTGAGCTTGGGGGTAAGCTGCCGTATTCGGTGATGACCATGTTGATATAGTGCGCCGGCGTGACATCATAAAGTACTTGCAGATGATGCAGATTCTTGTTGTCTTCAATCCACCTGAGGACATCGGTCGTATCCGTGGCAAGGTCGTCGTTGCCTGCCTTATCGTCGTTCTTCGAGCTGGGTAGGCGAGCTTTGAGTGGAAGTAGTTCTCGGCGTTCAGCTTCCGAAAGCAATTCCTCCGCAGGGGCGACCTCGTTTCCGACTATTGAGTCGAGGGCTACCTTCTCGGTGAACTTGACGGATTGGCAGAGGACAATGATAGGCAGAGACTGTGAGCTCGCCAGCATGGAAACGAGCGCCGTTCCTACGCGTGAGTATAGCCGGCCGTTGGACATCATGGCGTGCGCGCCTAGGAACACCTTTGTTGCGTCTTTGACGGCGTGCGTTGCACCAGTGATGAGGTAGTAACGCACACTGACACCCTGATTTGCAAGCTTCCTCGCTAATTGTTTGCCTTCAAACAACGGTTTCGAGTCGACCACAATGACGGAGAATGGCGTGCCCATCTTGTGGGCGTGTAAAATAGTCTGCTCGACTATCGAGGATGCTGCATAAGTAAGGATGACATCGCCGGCCTGGATCTTCGTAGCTGCCAAGTCACGGATGAGTCTATCAGCGGCCGAGACACGCTCACGGATGAAAATGTCAATCTCATCAACAAGATCACGTTTGGCTTCGTTCTCAGGTGTCGAAGGATCAATCTTGATAATTACTGTGTGCAGGTCAGTTCATACTCCACGGCTCCTAGATGTCTACTCTCAGGTCATAGATATCCAACATTGTGCATCTTTCCAAGGTAGTGTAAGAGCAACTTACTATCCTTCAACCACCGAATTGCGTTACCCATGCTGATGCTGAGCGGTCTACAGCTCTTGAGAAACTCAATTTGAGGACCGAGATGATGGCTGGTGAGATGTCGAGCCAGACTGTTCCCAGGTGGAGTTTGATAGGATTCAATCACGGTCTTGAACACTAGGAGCATAGCTACCATCCGCGCTGTACTACCACAGATGGCATAGCTACTGTACTGGAGACCAAGAGCAAGCACGGCTGGATGTACGTCTTTCGACGCTCCTACTAGTGACTGCTGCTTCGGTTGACTGTAGAGATGGCCAAAGAATAGTCCAGTCTGCTTTGGTTCCTTCTTGACTTTCTTTTCCGGCTCTTTCAACGCAGGTACGTTTGACTGCGACGGTCGCCGCCGCATGGGCAGCGGTCGTGATTTGTCGTCTTTCGATCCTTGCTTGGAATCCTTCTGCAACTTCTGGCCTTCCTTGGGTGGTCCCTGTTGCTGGTTCGGTGCGCCACCCGCCGCCTTTGCCTGTGCACGTTTTGCCTGCTTCTCCGCCTTGGCGAGCTTCTTCAATTCTGCAGGTGAGGGCTTCTTAGGCGCATCTGTGGCATTGCCATTTGTTGCAGCAAGCGAGCCATCCTGAGTTTGCTGTTCCACGGCAATAGGCGCCGGCGTGAGCTCAGCAGTTGGGGTCTGAGGCATCACGAGGTTCTTGATGTTTGGTGCTCAGGTTGAGAACCTCGGACGCGAGACGATGGGCTGTGGTGGGGCAGAAGTTGATGCTGGGTTCCCAAGACTATACGATACCTCAAAATACAAGACTGCTCGGTCTAGACTTGGTGGCACTGTTCGAGTCTATCCTTTTCCGCGTTGTCGTCGTCGTGACCAGCTCAATGTGTGGCCGGAACTTTGATACACTTTGATGGAACTTTGGAACTTCCATGCATTGAGTCAGAACTTGTGGCTAACCATGTCCATACTAGCGCGCCAAGACAGAATAGAACCCGCACTTGCTGCATTGGGAACCATTGGAATCCCTGTCGGCAACTGCGTCATTGGGACAAGTCGTTGTTGCGCCAACAAGCTTGCAAGACAGTGAATGCTCTTGTCTTCGACGTGCAAGATTTCTGGAACTTCCCTCCATCCTAGTCTCAATCATCATCTTCAGGACTCTATTTCACTGTTCTGGACTTCCGCTTCTAGCGAATCATGGCGGACAAAGTCAGCTCCATTACGGATCTTCCCCTCGACGTTCTCGTCCTCATCTTCCCATATTTGGATGCAAAGAGCTTCCTTGCACTGTGCAGTACGTGCAAAGGATTCCAGCAGCCTTCAATACGACTTGACCCTGCATATTGGAGTTTTGTGACGCGAAGCACCTTCAGAGTACCTAATCAACCTGTTGTCCAGCATGACGGGGTACGATGGCAGAAGATGTACCGCCGCCTGCTCACCCAGAGCCGTGTCTATACATGGGGATGCAGTACGCATAATCGACTGGGTCATAGTTATCCCGACCAGCATTCCCAGCCTCGTCCTCATGTACCTCGTGGTCATTGGCCAGGCCCGGTTCGACCTCGTCTCAATGCGAGTTGCTCGTTCCCTATGGAGATGGATGATAGGCAACAACTGGGTATCATTGCAGATATGCAGTGCGGGTGAGTATGACAGCAAAACGTTTTTGACATCAGTCGACTGACCGGCATTAGTGGCTGGTCGACCACCCTACTGACAGCAAGAGGCTCACTCCATACTGCTGGTGTACTTGACGGCCAGAGAACATTTTGGTCAAGCGATAGATTGCAAACTCTAGTATTCCCCTCAGTCTCTCCGGCCTCATCCCCTGAAGCACAGTACGCCGAAGCGACCGTAGCCATCCGTCAATTCTCATCTGGCCGATCTCACGTACTGGCAGTTTCAGACAGTGGTAAAATATGGTCATGGTACGACACCAAGAAGCCTGCTTTGCAAGTCAAATTTGCGAATTTGGACATCAAGGAGTTGTCTCTTGAACAGTCCAGTGACAAAGTCTCGAATCATGGGCAGGTGAAGCAGGTCATAGCCGGATGGAGTCGCAGCTCGGCCTACGTCCAAGGAGTGGGAATCATCGTATGGGATCCTGTCCAGCGAGACCCAGGACATGAGGAAGATGCTGAGACAGATACCATGCTTGTCTTAGACAGTGTTGAAGTACCCAAGACTGGATACAAGCGTGTACGAGATGTGCATGGTGAAACTGCAGATGAAAAAGCACTCGGTCAGGAGGTGGGTTCCGTGTCAAACTACATCATCCTTGAGCATTATGTCGTTTTTGTTACCGATATCGGCAGAGTCTTCTGTGGAAAATTTGCCGACAAGAACCGCGTGGACAGCATACTCGAGCTTCGACAGCTCCGTAATGAGCAAGGCGCTACACTTGATGTTCAGGGATCATTCCGCCGCTTTGCAATCTTCAGAAATGATGAAGTCGTCACAACCGATCAGGACTACCTCGAGGCATGCTGGACAGCTCAACAAACTGATCCGGAGCAAGAGAGCATTCAAGGATTGAGACGTATCCCTGCTCTCCAACGTAACGATGTGATCTCGGTCGCGTTTGGAGACTATCACTTTCTCGCGTTACACTCAAACGGCAAAATCACGTCGTATGGTATGGATCTCCACGCATGTGGCGCGTTGGGTCTAGGCCACGAAGGACCTACTAGTGGTCAGGCTCGAGGTATTGTCTACGACCGGTTCAGTCATACCGGAACACTCCTACCACATTGTTATGCCCGAGGCCGCGAGGTCTGGTTCGATTCGAAGAAGCGAGACTGGGTCGAACACATGATCTCAGGACACGCGGATCCTGACGAAAGTAAAGAACGAAGGGAGTTGTTCTTGACTAACCACAACGTGCAAGGTGAAGTCAGCGAATGGATAGAGCAGGAAAGCCGCGCTTGGGATCAAGGCAACCAAGAAGATGGCCTAGGTGCCCACTTTGCACTCAGAGTCAGTGCTGCGGGCTGGCACTCAGGTGCTCTGGTGCTGGTGAATGAAGAACTGGCTGGCAAGGAGCCTACATACAAGTGGGAGCATATGAACTTCCCAAGGCTCAGGCTGACTGATGGTACTGAAATGCCAGGACAGAAGGAATTTGATGAGTGGAGAGAAGGAAGACCAGATTGGCCGTTGGAAAGCGAGATCCAAGGCAACTGAATTTAGTTTCAACTCTTCTTTTCAGATATCCTCAACGCAATAAATGATGATGTAACGAGTGAATGGATTATCACCAGATTTGATACCAAGGCTATCGTGTCGAAGATATACAGTAGCAATCGCTAATGCGTGCCATGCGATCATGTGTAAAAAGAGACATACCCTACATCTGGATTATACATCTCAGTAGGCCTACTGTGCATAATTCTCCCTGACAGCTGAAAACACAATGACTTCAAACTGTAATCTGGAACCTTCATATTCGTAAAACAAAATATTTGTACACTTTGAACCGTACTGAAAATACCTCAGTAACGCCCATACCAATCATTTGACCACCAGGAGATTGACAGTAAGAAAAGGAAACATCACGACGACGACAACACCGCCATCCTCGTCATTCGTAATCTCCTAACTTTAGGCATCGGCATCAGCTTCGTAACCCATTGCCGCTTCGACCGTTTCTGCATCTTACCCATCTTCTCCTGCGCCAAAGCAACAATCTCATCCGGATACAAGGTCCGCGTCGCAACAATTACAACGGGATCCGCACCGTGTTGTAGGAACAAAGTGCTCATCTCCATCCACACTTTGCTTTCACGATCTTGGCTGCGCAGGTGGGCTTCCCAGGGTGAATACTCTCCCGTGATATTTCCATAATCGCGGAGTGCGTTGTCGATCTTGTGATTGGGATCTGCGCCCTGTTCGAGAAATCTGGCGACTAGTGTTGCGCTGTGGAGACATGGGTAGATGGTTAGAAGCGGGTTGGGCTGGTTTTTTGCAAACAGGTCGTTGCTGAGGGTGGCGAGGAGGAGGTTTAGGGTTGCACGACTTGGGATGTTGGGCTTGGGGGGTGGGGAGACCTCTTGCTGTGATTGAATGTGGTTCACGACATCGGTCAATTGCAGCTGGATGGCTAGATGCAAGAATGAGGTGTTGAAGCGGCCGGTTTTTCGTGATGCGGACCAGTGCTCAAGTGAAGATTTTCCGAAAGATTGCTCAATTAGAAATTCGTTGTTGTGACCTTTGACCTGGGCGAGCTGTGTTGCGATGGTGTCAAGATCCATCAATAGCTTGACTGACAGTTTACGGTCTTGACTACTACCAGTGTGGACAGCATAGTCAATGGCATAGAGAATGTTTTTCCAGAAATATTCATCCCCTTCGTGAGCTGGACGGCACCACATTGTTGTCGCCTGTTGTTTCAACCGGATGGCATATGTGTTGAACAAACTCGTCCATGGGCAAAACGTGCTGTCGGTCATGTCCCGATATTGCGAAAGGATTGATTCGGTTTCAAACCAATCTCTGACTGTGCGATGAAGGTATGTCACGCTCGCTGAAGCCAGAGGCTCGTTCGGAGCTGCATCTGCTTCGATAAGGCCCTGGCAGCAGGCCCTTAGCCGACGATGCATAGTTCTTGAACGCGCTTCGACTGGTATGGGGGACGGATTAGGACCTTCAATCATCACCTTGGATACAATATCCGGATCAAGGTCCTCGGCGTATGATAGATCGAGAAGAGTAAGATTTTCAGGTGAGTAGCGCATAATCTGCAAAATCTGCGCCATTTCCTTCCGTTTTTCGAGATCCACATAAGTTAGAATCTTTTCAAAGAGCTCTTCCAGGCCCCTTGGGACAGTATTTAGTCTTTCATTTAGTTCTTCCAGCCGTTCTCCTGCCGTGAAACCTTTGAGCAGTGAGTCAGTGACGAGCACGACCCAGAGAAACACGCCACAGGCTTTGACAGTGACAGCTTCGATTAGATCGTCTGCCTGTCTGGGTGTCTCCAAGCGGCGATCTTTAAACCCATCATTACCATGGAATCGGTTCGTGACGTAATGACGAATGTCGTTGTAAGTGAGATCTTCTAGTCGTAGGCGTGGTAGATGTGGGAAGCCATCCTCAAAAACTGTCCACGCACGACTTGAGAAACACACCTTGACGTCAGGGGACTTTAGACTCTTAATCCTCGTAACGAGAGTTTGGTGATCGCCACCAAACTCATCAAGTCCATCTATGAACAGAAATAATCTGTACTTGTCTCCTGCACCATCGACAAGCAGTTTGAATGCATTTTCCACTTCCTCATAGGTGAGAGGCTGTCTCCAGGGATCTGTGAACAAGAGGAACTCCTCCATCTTGGAAGGAAACAGAAATGCCCACAATTCCGGATCATCAGAAAGGGCGCCATGGAGAAGAGTTCGTATCATTGCCTCCTCCGACATCTCCATCACGGTTCCAGAATTCCAGAAGTAGAATGCAGTTCGAACCAATCTCCTTTGGCCAGACCATTTCGCAAGGTTCTCTTTTGTGCGAGGGTCTTGATAGATGAATTTCAGCAACGTTGACTTCCCAGCAGCAGGTTTTCCCGTAATCCAATAGAAGGATTGATTCTCAGATTCGAGCCAGAGTTGGAAGTTTGACCATTTCCCATCTGGGGGCTGTCGGAAGATCCACTCAAAAGTCTCCTTGTAGGCGCTTTCGATTTTTTTGTATCGATGATTGAGTTCCGAAAAGCCAATCCATTTCAGTATGGAGTCACGAAACTGATTCTGACTTGTGAATGTAAGACGATTATGGTACCGCTGATTGTGTTGTATGAGCGGATTGTCTGCGCCGGTGATGCTTTGGAAGCTGGATCTAATCTCCTGTAAAACTTCCGATTTCCAGTCGTCTTTAGCTTCGAAGAGTAGCTCGAGTCGTCCTCGTATACGTTCAGTGGCTTGGAGGAGGTCTTCGTTCTGGTCGGTTGCAACGCGTCGTGATCTTTGCACTTCACCCCTGTATGTCGTTATGACGCGGGACATCGCGAGTGGGCGGATCACCTACCTCATGGATTCAAATGTATTTTCAAGTTTCTCTCTGCTAAAATCAGAACACTGACCACACTAGCATATAGGCTGCACTCACCTCAGAGACCCGATCAATAGAATGGTTATTTTCTGTCGATGATCTCTTAGTCTTTGACGCAAGTTTTCCAGATCTTTCTCGCTTCGAATAGTCTTGAGCGCAGCATGGAAACTCTCCCATGCTGTTGCATTGGCTGTCCGTAGCCTTGCGACAGCGTTCCGAAGATCCACGGCGATGTCGTGACAGTCCAAGCACATCCTTACGATATCTTGATCGCAAGGCGATAGCTGCGCAACTTTGTCCGCGTCCAATCTCTCTGAAATCTCCATGTCCCGCATCTCACCCTGATTGTACACATCCTGACGTTGTGATTGTCGAGATTGATCTGGCCGGGCTCTTCTGAACCAACTCGAACTTTTCACTTGCTCTTTTGAGATCTGGCCGTTCAAAACGTTTCTGACCGATTCAGGAAACTCAAAGGCACTAGCATGAATGTCGAGCTGGAGTCCGATTTGCTTGAGATCGTTGGTCTGGCACTGGTCTTCTCCACGAGGCTTCGTGCGACGGATCCTCTTTGCTTCTTGTGACAGCCTTATTGCAAAGTCGACGAATTGAACAACATTTCCAGCAAGGCTGATCGCCGCCAAAGATTCAATCATTTCGGTCTAGAATCCGTATATACAATTCTAGTGTTGCAATCTCAAGTGTCTCCAGTCCATAGCTTATATGATCTCCGGAGCAGTCTTCGATGATCCTTTGGGGCTGCATAAGGAGGCTGTGGAAACACAACCATGGCTGAGGACAGGTGATTCGAGAACACCAAGCTGGTAGTATGCAACCTGAAGTATTGGATCGCTGATCCTGATCATACGATGCAAGGCAGACACAAACTCAGCCTGTAACGTTGCCTACAGGCCTGTGATCCTCCAGGCGTTGCCTTCCACTAATCAATGGGAGGGAATCAAGGAATTGTCGCGTTTCACACCCTGCTGTGCACCGCAACTGAAATTCGGAGCCTGATCCTAGGTTTTCTTACGCCTCTGACAGCCTTGGTTCAATCTTTAATACTCTTCGGTTTGCTGTACTCATCGCATTCTTACGACTTCTGAGTGCGATTAAGTACGTTTGCCTTGGAGTGAAAAACAACCTTGCGATAGATCGACCGCAGGGTTCTGGATCCCTCCGGTAACTGAAGCTCTGTGCAAGGTTCAGCCTCACCGGTATATGCACGAATGGTGGCTTTGCACAGACACGCACCTCCCATTTCGATTGCGAATTGCAGGACTTGGTGTGAGAGCAGTTAGATCGAAACTGGAGGCTGCTGCGGGCAAAGTGGCCTCGAGTTTTGGTGGACAAGCGGCAAACCCTCTGAGATACCTGTGGGGCGTCATTCTCGTTTGACCATGACGTCGTTTTGGCTAGTAGGTAAATGGCTCATGCCTGACTGTGTATGCCTTTCAAATGTAAGCGCCGCGAATAACCCTGTCAATGAGGCTTATCTAGCTCTCGGGCTGTCCAGTGGAGATATCCAATGTGACGGTAGATGCAACCGTACAGATAGACACCCGAAAATGCAATAATTACTTCTCACCTGGACCCCTTCGCACCCGCTGTAGAGACATATCAGCCAGCCATGCAGACTGAATTGCGTTCATTCCTCACAGAGAATTCATTCCTCACAGAGAATGTTTGCAGCACTGCTGAAGTTGTATTCGTATCTCATCTCTGAAACCGCTCGTTTCAGGTTATTCTCTCCAATCTTGGCCAAAGGCTCTGACTCCAATCGTCGAGTGCCTGGGTAGTTGGGACTAGCCTCAAACTTGGCAATGCCCTAGTATAGTGACAGAAGAGTAGCCTCGAAGGTATAACACAAGGTCTCCATACAAAAAGTTCCACCTCATGTTCCCTATGCTGGCTAAACCGCCGGTCTACAGGGCTGGTACAAGCTCCCACAGGCTTCGTGCCATACAGAAACAAGCTGATCAATAGTGACTACTAGAAGTCTTTCAGTGCGTTTGCACAGCTGGCTTCCGTTGACTGTAGAGCTGTCTCGCCATTTCTTCATCGATCTCATCATTATTCATCAAATCGTCATATTGCTTGACAACATCTCCACAAAATTCGACCCAATTTTTGTCAAAGATCTCGTGGGCTCTGGCCTGTTGCGTATTCGATAGGCAGCTATAATCGATACTCCATCGAGCTAATTGCTTCCAACTGTACAGAGACATTGTAGGCGCGCCAACCATGATCTGATAAAATTCATGGGACATAGAGTTACTATAGATTCCGTTAGTCGCGTTCGAGAAAGAGCATAAGATACATACCTGAAAAGGGAAGGATTGTCAGAATTAACAGTGCAAGGTATACCGGCAGCAAGGAGTTCAGGAAATGGATGTTCTTTAACGTTTCTGCAAAGATGCAAGAGCTCGTTCGATATAGGACAAAGCTCGACGCAAATGCCTGGGCTTTTCCTAGTCTTCTTGAACCGTTCTACAAGATGGGGGTGCTTCATGAGCGCGAAACCATGGCCAATGCGTTTCGAGTTCAGGAGAACAGCATCGTACAAATTCGAGTTTTCCGGGTTGGTGGATCCGCCGGTATCAAGTAATGTTTCGCCTGCATGGAACATGAAAGGAATGTCCAGATTGTGTCGTTCACACGTCTTCTGAAATGCAATGAGTTCATCCTTGTAGTAGCCAATGTGGTTGGGACGGTCTTCCGCACCGACGAGATCAAATCCTGCATACGGGGTAAGTATATGCATGTGAATTCTCACAGACCCATGGCTTACCGCAGATGAGATCTGGGAATTTTAACTTTAAGTCTATGCAATGTTTCATCTCCTTCTGCATCAGCGGCTTCGGGATCGATCGCGGCGTGCAATAGATGATTTTCAATCCAAACGGAAACTTGTCCAGCCTACCCACCTTTTCGAGTTCTTCCTTCTTTTGTTTCACCCCATCGATGATAAGCTGCATTTGGCCGAAATTATCGATGATACTTTTTCCATCGTTGGTAGGTATTGATTTATCAAGCAACATAGGTCGAAGCTCGGCATACATGACATTCTCCTCGATCATACGGTCAATAGCCTTGCTTATGTACCATTTGTAGACTCCCTCGTAATTCAAAAGGCCCTTGAAACATCTTGTGGCTTGATTAAAACGAGCCCATACTCTGCACTGTATTAGCTTACGCGGGTCATATTCTGTCGAGGAGAAATATACCCGTTCACGGTCTGCGTAAAACCATATGCTTCTTCTTGGCTGAGTACCATTTTAGATTTCAACCAGTTTTCGGCTGGCTGTAGTGTTACTTGTCCCGGCTCAGCACATGATTTAGGGGTTTCGGACATGGAAATATCTTCTTGCTGTTGATAATCTTTCGCAAATCGCTTGTTGAATTCCGTCTGGAATTTTGTCCAAGGCATCCAAACTCGGTACTTCCATTCCTCGGTCTTCCAATTCGTCGGCCCACCGGGATAGTCTTTAGAGAAGATGTTCACATCTGGTTCAACCAGATCTTCATCCAGTACCATAAAGACCGTTTCTGTCTCATTAAGATCTTCCTGTGTCAAGAGTGGACGAATACTACGAATGTACATATTCTTCATGTCCCGGGCTTGCTCGAGCAACCTTTCGGGATGCAACTCAGCGTTGAAATGAAGATGTAGTAGAGCGCCTTTCGGTACCATCTTTGCTATCTCATACAGCTTGCTCTCTGTATCGATTCGCTCCTTGTTCGTCAAAAACTGGCCCCCCATATCTCGGGTATTCTTCCCCGGAATAGCCTCCGAGGCAAGGTTGCCAAAAGTTACCCTTCGCTCGTACTCGCGTATAGCTAGAATGATAGTTGCAGCCCTTCTTTCTAGCTGATCGTTTGGCGACCGTGACAAATTCCTTGGTTTTGCCTCTCGATCCCAGGCATCCTGAGCCTCGATTTTGAGAAGTTTTCTGTGGTTCTCAGTGTATGCATGGATCTGTCTTGTATCGCCCAGGGCTGCATCAAAAGTGGATTGAGGGGCGGAATTTCCAGAAGCCGTGTCGGCGGGGTTTTTCCGACCAAGTGGGATAGGTATCTTCTTATTAGTAGAATGGGCAAATGCCGCTTTTCTCTTTTTTGGTGAGTCGGCTACAGTCATGGCTGGCCTGTTTGGACCTTCTGGAGCGCCGTGTCCCTGGCGTACAGATCTATTGTTCTAGGTCAGTTTTCAAGACACTCTTGGAGCATAGGGCAAGGGCTAGAGAATACGTACAATGTTGGTATTGCAAAGCCACACCTTGCCCACCACCCCTTATGGCCTTCTTGAGATTCACGCAACGATTTAGAGTCACTGTCAGGGCGCATGCCGATAAGGATAGTGAGGTGTTGTCGGTCACGGGCTTCTCATATTAACCCAATACGAGGGGAGCAGACGCAACTCCAGTGTTTCCCCGGATCTTGTAATAGCCTTTGTAACTGACTGGTATTGTCAAAAATCACTGACTGGGCTGTGCGCTTATTCGAACCAGATAGTGGATTTGCTTGGCTCAGATCAGAATCCTCGTAGAGCAACGCTTTTCACTGGACAAAACACCTATCCAGGCGATGTTGTGAGTTTGCCAGATTCAATAGCCGCTGGCCGGTTGTTGGGCCTATTTTGCAGTCAAAGTGGGTTAGTATGGCAGCCACAGAGGTGTTTGGTGTCGCAAGATCGTGCTGCGCCTCTATGCAGATAGGAGAATGCTGGCTGTCTGCAATACTCGATATTAAGCGCGACAAACGATGCGCATAGTCTTGTGCGGGGACGACAGGAGAACATTTCAAAATACAATGAGGAGCAAGCATACTATCTTCGACGCGGGATGAAGTCTCACGCGCATTCCTCGTCAAAGGAAGTGGCAACGGTGCAGGAGCGCATGGCACAAGGACAGACAACATCAAGAAAGGAAAGAGCGTCCACATACATCAGCGCACTCTTCTCTCCGAGGATGACTTCCCTATGCAAACAACAACTTCCCTCCAGAAAAGCGACACGAGTGCACGCCACAGTCTATTCACTGCACTCGCGACAATGCGGTATAGATGATCGCAGGCCACAGTCTATCACGAGATCCCTGACCTTGGTCGGCGTGGCCAGAATGTCGTTGGAACAAGCGATGGCGGGTGATCAATTCAACTCAAAACTCGACACCGGGGATGGAGGCGCAGCAGGTAGACTCCACGCGATGATGTCGCGACAGGGAGATTTGTGTCAAGAATGAGGGATGGACTCACTCTTTGCCGGCCACTCAACTATTCGCTTTGAGGCTACCGGTATGCTAAGCCTTTCACGCCGACACCCTGTAGCCTGAACACTCCGACTGTACCGTACCGTAAGCCCTCGCTGCCTCGCTGCCTCGCTGCCCCTCCTCGAACTTCCCTCGAACTTCCGCCTAGGGCATCCAATGGCTGTGCAGGTACCCAAACGCTGAGGCTGATGCTGTGTACAGACTCGTAGATCCAACCATTTGAGAGGCTGGCCTCTGACCGGTGTCGGTGAAGTGCCACTCTCAGCTCATGGGGAGAGCTTTTGGCCCCCATGAAGACTCAACTTGTACACACGCAGCACGCTGCGCCGCTGTGCTCCATCACCCAAGCTTTTTTTTCGACTCACAGGATTGGGTATACCTTGACTGTTGCTGCATACTTTATTGCAGCCATCTATGACTCCTCGAATCTATGTCCTATTTCTACAGCGCCTAAGGTGTACCGGTACCTTTGCTTCATATTCGACGTTCCGACCAGCGTCTGTTCAGCATGCACTGGCTACAGCCAGACGAGAATAACAAGATCAAACTCGATGCCCTACAGCTTGACATCGTCGGTTTTCTAGCCATCCTCGGAGAGGGGTCGGTGCTAGCCAATGCTCAAGTTTCAACACTCTCGAGATGGATCTATCTACCACGCTTAATCCCGGCTCCTCAAGCACTGATGAGGCCGACGAGACCAACGCGACTCGAAACAGCCCCTGGATATGTGACGGGTGTTCACTCAGGTAACCATCGCGATGCCATCAATTACATCGGCAATATTGTTTGGTAAGCCCTTTTGCGTCAGATACTCCACGCGTTCGGACAGGAAGCTCCCCAACCCCACATACGGCAGTTTCCGAGCTCCCGTCAGCCGCCACGCATCACCGAGTGCTTTCACTGACGAGAGTAGCGACGCAGGCAACCTCGCACCGTTTTCTGTGCGAGTGGTCCATATCGAACGGAAAAGCGAGCATCAACTCAAGACCAAGACCTTTGCATCGCTTACGGTTGTCGTTCTCATCGGTTTCGCGCTCTCCGCCCTGCTCCTCGCGATTTCGATATGGCAACGAGACGGCATGTCGATTGTAGCGACGGCACTCCTCTCACTGCTTTCCAGTCTGATCGGTCTCGGTAACAAATGGAGTCTGAGACTGCCATCGCGCAAATACCAGAGCAAAGTCCCGCCTGGTGATGTGGTCATACGGTATCCAAAGGGCAGCTTCCTGATCGTTCGCTGCACTGAAGATGTAGCACGAGAACTGTATTTCGCGCCGGAGAGTATCGAATACCAACTATCACACGGGCCGGCATATAGGATATTGAGTCTGGTCGGAACTATGATGCTCATGGGCGGCGTCATCTGCCTGGCGAATGCCCAGATCCAAGTTCAAATCGCTTGGGCGGGCTCTTATATGCTCCTCGGCGCTTCCTATTGGATTGTTGCTGCACTGCCCGCCAAAATGCACTGGGACACAAGTTGTTACTGTGTCACACAGGAATGTCTTTCAGACGCAGACACCGATGCGAAGGGCTACCCCTCGGAATCTGATACTTTCACAAAGGCACTTTGGAAAGCCATTGTTGTCACCAAGGACATTGGCTGGATCCGCAGGAGTGATGCCTGCCCGGACACCTGGGCATGGAGAAAATGGCTTGCTCAAGCAAAGGCATGTAGCAGAGACGTTCGGACGTCTGAGATGGATAAGAAGCCAGGAGTGAAGACTTGGGATGTCCCAGAGTGGGACGCGCAAGGAGTCCTTACCAAACTTTTGGAAGAGCAGGTGTCGCGGGAGGCGAAGAACATGACGGACGAGTTTGATGTTTGAACTGGCAAAGCTTCCATTATTTAATTTGGCATCAGCCTAGGCAACACATCGCGATTGGTTTATTTTGGGGACCTTATTACTATCACGAATTACGACGACCATGATTCATAGCAGCGCATATTTAAGCATATGACATTGGAGTGGCTTGTAAACCGCTCTGCTTTGGTGTTGCGTCTATCGCTTGGTCTACCGCCTCGACGCCGTATCTCCGACAGTTCTAATGCAGACCTGCCCGTACCTGTAAGATCCATAATACCGGCTGAGGAACTGCCACGCCTCCCACGTCGAGCCTCGACAAACCATTCGTTAAAGAACCATTCGTTAAAAGTGAATGAGTCCTCGCTGTTGCAAAGGCCTCCTCCAGCATTGTGGTGAGTGGTCATGGCACTAATGACCCTTTAAGATAGAGTGACTCACGCCGCAGTCTTCCATCGCTGCTCATGCTCAACCTTCTTCCTGACAACCTCTCTCAGCCACTTTTCCAGACTCTGACTGTGCGCCGGCCCATCAATCTCTATGGCCTCATCATCACCCAACTTGATGCCTCCTTCGTCTTCCTCATCCTCCTCCTCTTCTCCACAGCACAAGTTTTCCGCCAACTCACTAGCCTCGGCCCACTCCTCATAGCTGAATGTCCCTTCGCTCTCGCTCAAGAGCATCTTTCTCTTCCCAGAGAACGCGAACACGTGTGTTGATCGTACGGGCTTCGCGCGCAACAGCTCGTTTGCAGTAGGTTGTATGAGGAAATTTGCGGATGTGCTTGAGGGGGACGACGGTATGGCGATAATTACGGATGTGAAGGTAGTAGAGAGCGGTATCGAGGCGGATAGTAGGGCGAGGAGAGCTGTGTGGAGGAGATGAGGGAGGATTGAAAGACTCTGCTTCAATTAGCATGGCGAATGCGCTAAAGGATAAGTGTCGGTTGCATACAGTATTGACACCTGTCGATGATTCTACCTCTGGCAAGCTCCGGATCTGGAGTGTAATTTGCACCAGTGTTCGTGGTATCAATCTTGCAAGGATTATGCTATGGATTGTGTTGTGGAGAAGCGTTTCTAGGTGTCGCTCTTTTGGACCTACAAATGGGCTTAGCACATTCTACGTGTGAAAGTGACGGGTATAAAAGTGACATACTTCCAACACCTGCAGCAGGCCGAACATTCACCTCAATCGCAGCTTCTTCTGGCATCTCATCTCGCCGTTGCACCTCAATCGGTCCATTCACTGCGCCGATGATCGAGTATCCATTATGCGTATATGTTGCAGAACCGTCGGCTTGGTTTAAATGTGTAAGTGTGACCTCTGGGGCGATCATCCTGACGGTATTTGCGGGTGCGATTGAAGTCTTCCCGCGCGTTCCAGTGACGAAATCTCCAAAGATCGCGACGAGGATCTGCAAATGCTCAGAGGGTCCAAGCTCTGTTCACTTTGCGGCTGAAGCTCCAAGCCGAGGTGCGACTGTCGTTGGTCAGCTCGGGGGTGTCGACCAGCCTCCGCAAAACACCAAAAGACACCCGCCTCATATACGTTCACGGTATCTTACTATTCTGATACGGTCGTGAATACTGTGATTATCCTGTGGTAGATTGCTTATCATGGCTGGCTCATCGCGCAATGCTTCCCCTATTAAGCGGCTCATGACGGAGCTACAAACATATCAATCCGATCCAAACGATGCCCTTCTCGACTTGGGACCTCAAGATGACGATGTAATGCATTGGAGAGCAGTCATGAAGGGTGTGGTTGGGACTGCATATGAGGGTACGTTTCTTCCCGGTTCTCCATGCACTCACCGCCTCGACCCTCCAGAAGGTGTCATGGCAGCAGACGCATGTGCAGATAGCATATAACTCGTCGTCCTTGAGGCTAAACAGTCATACAGGTGGGGTATGGCTCCTAGATATCCGAATCCCAAACCAATACCCACTCGTTGCACCCACAATCCGCTTCATCACGCCCATCTGCCACCCCAATGTCGATTTCAAGACCGGCGAAATCTGTCTGGACTTGTTAAAGACGTCTTGGACACCTGCGTACACGATATCAACGACCCTAACGAGCATACACCAGCTGCTCACGAGCGCAGAGCCAGAGAGCCCTCTGAACATCGATATAGCGCAACTGTTCAGAATTGGGGATGAGGTTGGCGCACAAAGTTTGATTAGGTTTTACACAGAGACAGAGCGGTATGAATGGAGGAGGAGATCATGAAGGATGATTATTCCAGGCAGCTGTGGTGCGGAAGAAAATAGAGACGGACCCTCGACGTATGAATGCATGTGTGGCCGGGCTATAGGAGGCAGATCTGGCGTTTTGATGCGATATACCTATTAAACAAGCGAGCGAGTACAGCAAATATAACACAAACGAGCACTCTGAAGATCAAATCAAATGCGCATGCCCGCGCCGTGCGAACATGATCGAATTGCGAGGCATGCAAGTGTTTATCAAGTAATACAGGATATGCTTCGGAACGAACTGCCCGCCATAGCCATAGTAACGCAAAGGCGCCCTCTCCCTATAACCAACCTCAAAAGATTTCAAAATTCAAACCATAATATGACTCCTTCACACTCCCCCAACTCCACAGCATTACAAGCCCCTCCACATCGCTCCACCCTCACCCCCAAACCCTCCCAGCGCCCCAAATATCTCTCTACGAAGCCATCCCATCCCAGTATAAATGCTGTCCAGGCAGCGGAAACCCCGAGATCGACACTGCAATCCCCACACCCAAACACTCCTAGTCCCAATGATCTACACATACTTTGTCCCCATCCGCAAAGAACCAAGCAGACTACAACGACAAGTCTGTTCTGCCTTCGATGTCGCCTGCTGCTTCGGGCACCTTCACCTGCAAATATCCAATTCAAAATGATATGTGCGTTGAGCTTTTTTGAAAGAGGGAAAAGCAGTGTGAGTTAGTGGGTGGAGAGTGCTTGGCAGGATGTGCCGAGGAGAGAGGTTGGGGTTGGGTGGAGTAGATACCCCTTTATGTAGTGTTGTTACGGTACAGTGAAGCTGGCATTGTGGATGAGAGAGAAGAGAGGGTTTGCGACGCGAAGTCGAGATTTCTTTAAAATATAGAGCTCAGTGTGGGAGTTCATGCATCTTGGATTTGTCTAGACGGCGGGAACTAATGAGTTATGATGTAGCGTAAAAGTCTTGTGGCTCGGATGATGATGATCCGAGTTGGCAGAGATCAAGTACATTAAACTTGGTAGCTCATTGTATTTGGTGGCTGGCTGCTTTATTTTACTCTTATATATATATTCAACCTAGTCTGGTCTGGGCGATCGTGTATACACGACACTATAGTCTAGTCTAAACATTATGGCTCAATGGCATCTAAGAAAAGCGCATTTCTACCACATCAATCCATTTGACGAGAAAATCTCGTATGGAAACCCAGAAGAATAAAAAAAGGCGTCGGTTCAGCCCTCGATACGTATCTTAGGGCTTATATCCTGAGTCGTGTGCTCGCTCCACAAGAGTCCCACTTGTTCAGCTACCCGTGGGTTGCAAGCGCGCAGCCACCACGTACGTCTCCGTCTGAATATCGCGCTCGTTGAATCTTGACCGCATTTTGAAGACTGGCAATCGATGGCCGAGGACAGCCAAGGACATGCAGGACCGCACTTAAATAGCTTGAAGTGTCGACATTTGTCAAAGCGGAATTCATGTCGAATTCTAGCATGATGCAGTTTGGCGTGGCTGTAAGTGCACTTCCGGTATACAAAAGTCTTGTAGTAGTCGTGCTCGTATTGTTCAACCTGCAGATACAGTCCATTGAGTCCGTTTCCAGCCTTGGCTGGATACAGTGGTAGAGCCTTCGAGTACGATATCGGCAGATAGCTCACTGTTCGCTGATGACCGACGGGTGTATGATCTCGTGGATAACTCCTGGAAGTCGTCTGTCGCGGGTTCTTGTGAATGACTTCGAATAGTTGGTAGAGGGAGTGGATAGTAAGGGGCATCATAGGGGCCCGGTAAGGGCACTGGGGGGGCGATCCATGGATGTATGGGTGCCAGATTTGGTTGAAGAGTTTCGCTCTTGAGGGATTGCAGATGGGTATTGTGATCTAGATCTGGGTTTGACTGAGGTGATTTTGAGTCCCTCTTAAGCCCCAAACCAGAGTCTTCTTTCTGCAAACTTGGTCGCGTAGGGTTAAGGGTTTTGTCGAAACCGAGCCTAGAGTCTGCCATGTTCCTTCTTTTCATGAAAAAATTCACAGTTGAGCGTGTAGCCGCGACAAGGAGAGTGACCAGGAGCAGAAGTTCGAGGAAGCGTGCGGGAGGTGCGGATATGTACCCGCTCACTGTGCAATCTTGACTTGATGAATCAGGATGTGGAGGCATATGAAACAAGGCAAAGATGACACGACTAGGTAGATATATGATCGGCTCCACTTGCGGCAGATTGTGTTATGCAATGATGCAGGTGTAAAGTTACTAGTGACCAGTCAGCCAGAGAGCGAGCCCGCACCTTTCATACAACCCACTGAGTACGCAACGACGGCAGGACCGTTGTTATAAGCACTAGGATGGTATTCCTCCAACCAATATCAGCTATTGATGCCTGCTTTTTCTCGCAGATTAACACAAGGGTATCGATATATTCCTGCGGGTCGGACATGAGGGTCGACGGTCGATCTAAAACTATACGAAAACGAGCTCGGGCTACGACATCCACACTACGCATATCCTTCAGACACAAAGACAAGAACTGGGCGACCATGGTCGGTCCAGACTCTCTAGCAGGCTCTCAAGTGGTGACTGAGTGGGACAGAGTTATGCGTGAGTCCCTGATCGACAGGCAAGAGTTCGTAATGTTCAGCTGTGACGAAAGGCGCCTGCGAATCGATTGCAGCACGAGGCTACCCGGGTAGACTCTATTCAGTCGCGGGCCCAGCAGCTCGAACCGCGCCATGCAGTCTTGGTCAAGCGAACGTGGACTGTCTTCAGCTGAGGTACACAATGGTGGCGTTCCGAGTGGCGGTCACGAATAGACCGCACGGGCCCACTTTCACCTTTGCGCAGGGAACACCCGAGACTGACCCCTGCGCTTTCGGTATTGGCATTTCAACGGCGAGCTGGCATTGCGCCTTCAACCAACCTTTCATTCACAGTCGAGCCCGCCCCGCTACTCACAGTTTTACGCGATCGAGAGTCAGGGCAGCGGGAGTTTACGTTAGCCGGCTTGTGATCAAGATCGGTGGGTTTATTCAGCTGTAGTGCGAACGCCAACCGAACTCCGAGCACTCCCTCCAGACAATCAGCAAAAGCTACACTCCAAGCAAAGCAAGCCCCTCTGCTTGTACAAAAAGAATGGGAAGGGTCAGAGAAGTGATAAGATTAATCTCCAATTGGGGTCCAGAGCCATATACCAGAGTACGGGTGAGGTCCTCTGCCGTCCCTACTACAAAATATGCATCTGCAAGCGACTTCGACCCTTGCAATTACGCAATGCTGGGCTTCCAAAGACTTCTGTGGATATCCCAGTTCAAGATCCCGCACACCTTTACCATGTCTGTCCCGCACATAGATCTTGGTCCTGAAGATTGACATATTCGTACAAGATCTTTGATTCGCTCAGTCATATAGCGAGATTCGACTTGTCTTGTCCAGGTGACCTCACAGCCAACTCCTCAAAATCTGGTACCCACGGGAATGAGGTCAAGATCTGGCTTGTGGTAGCGAGAGGGCGTCGACATGACCTCCTCTTCCTTGCCGAACAGTGAAAGTTCCGCGATAGCCGCATACGACGACCTTTTGCATACGTACGGGATGTGGGGTGTTCCATATTGCAACTACTGGATACTCAATTTCTTTTCTACGGGATTTACCGTTAGCATCACATCGTGTTGCTCGTGAGGCGGGTAATCTTCTTACCCTTCATTGTCAGCTCAGAAACTCAAGTTACTCGCCAACCTTACAATCCTTTCACAGAACGCATACTAGCACTCACGTGTACCGTGTCTAGACTCCCGATCAGGGTCTCTCCATATACAACCATCGTAAAATCACAGACACGCCGTCGGTACCGGTAGGGCTGAGAATACCCACGGCCAGACCTCCGACTACTCCAACGAGCATGCAGCTGAAGTCACAAACACAACACCAGTGGCGTACACGCATGGGAAATCTCCCCTTCAAATCAACGCCACCCACTCCTTGCCATCTGTATAAGATCTCGATCTTCACCCGGAAGCTAACGCACTAGATGGTTATCACGGCAACGCCGTTGCCACAGCACATGTGAATTTGCCTCCTAGGCCGCAACATTCATATCATGCAAACGGTAGCCTATCTTTCCAATCGGTGCGGTATGCCGTTCCACACGATCTGGGCAGTATCTGTCTCTTCGCCCGTCTGTACTGCAGGCCAGTCAGTCAGGTGTATTTTTAGAGTATCGAGAAGCTCGCTATACTCCAAAAGTGCATAGCCACCACATGGCGTAACTAGTCATATTCAATCTCTAGCACGAAGCAAACAAGTTTGAAGAGTGATCAAATCAACATGTACATGATCAAAAAAGGCCTCCAATAACCTAACAAAACGAGCTATACCCGCACAAATAACGACGGTGTGTCACGGTATCCATCTCACCAATGACTAGCACGGTACCAACGCATGACCATAATATCCAGCTCTGAATATTCTAGATGTGGGGTAGTCGATTATCAAGAAGAAAAAATCACGAGCGACATCGCTTACGCGAACAGCATGCTCAGCTATAGTAGTAAATTCTGTCTTACAACTCATCCCCCACCCTCTTCATCCATTGACAAAACCGCAACCAGAAGAAAAACATTCCCATGACTGCTCACTGGGCCAGGGTCAGCAATTACCCTGGTTAGCTACAAGGAGTGGTAGCAAGCATACATCTACCATATCCCACTCCATCAACTCCAACAAACTACACACCAAGCACGCCGTACTTTCCACAGCACAAACACGTTCCACACACCCTCTCTCCCCCTACATCCAACCCCGCTCTTCTCCCCCAGACTCTAGACCCTTCCACCCCAAAAAATCCTAACCACAACCCCCAATCACCATAAACACTATACACACCTCCCTACCCAACACCCCACCCATCTCCAACGCCACAACATGAATGATAGGCAATAAGGACCAGACCTATCCACCACAGGGGTGTGGAATTCAGTAACATGTCTTACTTTCTAGCATGTATAAGCACCGGTCCCTGTCTTTACCACGGTAGCACTGTTGTATGGCGGGAGGCAGGTGAGAGAAAGCGAGTCATGAGGTAAGGTCGATGGATGGGATAATGGATATGGATGTGCGAGGTCGTTGGGTTGGATGGTGGATGCTTGTGCGATTTTAGTTTTGCGGATTGGGTAGCATGGCAGGGGTACGGGGGGCTTGTTTTATATATTCAGAGCAGATAGAGGGAGGATGTGAATGCCATGTTTTGGAGTTGATTAGGTATGTAGAGATATGAGTGCGTGCGTACACGTTTTGCAGTTCCATTTCCACGTCGAGAAGAACTGCGCCACTAGGTCCCGTGTGAAGCTTGTAGCCGCTTGTCGTCTTGCGAGTGAGGAAGACAGAGACAAAGTCTTTATCACAATGGATGTACCTCTGAGATTTTACCCCGTCACCACGCATCAGCATCACGCATCATCACCACACCCAACCTCCATCCGTCTAATCGCCGCGCCCAAAACATCCGTTGTCCCGCCCACCTGTTGTAGACCATCGGGCGTCCGACTCTGTCCGAGTACCTTCTTATCTGGCCCCGTAACCGTCTGCCCCTTGGCCTGCGCGAAGCCCGCACTACGCTCATGTGCAGGATTGGGACTGTAGAAGTCGTCGATGATGGGGTGAATCATGACGGTTTGTTTGGAAATGGTGAGGGTGCTGTTTGTTGGGACGGTGACCCAGTTATCTGGCTATTGTTAGTGGCGGGACATATATAGGGGCGTGGGCGGGGAGTGATGGGGAAGGGATAAAGAATGTGCAAAGAGGGCGGTACATACCTCGTTCAAAGGTCAACGGCTCACTTGCTACGAGCACAATATCTGAGCCTTTGTCCCGACGTTCCATGACATAATCTCTGCCATCTTCCGAAGAAGAACTCGCAGCGTCTCCACCGCCCAACTCTTTCCAGCTCGTGCCACTGCTGAAGAAAAGACTGGCAGCTTCGTCGGTCTTGCTACTCACGTAGCGCGAACATACAACGCTCTCTCCATCTGTAACCGCAAAGTTCAACAGACTCCTGCTGTCTTCGTTCCCCATGCCTTCTTTTCCCACCACGCTCTCAATGAACCCATTGATCCTCTCGATCGTCTTGAGAATGGCTTTACGAAGCACCGTATGCCCAAACCCACCCTTGCCTGGCTCGCTATCTGGCGACACCCCCACCTTATCCAGACAGTCAAGGAACAGAGCGAAGGCCCACTCGCTATCTGTCGACCCCTGCACAAGCGTAAACCACTTCTCGTTCAGGGACACGGCGAGACGACGCTTGATGAGCTTGAAGCACCCGATGCCGCCGTTGTGCATAAACATGAGCGACTTGTATGAGAAAGGATGGCAGTTGCTATCGCTGAGATTGCCTTCGGTCGTTGCGCGAACGTGTGCGAAGATGAGGGAGGATGTCGTTTTGGAGGCGATGCGAGAGAGGTTTATGCAATTCCATGCTGGGATCGTCGAGGTGAAGACGCAGGGCTCTGGGCCCAGAGAGGGAGATGTGTAATATCCAATACCGAACCCATCGCCGTTGTGTGGTCGTCTGCGGTCCTGGTTATGCTTGTTAGACGCTGCGAGGGCGAAGAGGGCGAAGAGGGCGTAGAGGTGGGAGTCAGCGTACCAGTCGGAGGCGCGAGTCAAATGACTGGGTGAGGATGGAATGTGATGGGTTTAATATGAGGTCTGAAAGGAGTATTTCATCCTTTCCTTTGTATACCTGGCGATATTAGCTGTCTCGTTCCATGACTCGCATAACCGGTGCTCACCATGAATCTACACATTCTGGTTTGTCTGGGTAGATGGATGGATAGTTGACACGCAGATTTTCTCTCAGCACGCTTTGGTAGAGAACTGGGAGGTGAATTTCTTGTGCAATCGAATGCTGTGTTTGAGGACGATATGGTCACGGTGCACTGGCTGTTGGCTCAGAGCGGTATGTGCGTGCGAGGATTGCGCCATTGGACCAAGCGATGACGCAGGCGGTCAAGGTGGTACATGCATTGTGCACAAACAGAAGGGATGCAGAATAGGGAGCAATCAATTCTGCATGGTGAGACGCAGGAGTCAATAAGAATATACAATCAACGACCTTGCCTTACGAAGCCAAGTCAGGCACAATGTACAACAACAGCTAGGTGCCCCCACGCGTTGGTGGGTGGGGGAGCTGCATCCGTGGCCCGGCTCCTGCAATGACGCAACCTCTGCCCCGTTTAGCTGCATAACGGAAGATGGACCGCCAAACAGCAAACCATGCATCACAAACAGGGCATATGAAATCACACAAACGAAGTAGTTTTGAACTTTTGATTTCTCGACAGTGTATTCCGCTATCTGGCTGGCAACTAGACAGAACAGAAGCACATCCAGCAAACCAGGAGGAACGCCCATCCTTTCAACGCTACCGCCCACCTGAGGCACTTTTGTCCTTGTAGTAGGACAAGACTTGTAGACCAAACACGCAACGCCGGGGATATGATGCGGACAATGGACATTGGAGGGTTACAAGACGGTGTATCTTTGAGGCTTCATAAAATTTCATGGCGAAGGGGTGGCTCTGACCAAAAAAAAAAAGGGGGGGGGGGGGGGGGGGGGGGAAA